AAGCCCTAAGCCCTAAGCCCTAAGCCCTAAGCCCTAAGCCTTCATACATTTTCGGTTGCCTCTTACCCCGTTTGGTCTACTAATAAATGACGTCTTATATATATTTATCGCATATCACTGAATTCTGAAGTTTCGGTTAAGGTAATGATCATGGCGGTCAACGGAGACATAGTCAACCGTCAAATGTTACTTATCGGCGCCGGCGGAGTCGGAACCATGGCGTGTGTCTCACTCGAGAGATCTTGCATAGTACTCCGATCGGACTACGATAAAGTTATGCGTGACGGATTTGAAATTGAATCGGCCAACCACGGGATATTTTCATCTTGGTGGCCGAGTAGAAGTATGTCCAAACTCGACACAGTATTACAATAATGATGATTTGTATCTAATCGTAGATATATTAGTTCTAAAGGCCGTACCCCAAATTCAAGAAGTGACCTACGACCATGTTATGGTTACAATGAAGAAAATCCCCGAGATTTCAAACATTTCGGCGGTCATCAAACCAGCTATCACTCCCGGCTACACAACTATCGTACTGATTCAAAACGGGATTTGTATCGAGCAACCCATCATTGATGCATTTCCGTCTAATGTGGTTCTCTCCGGAGTCAGCTACATCGGTGCTCATGAACGAAATGGCCGCATTCTTCATGATGAACACGATCACATGAACCTGGGGGTCTTTCACAATCAGGCTCTGGACGTAAAGATTGAGCAGGAAAAGCTTCATGATTTTGCCACAATCTACAGCGCAAACAGAGCTGTAAGTGTCGACATCGCAGGCGATTTTCAATTCTATCGCTGGCGTAGCGTATCTTGGAATGGCGCTTTCAATTCCATGTGCGCTATCACTCAGCTTGATAGTGCTGATATCAGATATCTTGGTGGTGAATATAGCTTGCTTCGACCTGGAATGGCAGAAATGGCGGCGATTGCGAAAGCAGACAGCTATGACCTTTGGCCTGATATTGTGGATTTCATGATCAATTTTACAGGACTTGAATTATCTTTCAGACCAAGCATGCTGGTGGATGTGGATAAGGGTAACCCAATAGAGGTTGAGGTCATTCTGGGGAACGTTCTGCGAGTCGCACGGAAACTAGACGTCCTGACTCCAATCTTGGATAACACATGCCGGTTTCTTAAGTTGATACATTGAAGGTTGTGGGCTGCCTGTGAATTAATTTCCTCGAATACTGAGGGTGTCTCGGATTTGCTGTGGATTTGATATGTTCCCAGATGTGAAATTGAATTACCATGTCCTTGAGTTCAACATTCCTTCATGGAGCATGTCTTGGATTATCATGTCTAGGAGGTATGAAAATATCCGTTGCAGGCTACAGCAAAGCAAATCATTGCTTAATTATTTCTGGGGCCTGAAACAATGGACTTAAATCTTTGTACTAATCTATACTCTGACGATTTTGCCCTCCATCCGACTTACACTTTAAAAATATGCATGTGACCAACCGGTCCTCCTTTTGTTTATCTTAAGCCTTGAGTTTTTTATAACCCAGTAATATCGTTAGGGTGTCAGTAGGGCTGCCAAAAAGTGGATGAAGAGTGTTGGAGCATTTTTTTAAAAATATAGATGCATTCCGTGCCAGATACACTGTTCTAGTCATCGCTCTCAGACAAACCTTCCGCGCGGATAGAAGGCTGGAAAAAATGACAGAAATCATCCCAGATGTCCCAGGTGAAGCTCAGTGCCTATTTAAACAAACATTTTGTCGAGAACAATCTTTAGAGGGCCTTGTTATCAGTGTATCAATCACATTGAGAAAGCCACTAAGGGATAATTGTGGTATCCAATAATAGACAAAGGATAAGGAACGGGACGTCTGGGTTTTATCCTCCCATTTGTTTTGCACGTGACGAGAAGAAAACACTGCTATATTATTAATGCTGACGCTACTGGGGGTAGGCTCATTGATTCTTCGAGAGCCCCCAGGACCGAAATACTACCATGTTGTCTCGGCCATGAATTATAATACAGCAAGAGACTTATATCCTCGGCGGCCTCGGAAAAAAACCTTCACTGGTTGCTGGACCTGCCGCTCAAGGCGCTTGAAATGCGATGAGCACCGACCTCAATGTAACAAATGCAGACTAAAGGGCCTCAGCTGTGGGGGGTATTCAGCAAAGCTTCATTGGATGGATTCAGAGAATTGCGGCCATCAAAAGTTTCAGAAGACGTCAAGACAACCTCAGCGTCGAAGGATCTTGCCTAGTAAGCTATTGAACTGCCGTTGGAAATGTACCTTTTGATAAGTTATTGACGTATGGGTCACCTTATAGTGGCCAATCTTCCTGAGATGCAAAGCTCTGAAATGGATGAGCTACTTTCGGATCTTGATGCAAGGGAGGCCGCTGCTCATACGATCAGCGTGGGGCCGTTCTCCATTTTCAGAATAAAACCGGGCATTGAAGCTCCAAAACATCATTATACCGGTCCTCTGCAAGAGACACGCTCAACCAGGTTTATTGCTGGGCCACTTCGTATCACAGAGGCTGACCAGATCCCCCTTGACACCGTTCGTTACTGCAACGACCAAAGAGCGGTCTCACCCTTGATTGAACGCGACGAGGGTGATGAAGCCAACAGCAGCAATATTTTGGACGTCGTCTCCCTCGATCTTGAGTGTTTACAATCCCCTTGCGTACTTAAGCGAAAACTGCCTGATAGCAATTTGCTTGCCTCGGGTGAATGGCCACGAGAGCGTCCTCCCTCCATACTATCGGATCAACAGGACAAAGCCACACCATTGCCTCGCAAAACTTTGTCAAGTTCAGTGGCAATCAAGGATGTCTTTTATCAATCACCAATCTTGACGGCACCGGTGCGACGCTTATTGAATCACTATCATCATCACGTTTTACATTTATTCAGTGTATTGGATAACAAACACACCCCCTGGCATGGCTTCCACTTACCTCAAGTGCTGCAATGCATTGGTGAGCTGGAAACTATAGGACACGCTCCATACCCCCGTCAAGCAATGCTCCATGCTGTTTTATCAATAAGCAGCTACAACCTCCGAAATCACTATTCTAGACAAGGCCAAATGGAAACAGAGCAACACTGGAAAACCGTGGCTTCGGGTCACCGATTTCTTGCGGTCAAATTTTTGCGCAAGTCAACGGAACGTTTAGGCGGCAAGTCAACAGTGGTTGAGTACATGGAAATTTTGGCATCGATGCTTTCAATGGTCACGATAAATGTTATGTCGGGGGATACTGAAACATCCCCTATGCATTTAAAGGGCTGTAATAGCCTTACCAGATCATTTCGTGGACGGTGGATGGCACAAGCAGCATCACCTCAGGTTCGAATGCTACACCGGATCTTTTTTTATTTGCAGGTTATGCAAAAGACGAGCGACTGGACCTGCAACTGTTACACTACTACAACCACCGATGTTGATTCACTTTCAACAAGCCTCCGATCTTCCATGAGTGGCCATGGCCTACACATCTGCTCGTTTGATCAAGTTCTTCAATCACATATGGAATTTGATCGAAGTCTTGAGGAATCCTTGGAATCGTCATGCGAGCTAATATATGGAACTCCACCTCGCCTCCTATCTCTTTTGAACCGGACGTGTATTCTGCTTACCAGTTGTCACATTGAAACGAGAAACCTGGAAATTGGCTTTACTTCTGATGAACTCGAAGAAGAAATTCTCAGGTGGTCGGCAGATGCTGCGATTTGGAGCTTCGACATCAATTGTCTGAGCATGAGCAACCGGAGCATCTTGAAACATCCTATGTGTTCATTTCACCAGGCTCTCATAATTTTCTTCTGTCGAGGTATTCGTAAAATGCACCGGCAGCATGTTCAACCCTACGCGCGAACATTGATGTACCATCTCCATCAAATTGAAGAACTGAAGGAACAAGACGGAATTTACGCAGACTCTATCTTATGGCCTGCATTCATTGCCGGAATGGAGGCAATTGACCTTGATATCAGGTCCTCTGTCCTAGACTGGTTTGCCAAAATAGAACATCGCGGCGTCGGGACTGCACGAAAAGCCCGTGAGGGTCTCCAAGTCATGTGGTAGCATGGTGATCCTATGAAATCAACACCATCTTCACCGGCGACTATATTCCCCGCAAACTTCATCATGACATGACAGCTACGTCCTAGGATCATCCCTGTCACGGGCCTGTCGAGCTGTTTCGAGGTTTCTCTCCTACATCAGGCCGCAATCTAGATTATGGCAGTGCCGATGGCGAGACGACAATTCGGCGGCACATGGGACCTCAAGGATTGCTTGTGAAAAACTGCAGCGACACTGGTCGCCACGGCGTGTTTCAAGACGTCTTGCGGGTTGCTCACCATCCGATAGACCCGGCGCTTGTGATTTATCTAAAGATGCCTTTACCAACTGCACGGCCTAATTCTTGTAAAGTTATCTAGCATACTGACATTGTCTCAATAGAACCTGGATGATTTCTCTCAATAGTTATTTTGCTTGTTGATTTGAGATGCTGAACCAAAACGTTTGTAATTTTTTTTTGGAGAAGCCCTTGCTATCTACGATGTGTGCGCTGGAGTTATTCTTGACACTCGCGAGGGCGCCCGCATTGCGACATCTCTAGGGCCAAAAGGCAAGGGCCTCATTTTGCGCAACCACGGTCTGCTGACGGTGGGTCAGACTGTATGTAGATGAGGCGGCATATCTCTTCACTCTTCTTGAAGCTAGTTGTGAGGCCCAATTACAGGTTGAAGCAGCATCCGCGACTGGTCTTGAAAAATCATTCTGGATGACGAAACAGCGGCATTTACTTTCCAGATGACGAGTGACCCGGTAAGAATCAATATTAATTTGTGATTGGTTCTTAGGCTGAGAATTTTAATAACTGCTAGGAGAGTCACTATTGTGAATTCCAGCCGGATTACGAATACGAATTGGAGGCTACAGGAGACACTTTCCTCAACTAACGAATTCTGAGATGAAATTGAAAGTGGCAATGCATATGATGAAGTGCAAATGGATGCTGGCTTGCTACAGTTCCCAGTGCAGTTACAGGCTTTTGTATTAATAAAGTCTTGGGAAGTTCTAAATTTTATTAAGAATCAAGAATACTCATTTTCTAAAAATGATAGATAGACTAGAACTACCCATCAAATGCCATCTCTACCACGACATATCCAAGCACGGCGCAACCGAGCCACTAAACTCCAAACAGCTTATGACTGAGTAGACTGGGAGAAGATTGGGGAAAAAAACCAGGATCTCTTCGAGCGACCCGGGTTGCAGGACTCAGCCGCGGCATTAGACACAGTTGTTGTGAAGCTCACGAGAATAACCGCGAGTGCAGTCGACAAGCAACACCAGATCTAAGACCCTCTCCGCATTCCATGTGGTAGCTCACTGCCGGTCTTAAAGCCCAACAGAATAATGTGAACTACCTACAACTAGATCTCGCATCCGCCCGCCCTTACTGTATGTTGTGGTGGCCTTAGGCCGCCATGTGTGCCTCAGGCATTAACCCCTTGTTTGCTAGCTAGATAGATTAGAAGCTCGCCTCATCCTACAGAAATCAACTCTCTCCCTTCTTCCTTTTGGCCCTATATTGTAGCTCTAAGAGGTTATAAGCCCTCGTTTTCCCGAGCTTTTATCTTAAAAAGAAGGTATTTCAACACATTCATTATCCTTTTTATCTATGCCTAGTCTTCAACACGACCCAGTAAAACCCAGACCTAACCCAGTCTAGGTTAGGTTGTGCGGAAGACCACGAAGTAATTAAGAGATAATTGGAAATACAATTACTATCTATATAGGTTAAGTCTTTCTATTAGAAATAATATATACTAATAGATTGGTATTACTAGCTAGGCAATTTTTTTTAATAGCGCTCTATCTATTATAGTTTCTTTATTCAAATATTTCAATAGCTATATTGTTAGATAGATTGATTGATTGAAAGTCTAGACCCTTGAGATTTTCTAAACTCTCTAAGTGAGAGTGATAAGATATGACATATGTAAAATTACGATTTAACATTGTTTTTTCCATATGAAGGTGTCCTCTGCAGAATCTTCCATCCAATCACGCTAGGTTCTAATCGAGTTGGAGCAATGTGACGGAACAAAGAAAGCTTCCAGATGTCGCACGGCGAGTCTAGATTTATTGAAATTGGCGAGAGCAAGGGAGAATGCCGGCATTCTCGTAGGATTTGAACGAGCGGTCATAAGCCTCATAAGAATCTTCGATGCGGGTCCAGCCAAATTTTCTGGCTTTCGCAACAGTGCTCATGAAAGGGGTAGTGGAGGTGATGGATGAGTTGAATCCCCAGTTCAGCATGGCAAAGCCCTCGGTTTGGAAGCAGTCGGCTCTGCCACCATATTTGGCGACGATGCTTTTCCACACCTCTTCCTTGTCACGCGACCATTCAACCAGATCAAGCTCCCGCTGTTCCCTGTCAGGCATACTCGAGTAACTAGGGACTTCAACATTGATATATTTGGCGAGATGGGTTCATAGGAATTTGAACAAAATGACATCTCCGTTGGTGTGATTGAACGCCTCATCCTTGCAGTGCTCTTGAGTTGTCGCCCACACCGTGAGATCAGCAATGCTGGGAGCATATGACTGGTCTTCGACACGATGATAGTTACGCAGGTTTCCTGGCCACTTTGGGGTTTCGCCAAGCTCTCGGCAGATGAGGAAGTACTGAGCAAGAGGAATTACCTCATTCATGCCGTTGACTAGTTAAATTGTCAGTCGCCAAGGGCTTTCAATTTCGGCTTCATCGACAACTGACATTGAGGGGTGTAACCAATGATGCCCATGGGACGAATGACGTTGTAGTGCTAGGTGTTGTGTCGCTTTTGCACCCTCTTAAGGTCATCTTCTTGCTCGTAGTAGAAGATTGGAACTGATCCCGGGCCCTCATAACGCGGGGTATCCTCAAAGAATGGATTGGAGAACTCCCGGAACATCATTCCGTAATTCTGCAAAATTTTCAGGGGTTTCAACATCCTTTGGTACTCCAGTACTTACTTTGCCACCAGTTTGCAGGCGGATGCGTTCAAGCTTAGGGCAGGCCGAGTCAACAGCATCCAGGAAGTTCCGGAAAAGAGGACAATTCTTCTCAGCCAGAGTAGAGAAGTCCATGGAATGGACGTAAGAGGTGAAATAGGTGTGCGTCACATCTTTGCAAACTGTCTTGATAACGATCACGATATTCTCAGCCGGCTCCAAAAAGTCGAGGGCCACAAATTCCACACGAGGGTCCAACCAGGATGATAGGAGTGGTCTCCGTGAGGTGACGATAATCTTGGACCTGCTGGCGCAGTTAGAATTCTTCTTCTCCCAACAAGCATCACCTCTTGATACTGACCACTTTGACTCGGGCGTCCTGATGAGGTGCTCGATAAAGGCATGGCCACTGATGCCGTTTGCACCCGTCACAAAGGCCACCTTGCCAGGGGGCACGACATTGTTGGTTTTGCTGCTCATGTCGAAATGACTGGCTACCTTGGGGTGGATGGTAACTTTCTCAATCCTTCGAAAAAGGCTTGTTCTCTTATACCTTGCATCCATGTTGCGAGTTGAGACATGAATGCGAACAGAACATGCTGCGGTGTGGGAATCGGGACGAATTCAGCGTCATGGCCGTGCCACTCCCTATCAGTGCGAAAAAGACCTGTCAAGTCCCTTGCATCACTTGTAGTCTATTCCGGCTAGAAAAATCTGGCCCTCCTGGGGAGCACCATTCAACACCCTACGGAGTACATCAGGAGCGGTCTATGGTATCAAGATTGTTTCGTTTTTTCCCAAATATTACCTAAAATTCTACGTTTTACCAAACCCCAAATCCAACCATGGAACGAGAACCTCCACGCCGCACGCCTTCTTCTTGTAGGCTTCCCCCCCCCCCCTCCTCAGCCACATCATTGCCTGCTGATACTCTGGTCGAGGTGATCAGGGCAGAGGCTCCCACCAAAGCCGTCATCTCACCCAGTCTTGTCGGAAAAGTTTAGGCCAATCTTCCTCTGTTCTACAGGCTCTATCTACCCTATGGAAGTTCTGCATCAGCGGCGCACCTCTAGCACCGGAAATCTGGGAGGCCCTCAACAAGCGAACAAATCTTGTAACCATCCTAGGCATAAGCAAGCTTGGAATCGTGCCATCTTTCGTCCCATAGTAATAAAGCAGATTCGGATTATTTTGAGTGGAACCCGAATTATCATTTACGTATGGACATATACGGCGAGGATAGTAAGCTGTTTGAATCGGTGATCCCATGTAGCGAATCGAGGGGTCTCCACCGCATCTACCATATATTCCTAGATCTGATGGAATATCGCACAAAGGACCTCTTTAGCTCTTACCTAACGCGGCTCGGCTTATGGAGGTATGAAGGTATGAAGGTCGACTAGATAGTTAAATCACGTTAATTAACGGGTAAAAATTCAATCTCATTCTATAGATGACAGCATTTGAGGTTACGTTGGAAAAGGCAAGACCCTTGGCCTTCCGCGTTTTGTTTTTGTTGTGGGAAAATGCCGATTGGACCGATCTGCAGTGGGATAGCTCCTATTGGTCCGATTCCCTGTGCGCTCTCCACCTGGTAGATTTGTCAGATCGAGCTAAGCTCTTCCAAGGTTTCTATGTTGCACAAGCAGATCGATCTTGATCTGTGGATCCGCTTGCGGCTGACGTCATGTCTATTTGCGCCCGCCCGATCGTTCTTGCCCGAATTGGCCGAAAGTTTTTAATTTAAGGCCGCAAAATGGCATTCAGGGGAGAAGTTTAAATGTTCCCGCCATCAAAAGACACAAGGAAAGAAAGCACGTCCCTCACGCCACCCAGAGAGCAGCTCGCATGGCCCGAATCTTGAAGGCGCAGAAGCCGCGCGCACGAAACTTGGGACTGCCCTACCACGATGTCGCCAAAACAACGGCTACCACTTTGACAGTGAAAATCAAACCTGTGAAGAAAATTACACAATACAAGAGATTTGCTACGAGCTCTCCCTTCCCCGACTACAAACGTCCATCTCCGCAAGAGTGTAAGGAGGCACATCGCATCCTAGTGGCATCTCACGGAGAACGGGACCCCACCGCCACGAATGCGATGAATGCAGATGGATTTGATCGTCCTACCGTCTTCACAGATCCACTGGATGGGCTTGTATACGGCTTATTATGCCAAGCCACCAACGAGCGCAACGCAATTCGACAGGTTCAGGCCATGGTCAAGGAATACGGGTCATGGACCGATTACAACGTCATCAGCGACGGCGGTGAGGCCACCCTTCGAGATGTGCTCTCCTGTGGAGGTCTTCATGTCAGGAAAGCTAAGTTCATCATGTCTATCCTGCACCAAGTGAAAAGCAGACATGGAGTCTACAGCTTGAATCATCTCTGGCCGCTTAACGATGAAGAGGTGATGGAAGAGTTTCTCAGCTACAACGGGGTCGGCCCTAAGACGGCAAGTTGTCTGATTGCTTTGACATTGAAAAGGCAGAGATTCGTTGTGGACACACATATCTATCGCATCACTGGCTTCCTGGGATGGAGGCCCATGCATGCAACACCAGAGGAGGCTCGTGCACATCTCGAAAGGAGGATACCCGATGATTTCAAGTATTCACTTCATCTACTGTTCATCACACATGGACGGGAGTGTCCTGAATGCAAGACTGGGTCCAAGATCACGGGGAGCTGTAATCTTCGGAAGGCGTTTCATGACCTGGTGCCAGATCTAGCAACCTAGCTCCTGAGGCGTTTTGTCATCTTCTTAATTTTTATTTTGCTTAGAGACCCCCTACCATGGGCGTTGTCAATTAGTTCAACATGTTCAAAAGGCGCCATGGCTGACTTTCAACAATCCATCAAAATTTTTCGGACAACATGTGATTAGGGCGAAGGAAGACACGCTCCAAGAATAGACTTACACGTTGCCGATAAAGACAAGACACTTGGTTTTATTGGTAATAGCATCATTACATCAATATGACAAACTGAGAGCTACACTAACGCGTGGTCAAACCATCCCAGTGTCCCACAGAAAACAAATCGTCTTCTAAATCATCTTTGAAGCTGTCTTCGAGTGGTATTCAAGAAACGCTCGTTTCCTAGATCGATGCAGCCGAGATGAATGCGGCCATGCTGGAACTGTTCGCTTTAGCTGAGGTTGTGGAAAGGCTGGTCATACATATAACGTGCTGAAAATTGAATTGGTTCCTGGGAAAAATGTGATGGCAATGGCTGTACAGTGCCAAAACTCTTGGTCACGTTCTTGCGATAAAAATTCTCGTACAATCAGTATGATCTCAATTCCGTTATCTGTCTTGATTCCTCCTGTTCTCGTGTCGATTGCGCCACTCCTACTGTATGAATGGGAGATTCGTGTAATCGGTTTCTCCTCTCTAATTGGGTTGTCAAATAATGAGGTCGTAGGGTTGATCCCGAGTACCAAGAGAATGCAAATGCAGAGAAAGATTTATAATTTCTCAATCTACCAACAGTAAAAGACCGACGAGTAGACAACTTGTATCATCAGGTATTCTATTGGATATTGGTCAAATATGTCTGGGATGAGCTCGAGCCCATCCAGTTTCATCAGGCAATACAACGTTGAACTGGAAAATCCTGAAACTCGGGGTCCCATCCTAACAGATTCCTATAGGATAGGTAACGTAAGGTAAGATAGTAGTCAAAGTTCGTACTGGAAATGGGGTTCCACCCCTGGTATTTATCCCATGCCAAGAAGTCTATACCTAGGTAGGTCGGCCCAACGAGTGTTGGGTTGCAAATTTTAGGATTATGAACTATGAGTAAACCCTGGGCACGATTTGTTACAATTACAATAGGGAATATCCAAAAGGCGTCGAAGAAGACCATACAATTTTCATGCGAAGAAAAATCTGATACTTAGGAACGGATCTAGTGAATGCTGGTGGTAAATTACGCAACCTACTAGGACTTACAAGCCCCACTGAGCTGGGGCTCGCTGTCAGAGACATCATCATATGTCGAACTGTGGTGTCCTGAACTGTGGGTTTGCGTGCCATGGTGTCCCCAGCCGTGGCCGTGTTTCCGCCCGTGGCCCCTGGCAATTCCAGTAGGGGTACTGCTTGGAATTGCACTAGCAGCAGCGCTAGTCGCAGCCGTTGGGATTTCGATCACAGAACTGCTCGACGCGTTCCCAGATCCACTTCCGATCGCGGCGACACCGGCATTTGTAGCTTCGGCTACGACTTCAGTGGTCTGGCTTGGGGCTTCGATGGTGGTTGCACTTGAAGCGACTTCGGTGGTCTGGATTGTGGCCTCGATGGTGGTTGCACTTGAAGCGACTTCGGTGGTCTGGGTTGTGGCTTCGGTGGTGCTTGCACTTGAAGCGACTTCGGTGGTCTGGGTTGTGGCTTCGATGGTGGTTGCACTTGAAGCGGCCTTGGTGACTGCACTCGCACTCTCGCTAACGGCGACCTTTGCGGTCGCACTGGTGGTGACTTTAGTGGCGGCGGTCGTGGAGGAATCAGTTGTACCATCGAGGCCCACGCAGGCAATGCTCATCTTTTTGCCAGTAGCAGAGGACGAGGAGTCATCAATAGGCTGCGAGAGGTCCCAAGTCATGTTGACGTAGGGCCAGCAGATTCTACCATCTGACATAGTAACCATGTCGCCAGCAACGTAAACATCGTCAGCGCTGAAAGCTTCACCAACCTTGGAGCCGGTGGAGTCAACTTGCTGGAAGTAAGTTCCAGCAAAGGAACCACGGCATCCCATGGCAATGAAGTCACAAGTCGGGTTCGAGATCTCCTCCCAGGTGATGAGGGCATTGTTACTTCCGAAGGTGGCAGCGTGAGCATTTGAGCAATCGTTAGATCCTGAGGTCACCCAGTTAACCTGAGCATCTCCATCCTCGGCACCCACCTCAGATGTGGCCTGGGCGCCGACCTTGGTATATTTGTCAGAGAAAAGCGAAATAGCAACATTGCGACCGTTTGTGCGGTTCTGCACGTTCGTGTAGCCAGTTCCCATCCAAGCGTTCTCTGTCACATCAATTGCGCCGCGGGAAACCCAGGCGAAGATATACTTGGTAGTATCGGCAAACCGAGCCAGCGCACTGTAGCTACCAGACATGCCACCCATAGGCTCACCAGACGCACCGTTGGTAGTGTTCTCGTTGGAGATTTTGACTCCATCGTTCGACATTCCTTGCGTCTTCGTATTCAACCAGATCGCGCCCTGATCTTCGGCGCAAATGCCGGCGAAGGGGGCGTCATCGGCTGCTTCGAATGCAATGCCAGTGTTGTGGCTGCAGCCCCATGCACTGCTAGCACCAGCGATTGTCTCCAATGTCCCGCTGGCAGAGACATACTCGACGCTGTCACCGAAATGGCCCGATGCGTCCCCGGTATAATCAGTCACGACAAAGTATGCACCGTAGAGCTCTGCACTCTCGGAGTAGACGAGATCACCATTCATGTCGGGAGAGGCAGAAAGTCCGTCGGACTCGTGCACACCAGGTCCACCCAGCCAAGTCTTCCATGTCTGCTTTCCTGAGGTGTAGCGGTATAGCACAGGGACAGGGGTTCCACTCGGCGGTGCATTGGTGGTGCCAGAAGGCATCGCCTCGTTGGTCAGAAGGGCAAATCCATCATTGTGGGCCACAAGACCCCCAGCTATACTATGCATTAGTGAACCAGCCTTTTGTTTGGTTATGGGAAAGTGGGGAACACGCCTTCCTTTCCACCAGAGACGGTCACAGTTGTACCAGTAGCAGCAAAGGTGGTAGGATCCAGCTGCTGCACATGAACATCTGTGGCACTGGAGTCAAGATAGGCAATGTAGGCTGATTTCCCATCAGGCGACACCGCAAAAGGAGTACGACGGTGGTGAGGATATCCAGTCCAGTAAGCGGCCTTCACGGGGTTAAAGGCGTAGTCGAGTGCCAGCACATCGACATGAGTCTTCAGGTTAGACTGAGAAACAGCAGCGCTGGCGCCCAGCGCCGCAGAAAGCAAAGAAAGAATGAAAGTCCCACGCATGTTGGGTTTGGTCGGTGTAGCTGTCTGTTTGCCATACTTAATGACGGATCGGCGCTCTTTAATACCCCATTTCTTCGGGGAACTTCCTGAAGGCTAATTCGAATGGATAAATCAGGGGTGTCATCCTTATGCCAAGTGGGTAGTGAAAGTGGATTGCTTAGCGCACCCCTGTCTGATTTATAGTAGTTTTGAACGGAACAGGGTCTTCATCCGTGAGACAGTGTTTCAGCCTTTGTCTGAACCTCCTAAACATTAAGACCCGGATATAACGATTAAGATCCAGTGCTTGAATTGATCCGCCATAGAAAAAACGTGGAATCCTATTTACTACTCCGTACAACATACGATAATCATTAATTCACCCTCTCTCCCACGCAAAAGAAAATAGTGGCCAACGGGATTCAATCACGTGTGTTTTAACCCTTTTTAACCAATTAAATGCCTCGTTAGCTAATCACGTAGCTTTTGGCTGATTTCCATCAATTAAAATGCCTCTCCGATCGATCCTAGCCTCCTTGAAAGTGACTCTACAAGAGTAGTCAATTAGTGCGCTTAATATGTTTGATGAAGTAAGAAAAGTAAAAGGCCAGAAGCAGAGCGATATCAGGGGCTTTTTTGGTGCCTGAATTTGTATATAGACCAGAAATATATATTTAATACATGGCAGATCGATTTAACGATTATTACCTGGTTATGACTGTTGAATAATGTACTATAGGAATAGTACACTAAACAGCATGTAGTAACTAGGATTGTGAATCTTTTCACAAGTGTAGGAAATTAAATTGAAAATTGTCTGATCCTCTCAATGCTTGGGGATGAAGCCATTAAACATGGCTTCATCCCCACCCCTGTGAATCCTATCTTCCTTTCTGGCTTGTATACATTTGCGACGAAAAATGTGATGTGGAATCATGAAGAGTCAGTTCAATGAGATGTATCATTATTGAGTACTAGATTCTTTAAGATCCCGTTGACTGAAAGCAGTCTACTCTAGAATATAGGCTTGAAACTCGGAATACTAGAGTTTGTATGGTAGAATATGTGATAGAGGCGTCAAATTGCATCGACGCCGCTAATCTCAATTCCGTAGGAGCTCTGCAAGATTAGGCGCCTGAGAATCATTTGCATGCACGGAATCAATTAGGGTTTAGCGTTGAACTGGAACCAATTGCATGTGTACTTCTACCTCTTTAATTTCGCATTCGTGTTAAGCCGGATCATCCGATATAGACTGTCGGTAACTACGGAGTAGTGCTTACCTTGATGTTTCACTTAATTGCATTTTATACAACACAGCTCACTATTAAAAATTGTTGAAATTCAACCCTTTTCATAATTTCGCACAAGTATCACTTTTCACACCGAAGGAGAGAACGCCACCAAAACTGCCAGTCAAGTATTTTTTTGCGAGAGCGTGATATTCACTTCTCGAGTTTCTTGTACGGAGTAAAGAGAATGTGGATGAGAAGTATTCGGAAATTATACTACGGAGTACACAAAAATGTCCGACTAGTTACTGTGGGGTTTCCCGATTGGGCTCTTGTCCTGACTAGCGGACAACCTCCAAGGGGGTCAGCCCTGGAACCCGAAATTAATTATTAAACAGTGTACAGCAATATTTTATAAATCGTCTACCCCATGAGAAAAAAACCGACCCAGCGTTTGTTGATAGCGAGAGAAAGGAGTAGAACGAAGAGCGTTGGACCCTGTGGAATGGGTTTGATCTAGATGTACTACAACATAGATTTCTACTTCATCTTATAACCTATTTGTATTTTTCTTTGCACAAATCAAACCATATATACTACTCCATCCAGTATATCTAAGCCCTAGTATCCATTTTCTAATCTGACTTCTCCAAGCTCTGTAACCTCACTAACTCAAAATACCTTCCCCCCAGCTCCATCAACTGTTTATGCGTCCCCTGTTCCACAACATTACCTTCATGCAACACTATAATTACAAGTTAGACTCTGCAACAATAAAGTTCAATATATGTTTCTTACCATAAATACAATCGGCTTTCTGCACCGTGCTTATTCGATGCGCAACGGCAACTGTTGTTCGGCCTTGAGCCGCCGCATTCAGAGCATCCTGGACGATCTTTTCAGACTCCGAATCGAGTGCAGAGGTTGCCTCATCTAAAAGGAGGATACGTGGATCACGGAGAAGCGCTCGCGCAATGGCTATTCGTTGTTGCTGCCCGCCAGAGAGCATACCACCCCTCGCCCCTATGAGGGTCGAGAAGCCTTCACTGAGCTGAGCGTTAGTAGGTGTGAATTGGAGTGCAATCAAGAGATATAGAAAGACAAAAGAGAGAAAAAGACACAAAGCTGAAGGGGTAGCTTACGGCAGAGATTGAATGAAGTCATAGATATTGGCATCCTTGCATACTTTGGTGATCTTCTCCTCGGAAACATCGTCGTCGTTGGTTCCCAGGGTAATATTCTCCCTGATGGTTCCTTGATACAGTGTTGGCTCTTGACTGACTAGAGCAAGGTGACTCCTGTAGCTTTGGACATTCAACTTGGAAATGTCTTTCCCATCAACCAATATCTGACCCACTTCAGGATCAAAGAACCGCTCCAGCAAAGCAATGATGGTGCTCTTCCCACAACCACTCGCTCCTACAAGACCGATGTATTGTCCTGGTTGAACACTCAAGCTTAGGCCGTTAACAACCACCCTCTCCGGTCTGTTGGGGTATCGGAAATAGATATTCCGCATCTCCAAGCTACCATCGATTTTGGTTAATAACAGGTCACCAGTTTCTTGGCGGGCATCAATGTTGACAGGTTGGTCCAACAACCTTTTGATGTCCTGGGCCGCCTGGCGGGATTTGCTCATATCTGGCGCAAAGGAAAAAATAGCTCCGGCGCTGAATGCGCCTACCACAATAGCTGCATAGGCGATGAAGAACTGCACCATAGAATAGCCTTCACGAACTATTAAACTTCCTCCATACCAGAAGGCCAGCGCAATGCATAAGAAGTTGGCTGACTGTGAGGCTGCATAAAAGGTTGATGACTTGAGCGTTGAAACGACTGATTTTTGTCTCTGGGCTTCCAATATTTTATGATACTCTTCCTGTACATGGCTTTCGAGATTTAACGATGCAACCGTCTTGATGGCAGAGCTTGCTTCACATGCATAGGTTGCTGAAGCTGCATATACTGCCTTCGACTGTCGAGCTATTTCCCCGAGGATCTTGAGTCGGACGAGACCACAAGAAAGAACAATTGGAATGGTTGCGGTACAAACGAGTCCTAGCTTCCAACCTATCGCAATTGAAATGGCAATTCCAGCAATCAAAGTCGTTGAGACAATGAAGATAGAGCCCAGTGTCACACCACTCATTCCCGCAAGGTTGGTGGCATCCGTGGACAGTGAGGCTGTGAGCGAACCAGCAGAAAACCCAGCTTTGTCGAACATGAAAATATCCTGATAGAGCATTGCTCGGAAAGAACGATCTCTGGCACGATGAATGAGGCGCTCCGAGCAGTAGGCGAAACAGAGACCTGATGCTCCCCAGCCCAGGAATGCAGTACCTCCTAGCATCACATACATCGCACTCCAGAAGTTGACATCCTGACGTAACTTTCCATACATATTAGGAGGTAACGACATTGCCGCAATTGTTTTGCCGTAAAGCACAGCTTGCCTAGGGGAATAGTCAGCATCGAAATTCCGCACGACGCGGGAGAATGGGGTTTTACGTGGGATTTCCAGCCCCTGTGACGATTGAAAAAAGCAGGCCCCAAACCATAGTAAGCGTTTCTTCCTTGTTAAAGTTGGCAACGAACTTTATCAAAGTCCACAAGGAGTATTTACGTTCGCCAAAGTCCGCTTCAGAATCTTTCTTGAGGTCTGTGGCTCCCCGGTACTCTCCCATCTCGCATGTGTACTTTTTGGACTCATTGCCCTCACCTTTCAAGTCGGGAAACTCGGGATCTGCATAGAGAGCCGACTTTGCTTCACTAATGACGATACCCCTTTCGGTTGACATGCGCTGCTTCTCCACTAACTCGTAATACGTTTTTCGTTTCTCAAGTAGGTCGTTGTGGGTTCCTTGCTCAACCACGCGTCCGTGAGACATGACAACAATGTTTTCTGCCGCCATGATAGTGGATAGTCTAAATCATGATTAGTCTTTTCCCTAAGGACTAGTTAAACACATACCGGTGACTTATTGTGATCGTTGTCCGACCTTTGGCAGCAACATCAAGCGCTGCCTGTACCAGCCGCTCCGCCTGGGCATCTAGAGCTGAAGTAGCCTCATCCAGTAGCAAGACCTTCGGATTGCTAATAATAGCCCTTGCAATGGCAATTCGCTGCTTTTGTCCACCCGAAAGCAATGAGCCCCTTTCACCAACACTGGTGTGAAATCCGTCCGGCAACGCAGAAATGAACTCAAAACAGTTGGCTTTCTTTGCTGCATCAAACACAAGGCTTTCTACCACATTGTGAGGAGAATTTTCGTGTTCAGTACCTGTGAGCCCAAATCTAATATTTTCAAATACAGTTGTGGCGAAGAGTGTGGGCTCTTGTGTGACGATCGCTATCTGTCGGCGTAACCATTGCAGATTTAGAGACGTGATGTCGTGGTCATCGAGTACTATTACCCCATCATTAGCACATTTCATCTTTCACACGGGAAAAGGCTCACATATTTCACCACTGATTGGTTCGTAAAACCTTTCAATCAGACCTGCCAACGTGCTTTTCCCACAGCCAGAAGCACCCACAATCGCGGTCGTCTTCCCAGCTGTAAATACAAGATTTACTCCATCTAAAGTCAGTACGTCTGGCCTAGAAGGGTAAACATGGCGAATGTTCTTGAATTCTATCGTCCCAGACACAGCTTGTAGACTGCTTCCTATGGAGGATGATGGATCCAGCGGTGAATGCCTGGACACGGTTGCAAGGATCTTTCCTGTTGCTGCCACGCCAGTTGCGAACGCTTGGAAATTAGGTGCGATGTTACCAAACGTGAACGCTCCAGTCAGCGTAGCAAGAAGAATGGTTATAAGAGCTCCCAGTTCAATATCTCCAACAACAAGATAACGAGATCCTTGCCAGAATGTGAGTCCGTAGGTCAGGAATATAACGCCATTCATGATGGCCATCATGACCGCAAGAGCAATACGACTCTTCAGACCATAAGCCTCTGCCTTAGTGAGAAATTTCTGATACCGATCGGCCAGCCTGTCTTGGATTCCAAATGCAGTAACATGCTTGATTGAACTGATGGCCTCCTCGGCAGCTGTCGATCCGTCTGCATATGCTGACAGAGACATGTGCGTATACTTGACCATAAACGACGAGCATATACTCATGGATCCCGTTTCTGCCACAATTGCAGATATCAGAATCAAAGCCATGCGCCAGCTTTTCACGAAGCTGATGATAAAAGCTGTCCCGAAATTGGAACATGAGTACAGAGTCAGAGAAAGTTTGCCTGTCAAAGAATCTTGGATCAGATTCATATCAGCCGTAATCCTGGTTGTTATTTCTCCAGCTCCAAGGACATCAAAAAATGCTATGTTTTGGCGGAGGATAGCGGCGAGATATCTCTCTCGGAGTCGTTGGGTTATATTCTCTCCTCCTATCATGAATCCGGCTGTCGAGATGTACACTGAAATAAACTGTCCAATGGCGATGTATACATAATACAGGGCAAATCTTGCAACCAGAGATGAGAGGTGAGAGCCAGAAGCCGTTCCGAGGAAGAACTCCTTGAATGCTTGGGCCAATCCACCTAAAAAGAGCTGTATGGCGGGAATTAGGTTAGGGCATTAAATGTCTATGAAGAGCAGCTCACAAACGATATGGGTTGAAGGGCCCCTCCAGTTATAGCTGCTATTGAGCTGATGACCAAGACAAATAGTTCGTACTTTGTTGCACATGAATACAAAAGCCCCAAACGACTCATCTGCGATTCCGAAGTGTCTATTTGGCGCCTGAGAATCTCGTTCTCGTGTTCTTGTAACTTCAAACCGGGCGCCATAGGGGAGGGTGGTTTCGCGCTTGTCGCGCCTTTGTCCAACATTTTGATGATCTCGCTGTCGATTTCACACGTTTGTCGACAGTGAAAACGATTGCCCGTACTCCAGAAGGTTACGACAAGAGGGTGAACAAGATAAAGTATTGTTTCGTTCCTGCTCTTGCTATAGTTGTCTAGCCAATCACAGGCCACCGTTACCGGCCATTCATTAAGACTAACAATGACTCATGTCACACCATCCCAGGGATCTATGTAGTTTATTTTGTCCCATAATATCTCAGAAACTTTCGGGATTAGTAGGAATTACCAATTGTTTTCCCCGGGTTCCCTTTATGGTCCTTCTCTTTTCTCACCTCCTTCGTCTACTTGAGTCCCTCTTGCTTGGGCAGCAAGCTTCTATAGAGGCTACCAGAGTAGTACTATACAGGCATATCCCGCTATCCATGCCATTGTTTCGGTTACAGCATACAGCATACAGGCAAAGCAATATGTGTGGGGCAGAGCTGGCCTGCCAAAACTGTCCCTCGGTCTAATAATGCACACTCCGAATATTCTAACCAGTCACATTTGCTTAATATCTAATTTGGGATCCCCTCTAGTAGTCCCGGATGCGCCGAGGCTCTGAGACATCAAAGCCAATCGAGCCCTGGAGGGATCCATTGACCATCCTTTTAGTCAGCAACACCCTGCAAGGTTCAGGGCCCCATGGCTGCCTGTATCTTCAGGCGAATAAGATGAGTCAGCTGGAGAGACCTCCAGGGCTCCAGAGCTGGAGCCCTGGTCAACCTCGTGGCTGTGTTGATCACCAAAGCATCTTGACACTTGGTTAGTCTTATTGGTCAAATCAATGCAACACATGCGCGATCAGCACATAAGGTTAGGGTTATAAGCACCACGCCAGAGCATTATAAGCACCGTGCCAAGTACCAGCATCGCCCCTTTGAATAGTGTGTTCACTGACTATTGGATGGTCGACAGTGAACAGTGCAACTAACAAAGGCAGCAGCCATGGTAGCTTACGTGGACAGGCAGTTCCTTTAAGGCTCTTTCTATCCTTGTCTTTATGCCTATCCTATCTGCTTGCACCAAGATCATTACATCACAAATCATAGCTAGTCCCCCCGCACATCCGACAGCCGACTCTAAGTCCAGAACTGGGGAAAGACAGCCTGATCTTGCCACTTGGGCTCGCTCAAGAGGTATCGAGACTCAGCCTCGCTCGGCCGTAGCTAGCATCTTCGACCATGGTATACTGCGGGCGCCCTTCGGCAAGTTGCGCGCTATGTCGCACCAGCAAAAGACGAGTGCGTGCTTTGTTCATCACATATGGCTCGTCATATCACCACTGACCAGCCACTACATCTAGTGCGACAAAGCGGTTCCATCCTGCGGACAGTGTATGTCTTGACGTTCCCCGTTCCCATTCTATGAAAGCCCCACAACTCACCTCATCCCCACCACCCCTCAGGCCGTCGGAAGGGCCAGAATTGTCCAGGCTACCACGATGCATCAAGCCTCATCTTCCGCGACGAGACAACCCGGGTCATCGACCGCGCTCGCACTCACAAGATACCACGTGGGAATTTACCCCCTAGCCAAAGGACATCTGCCAAATCGTCACCCGCCTCCTTCAACCTGTCGTTGGGCGTGTTGCGGCCCCCAGCTTCATTGTCCGATGACTCGGCGAACAGGTCCACACAGTACGACAATGACAACGACAACGACCCGAACAACCTAGAAAACTCGAACCGAGAGGATAATGGGAAATGTGGACAGGACAAGAAAGAGAGCGCGGCACACAAATACAAAGACGTCACAGAGAATCTCATCGATAGTATTATGTACGATGATAGCTCAGTTGTGCTCAGTGGGATGGACATGTTCGTAGATGACACTAGCATGTTGTGGGAGCCAACCCAGTTGATGCCCGTATTATTGTCGTCATCCCGTGGCAAATCCCCAACGCTGAGCCTTGACTTGGACGGCCAAATTCTGTCTATGCTGATATCCCCCACGGTGCCATCTCAGAGTCTCGAAGAGCTGGGGATAAACTACTTTATAGCAAACTATGTCATGAAAGACTCTGGGCCGTGCCCCGGCGTCTTCAACTACGCCGAGAACATACTCGCCAGCCCAGCCGGAGACACGGAGCTGGCACGCGTGGCCATCCAGGCAGTAGGCCTCGCCGGGCTAGCCAACATCACAGGCGCCGACAGCGTCATGCGCAAGGCACGCTCCAGCTATGCGGAAGCTATCGAGAGGGTCAATGGGGCGCTAGTGGATCCCCGCGTGGCCGGGAGCGACAGTGTCATCTTCGCTGTAATGGTTCTGGGGCTCTTTGAGAGCATCACCTGCTCGGACGATGAATCTCTGGAGGCGTGGAAGTGCCATATCAACGGTGCCGCCTGCCTTCTGATGCTTCGCGGCACGTCCCAGTTCCGTACGAAGCAGGGCCTGCAGATATTCGGCGAGGCCGTCTCCCACATACTCACACTGTGCTCGAGGTACGACCAACCTATGCCCCCGCGTCTGCGCTACTTGCGCGTCGAGATGGAGCGGAACATTAATGGCAAGAGTCCGTCTTGGATACTAAGTACTGCGCACATCGAGGTTATGAATCTGTACAGCCAAGTGCAACCAGAACAGGAGACACCCTTTCTAGCCGGAGAGTGGGAGACGCTCCTCTCGCACGCCGCCGAGCTGAGTCAGCGACTTGAAAACCTCTTCGCTGAGCTACCTGTGACCTGGCGTTTCAAGACGGTCAATGACCCTATGGCGAATCCACGCCTTGTGTTCCAGGGCAAATACCATATCTACTACAACACGTGGGTAGCCAAGATATGGGACGGGATGCGTGCATGCCGCATCATCTTGAACCAGGTTATCTACTGCCTACTGCTACGCGAGGGACTTGCGTTGGCACCGCAAGAGTTCTCAGACGGCGGCGCCTACACGAGCCTGCTACAGAGGACGTTAGACACGACAACAGAGATGCGCGACGATATTCTCGCGTCGGTGCCTCAGATGCTTGGCTTCATCCAGCACGAAGCCACAACTGGCGCCTCGTATATGGACTGTAGCAGCAGCGCTGACCCGTCACGCTTGATCCCAGCCTCGGGTGCGTACTTTGTCGTCTGGTACTTATACCTTGCCGGGAGCCTGCCGATCAACACGCCAGAGACACGTGAATGGATCGTAGATCGTCTTCGTGCCATTCGCTCTACAACGGGCATTCAGAAAGCAGCGTATCTGGCTGACATGATAGAGAAGGATGTTGGCCATCTTAGCGCCGTGCTGCCAGCGAGCGACTTTCTGCTTCCCCCCTGTTGACATGGTTATGTTCTTAGTTCTTGGTTATATATTGCATGTGTTAAATTTTACATGGGTAGCGGTTTAGATCTTGCGTATACAGCGATATACATCTAGCAGATATCAAGAGATAGGAAGTCAGCGTTCCAATTTTGTACAGATAAAGGACAATTTGCAAATTTTTCAAAATTTGTGATAGACCTGTGTGAAGTTTATGTATATATCTCGGCACGCAACAATGATGAAAACACCCGAGCGTTACGAAGTTGAAATAACCAATTTTGAACTTCCACATAGGCTCTGTTTGGTATCTTTTTGCCTAGCAGGTACTCCACTCCATTGATCTCGTACATAATCTTGATCTATACGGATTTAGGCCAACTACGGAGATCCCGAAAGTGCAAAATTTCGCATCAACCCTTATTTCGAAATTTACTGCCAGTTCTTTTCATCTTGACATCCATTGCGCCATCCAATGTATCACCGAAGAAGTATATTTTGAGCTATTTCATCCAGTTGAAGTGTGTATATTTCAATCGAGATACTGTAGATACGCTGAATTAGATAGGAATCGTAACGAAACTATTCATGGGAAACATCTTAATAGGGGCTAAACTGGAATAGAAGGCGGTGTTTAAAGGGGGTAAAGCCCCGAGTAATACGAGTTTCTTTCGCACAATACATTACATCGTGCAACTTAAATTCTCAACACAAACTTAATTAGCCGATATAGAACAAAGCATCTGCCTTAGACTTAATGCGCAAAATTGCCTCATCTAGCCCCGATAAGGCCCCATGCACCCAATCATATGTTGAGAACTCGTCGCGAGCCCGGCTATACGCGCAGCGGACGGAGCACCCTCTCATGCCACTGAAGGCTCCTAGGCCACAGCCTCGTAGTAAGAAGGAAGTCAACGTTAACCTTCCTGAAGCGCGCCATCAGGTTCTCATCAAAGTTGAAGCCCGGCAGCTGACGCAGCGGGTCGTGCACCTCTTCCAGCGTTGGCGCCTCTACCAGCAAAATACTATCGAAGCGGTACCCATGGGCGTTCGAGGGAGCGTCGGACACGGCAGGAAGGAACGGGTGGGCCTCGATCCGGTGCGCCGCCAATAGCGAGCAGGCCTCCCGGCTAGTAAGCGTCTTGGCGCTGTGAACTACGAGACACTAGGGTAGGGCCACGAGTATCGGCACCATACACCGGAGTGCAGCTTAGCGGCACCGGTCGTTAGAACCGTGTCGAATTTCACGCCAAACAGCTTCTTACCGGCGATGGCGTTGGCGCGGATCGTGTCCAAGAAGGTCTGCGCCAAGACGCTGGCCCAGGCAGCCTCGGCGACCATCAGCATGTTGGTCGACATTGCCTACGCCTCCCTGACAGCTGTCGCATTGGTAAGCTGGCCTTAACACTGACACTGCGAATGTGCTTCTCCGCGAACCCGGGGGCTGCGTTTGGGAGTAATGCTCCGCCACGGGCTGACGCTCGCCAAGCCGGCTCCCGCGGACGCCAGCGAGACGGCCCGCCCCGTACATAACGGTCTGGATCCAGTCGTAAATGAGCTCGAGCTCCACAGAAGCTCGGATCCACAGCAGCTCCATGAGCAGCGTAGGCCCGGGCTTGGCGTACTCGGCCAGCACAGCATAAAACAGGAAATTGATCTGCGTGTCATCATAGACACCATTGAATATTGACGTGATCATGACACAGCTAACGCAATTAGGTGATCACACCCACGCTACGCGGAGGCTGGGCTTGTTAGCGCTCATACTGGCCTCGGGGGCTTTCTGGATGCTATTGATCGTGTGGCTTTAAACGTCATTACGGCCTTCGTCGTCTGTGTTGTCACAGATAACCTCGGCCTTGGGAATGCGGGCTACCGACGGCGAGAGGATGCATTGCGCAAACGGTGCGATATGGTGCTCAACGGACATGAAGACGGTGAGGCAGTTGTACCGCGGTAACTCGGTGTCGACGGCGCACTGGAGCCTGGGTACATGTCCTCGGGAATCATGTACACAAAGTGTGTCATCCGAGGCCGGCCAATATACCTGGTAGTATCATAATATTCCGGGTCGATACTGAGAGCAACGAATCCGGCCTGCACATTGGTGATAGGCAAGACTTGATCGACTTGGTTGTCGTCTAGCTTTAGTGTCGCGAGACACTACGCGCGGCAGTGGTGGTCGAACTGGCGTAGTTTGGCCGCGACCGGAAGTTTTAACACTTCCTCAGTGTCAGCCGCTGCGATGACAGTGACATCAATGCTGTCAGCGGCGGCGACAGCAGTAACAGGCCTAGCTAGGGTGATACTAGGCTCAGGCTTGTGCTTGTGAACAATCACAGGAGCGGTAGCGAGTGCCTCCTTTGCTAGCTGTTTGTTGACTGTGTTGATCAAGTCGGATGTTATTGCTGGCCAGGACTTCATGTGTTTCCAGGTGCGTACTGCCCAACTCATCTGCTGCTTACGGTCCGTGGCTGCCACAGAGGGATGGTGTGATGTGGGCAACTTCCTCATCAATGAATCGCAGTGAGACAACTAGCGGCAGCAGCAGCTCAAGGCTATTGTTGTTTGTACTAGCCCGCGAAGTAGGCGCGTAGATGCCAAAACTTAAGCCAGAAAGATCTGAAGCCAAGTGCCTCAGATGAAGTTTTCGTCAACTCTGAGATATCTCCGGACGCCGTGGTCGTGTAGATCGATGTTTGCTTGAAGTTGTCATCTGCAATGAAGGTGACATCGGTGCCGCCAGTCACAGCCAAGATGAAACGCACAAAACGCTGGAGGACAGCATGACAATCGCCCGGGACGGGGATCGCGTGGGCCGTGACCTCATGGTATGAACACACGGTCGCAGTTTCCACGGTAAATCACTTTGATAAAAGAATATGTGGTGTAAACCGAAACCGAAAGATAGATGATGTTATTGTGTACAATTAAGATATAGAGATACAGACTGCTGATTCTCGGTTCTCTCTAAATAGTATGAAGATGATTTAGATCGAAGTTCCAATCTAATTGTCAAGGCGCTATTTCAAAGTGATGATGGTCCTATCGATAGCCTAACAAGGCAATAAACATGATTGCCGAATATACACCCATGGATGAAACTATACCGAGTAATCATTACATTCTCCAATTGCTATGAGCGGACACTTTCAGAGGTGTGGCCCTGATGCTGACCTCGGAGCATTCTAGCCCTGGAGTAGTAGTAACCACTTGGGCACCTGGACACCGGGACCCAGAAAGATTCCACGATCTACCTAAGTATATAGGTACATTATGTAGCTAAGATTATGACATAATATCAAATCGAAGCCCCTGAATCCATGGATGGATCACTCCAAGGTTGAAGCTTGGAACCCCGAGGATCGCCACACACTAGTCCCATTAAGGTATGCAGTTGTACTTAACCTCCTTAATATGCCTTCATATCACCATAACTCATGAGTCGTGGCTTATTTTATTCTAACTATCTCTAATTACCCCCTCGCCCATCTACCCGTGTGCCGTCAATCGCCGCAATGACTGTATCATATCGCACCGCCATCACCATGGTTCAATTCATCTTTTTTGTGCCCTCCGCTGTCTACGCCATTTGGCTCTGTTTCCGCTATGGCCTGAAAGCCGCAGGCACGTGGCGGTTTATTGCAACGCTTTCTTTGCTGCGTATAGCAGGTAGCATTTCCTACTTTGTCTCCTTAAGAAGTCCAGGTCTTCATGTCATTGTATCCGTTGTTGTCTGTGAGCTTTCAGGCTTGGCACCCCTCATGCTCGTATGCGTTGCCCTCGTTGGCCGGGTGTAAGTACATTCATCCCAAGGAGTTGCCTCTGCCCTGAACTTTGTGCTAATCTACCACCCAATAGGAACAAGACTGCAAAGGTATTCCCTGGAAAGGCCGCAATTGGCATATCTCTACTCTCCTTGCTGGGCCTGATTCTCGGTATTGTCGGGACGGATAGGGCTCTCGAGGACGCCAAAACCACGGACGAGATCCACGTCAACAGCCTCACTAGGGCAGCATTGGCCCTCTTCCTTGTCGGTTTTACTCTGATGCTCGTCAGTTACTTTGCTTTGGTGCAAGACGTACTACGCCATCCCGCGAAGCGAGCCGTCCTTGGAACCGAGGCGTGCATCCTAGCCATCGTGGGACTCGCTGCGCCCTTTGTCTTTATCCGTCTGCTTTATAGCGCCCTTGGTGACTTTACCGGGGCTGAACTGTGGAGCTCCGTTAGTGGTAACGATACTGTCTATCTTATCATGGATGTCCTCATGGAGATTATTGCCATCAGCATCATGTACACGACCGTGTATTTCGCGCCGCTGCCGAAAGACCCCCCTGCGGAGCGCATTACGGACGCCGAGAGGGGTGACACTGATGAGTTGCATGAGTCACGGGAATCTGCGTCGCCTTCTGTGGTTGAACTTGGGAGCAAGAGGTAAAGAGCTCTCAAGGAAGAGAGCCCGAAGTCCAACGAAGCTCAAGTGGTTTGGCGGGGTCTCAGTGAGCGGGGGTACATATATGATAGCAGTTGATAAGCCGGCTAGCTATCTATCAAAGCGCACTTGTAGTTATGTTGGTGTTCTATCTGTTTTCTTTCCATCATTTGTTGCATTTTGTTCACAGAGACTCAAAGAATGTATTTTGAGCACAGACGCACCCAATTGCGTGCATAGCCTACCGATAAAGATTTATTCTGCCTCAAGCTCTGAACTTTCAATCATTTCATATCCGCACATATTCATTCATGTACTGAGTATATGATTACGCAGTCTTTGCTGTCGTGTTCTCGCTTCATTCCGCTGCAGTAGCAGGCTTGCAAGGTGGCTATACCGTATCCGCTTCTCTCGTTGACAATCTATTGTCTATACCGTTCTTGACTCTCTATTGGTCAGACGCTACAATTCTATATTCTGTACGGAGTATAATATAAATTTTAATCCTTAATGAAAAAGGATTTCCGCCATCTAGCTTCAATCTCATCTGTTCAGGGGCTCCACTAGAGAAAACAGCTCCTTACGCTACTGTATTTCGGGCTCCTTCGGTTCTCAAGAGTAGTGCCTCCAAGGGAGACTACAACCTTGAAAGGTTCCAAGGTTGTAATACTGTTTACCTAAACCGGCGGTATTGGGCAGGTGCGCAGGTGGGGACGAATATAGGCGCTACCTAGGTACCTCTGTAGCTACATTCCTAGCACCCAATGAGCGATAACCGCTGCCCCACACTGCCCCTTCTAACCTTGGGTTCCAAGGTTGCGGTGCTGGTCGCCCAAATAGGAAGGTATATGTGACGATCATCACTGCTGCAGGAACATCCCCCCAACCTATACTTCGTACTTCGTAGGTACCTACCTCCAGCGCTACCTAAGTTACCTAAAGTATCATAGGTGCGGGGCTGTATGGCCTCCCGCCGGTGCCGTGGGCGGGTCTGGGTGCCGTATGTATGTTGTAGGTAGATTCCAGTTGTTTATCCACGCTAGACTGGTCCATGTAAGCGCATCACCAAAGGATTTTTCGATGAGGTTTGAGTTATTTTGGGAGTAAACACGGACACATTCCCTCTTGAGGGCCCTGTTGGATTTCGACAAGGCTCTCAATACTCGTTCTAAGGGGGAAATCGGATACTCTGTCACTGTTCAGTCTCACCATGGTGAGCTCCGACGTACACCGATTCGGAAAGCATTGGGAGGAAATACCTTGGAATAGATCTATATAACATGTATGGCTACGCACAGAATCATAAATCATATCAACCATCAATCACTTCACAATTCATAAAGCAACTAGTCTTTCTCAGTTTCCAATCATTCACCTCAACCTCAAATCAAAATGGCGGCTCCAGAAAATATCACCATCGATGATCTCACCGGACGGTGGAGCATGGTACGTAGAATACGCAAGCCGCAGACAGGCTGCCCCAACAAACAAAAAAGCCGACCCTTCACTGCAGAACCTCCAGCTGTCGGACTCCTATGACTCTATTCTCAAGATCCAGGGCGTCAACTGGCTCAGCCGCAAGGTTCTCAACGTGGGTAGCATCACCATGACCATCAAGCAATATATCGACGAGGTCGGCTTGACGCATCTCACCATCGACTCCAAGAGTGGATCGGGCCTGCCAGGCTCCACCGAAAACCGCCTTCTCAACAACGAGACCAGACATGCTACCCACCCACTCTTCGGTAAGATTACCGGCCGCACGGCCTGGGTCAATTTAAACGACCTTTCATCTACATGGCTCGCCAACGGCTGGGAGCAGGGTACCACCAGGGCCATCCTAATGACCACTGAGCACCTCGACATCGATGGCGTTACCTACCAGGCTGGTGGGTTCGAGCAGTTCAACGGTGAGCATCGCTATATCCGCCACATCGAGGTTCTCAAGGGAGGCGAAATTCTCAAGGCCAAGCTGGTCTATGACTATCTGGGACCCCTGTAGGAGTAAGACAAGTGATTACCAGATCGTGTTTAGCGGCATGCAGGGGTAGCGGCGACCGTGTAGGGCGTCTGACAGCTGCACTGGAGTCAGAGTCTTGACTGGATTCTGGAAGGAATCAACAGGGGTTAAGAATGTTCGGCACCCGTCGCATGTTGGGATACTGGATGTGTATGCGCTAGATTGAGTATGTGAACTAGACTGGGACAATGTAATGAATAGAAGAGATTTGATACTCCGAACCACCAGACCTGCTTGGGTTTTGTCTTAAACTCGAGTAGCGTAAAAGGCTCGCGGTAACTAGTGCATTTACAACTCTGGAAGCTAAAGACGGAGTGGGGGTTAAATGGCAGGACACGGGGAAAGAAAAGCTAGGGCTTGATTTAGTAGCTTCAAGAAGACAATAAGTAAATAATTGACAGTGTTAGACTGTGTTTACTTAGATGTATGTAGACTCATGTCACACATACACACGTGAAGGGCTAATCTAGACAAAGCGAATGAACATGGGAAGTAAGGAGAAAAGCACGAACGCATTTCATTGAACGGAGGGCAACAGACAATGCGAGCGCAGGACAGCTTCCTCCGCCTTGCATTTGACTCAGTCATGGCAATTACCGTGGCGTCTGAAGCCCGATCCGACGGCTTAGACCTGCTGGTTGCACAGCTTTTGAAGTGCGAAAGTCTGACTGGCGTGTCCGATCTCGTCGCAGATCGGCCCAGAATTTATATGGCGCCCATGGACCCAGACCCTTTTTCCCTCTGCGACCCAAGCAGCCCCGGCTGCCTTGATTCGCAAACAACCTTCACGTCTCGAAGTTCAACAATGGCATAATTAATATCCTCCCCACTACGGTAACCCGAAGCTTCTTCCTATCGACGGTCGCTCGGTGACTATTACTGCATGCTACGTGGGCCGATCAATATCGACCGACTACAGCCTGCATATAGGCCTGTGCATTTTGCGGACGGTATCCATCCTGCCAGTTAGCGGTAGTCTCGCTCAGGTAGTCCTGCGATCTCCCTGGAACACCGGACCGTCGGCGCGCTTTATGCTTATCTCTAGTTCGGACACGGAGCACGCCCTGTGGGTTCCCATGTCCCACGCCCATCCTCCGAAATATTTCGGGGGACATTCAACGACAACATCGACTGCAACGACGGCCAGGGCGATAGCAACGACTGCCTCGACATGAATATCTCCCTCCCAGTAGTAGCTCCCTTCCAACACTTCTCTACACGGGCGGTAGAAGATCCCGACCTTTCCTGACGATTATCCGGCAATCAGATTCTAGCGCCAGAACTTTGAAGAATGGCTATCGATGACAGCGCTAGCCTTCGAAACGGCATCCTAGGACGGCAACCGATCACTAGCGCACCCGCCAATGGATCCCTCTCATGGATCCCTCCCCGCCGTTCTCTACAACCTCGGTGTGCCCACTCTCCCAAACGCAGCATCTGGTCTTGTTCTGTCCAGTCCAGTCGACGAGAACGCCTCATCTTCGGAAATAAAAGGAACATACATAAGGCGGTTGTCTTCACTGGCATCGAAGCCGCCGTGAGTCCCTGCCTAGATATCAATGCACTGCGGGTATGCCTAGCGCGCCACACGACCTTCGCGGTACTCTGCTGCTCTATCCACGAGCAGTATGTCTAGGTGACGAGTCACGCAGCCTGGGATATATCGAGTATCGTGGCTCGCTGCACCGACTGGCTGGCGGATACACAGCTAGGCTGTATAGTGAATCACCTAAGAATGGGTATGGGTCCGGTACAGCTGACGCGAGACGGGATGACTTGCTTATCGCTTCGAAAGTTGGTGAACATTCACTTATCATGCCTGTTGATTTTCTGGTTTGTTGCTGATCAGTCACCTCTACCGCGCTGGTGGATAAGACAAGGCTTGTGGGAAGGCGCTGCAGTGGGCGCGCTCCTAGACCACGGTTAATAGACCTTAGTGTCTGAGGATGGAGATGATGTGATATATTGATCATAGGATTTGGCTTGACTGAGTGGAGTAGGGAGATATTTGCTGTGCCTTGCCCTAAATTGCGGACCTTTCAAATTTAGACCACGTCGACTCTCTTTGAGAGGAAACCTCGGGAAGTTCAAAACATGTTAGTAAGCAATGGCCTCTCCCGAGGTCTTACGAGATATCTACAACATAACTATGTACTCCGTAGTCCCCTACACGTTGTTCCAGATGACATTCTGCATTTTTAATTGCTTACAAAGTGATTATGATGTACCACATATGGCCATTTAATTGCTATTTATACTTCTATAGGCTACATAATTACTACTAGGTTTCTAGGTGCTAGCTAAAAATGCATACCCGTAATGAATGATAACAAAGGGACTAGCTCTTAAGATTATCTTCCTAGGTTATAGTCCGTAGTGATATATGTATGGCTTTCTTTTTATTTCCCGAATCTACCATTTAACCCATCCCGGTTATCGCCTATAACATAGGTCCTACCTGAGGGTCTTGCAGATCTGATCTCCAGTGGCCACTGAAACATTCTCCAAATGTTTCACCGCAATTCCCTTTCCCGAGAAATGTCTCACCATCTCCCCATCCAAAGCAGCAACACTTACATTTGCCGTGTCCGGGGTAGGCAATGAGGCTATACAACTTCGGTGCGATAACACGGTAAGAGCGATGGGACATGAATCAAGAGACCGCTAATAGGGCCACATCAGAGACGAGACAACAAGATGCTATAAGTAATAGCGATAAACAGTTGAAATCAGCTATTGTCAATCGAGGACTTAAGAGATCAGCCTCACAAATATTGTCAAAGTGCCAGGAGTCACCCCAACAAGAATACGAAGAGTGGGCTGCCCGACCCCACCACGGGCGGGGGGCCTTGGGTTCTTGGAAGTTTTCCGAGGGTCTAGCTGGACACACTATTTTTATATCCTTGCCTGTCTCTTGATTCTTGTTTGTCGAGAAAAAATAGGAAAAAGCGAGGCATCCAATGGTCCCGTTTATCAAAAAGCTCCAAGGTTACATGAGGTGACGTTATGAGCTGAGCCCTTTGTCTCTCTTTCGAGCTATCAGAAACCGCCCCACAAACACTGGGCACACGTATGTGGGAGAGAATTGTTTTCGAATTTTGATTGTTCTACGGAGTACAGAGGACTAACTTAGCTCTAGTGAGACCCGTCATAGTGAGACCTGCTGCAGTGGTATATAACCCAAGTTTGCCCTGAAGTCGGGTTCTTGAGATTACAAGAACACACTTTACAATCTTCACAAAAGCCTGATATCTTCTTTCGCTCTTGCTCGATGTCTTCTAAAATGGATTTTATCCGAGTCATCCCTCTGTTCTCTTTCTTTTTCACTGCCGTCGTCGCATTTCCCCAACAGACTGCCGCGGGTACAACAACCGCACCTCCGACGACGATCACTAAGGCTGCATCGCTCAGCTGCTCGGACGGGGAGACTGCTGTCTACACGAGAGATTGTACAATGGGAACTCCCACATCGTACTGCGCTAGACCGGAGCCCCCAATCCAGTGCTCGGAGGGGTACTTCCCCTCAGTTTGGCACCCAGGTCATTGCATGGAGCAGTCGACATGTTTCCCGCTTGATGCATCCTGGATCACGACCGAGTGTTCGCATGGGGCAATTCCTTGGACAACCTCGACCTTGTATGAAGGTACCTTAGCAGGGGGACAGTCGACTATTATCAGTGGTGAGTCTTCCCTCTTCAATTTTCCTTGTTCAATTTCTCCTTTTAGTCTGTAGCCCACCAGATTATACCCAGCACATAGACAGTGAAGCTAATATACCTGATGCCTCAAAAGCCGTTTCCTGCTCCTGTGCCAGAGATCAATGGTATAGCATGACCATTCTTCCAGGCGCATCCACCGTCGACACTTTCTGCATGCCCTCAAGCTCCTGTCCAGCAGGCATGACAACCTCAGTGTCAACCAATACTTACTGTGCAACTGCACCGGCAAGCGCGTGCTCGAATGTTCCCTTGGAAACCAATTACTGCAAGTGTGAGGATACAACACAGACACCTGTATACCCCGACTCTGTTGGAGCGGCTCCAACCGGATGTAGAGCTTGATCAAAGAGAGAATAGTTCACAATTTAAGGCGGTGTTGGGTTGGTCACACCACGTTGGCTGCCGTGGCGGTTGACGGATAGACCTTGTCTTTCTTCTTTGGTTATCTACCAGAGATCTTTGCTAATGTGGTTTAGCCATTAATTTCTCGCAGCTGGAATGAAATGTATATATCTATCGAAGGATCTCTCAATAAAACCAGCGGAAGTTATCACAGGCAGGCCCGTCCTTGAGATATTCTGTAGGGATATCCCTTGCCTTGATATGAACACCTTGCAATCGGTCCCTTTTCCTATTATCCGCAATCATCCAAAGCCCCAGACAGATTGTCAAGACAATACCAACCCCGCCAAATGAGGCCGTGGTGATTAAGGCAGGAAGGTATTCAGGTGCATCTTGCTTGCGGAAGATGTTCGAGCTGACAACCCCCATCAAGTTGGCCAACGGGACAGCAATACTCGTTAATACCACACGACGCCCTTCATTGGCAGTGTTGTTATTATACCAAGTGTCGAGAAGAACAGAAGGTGCAGAGGTGCCCCTAAATAATCTTGTAAGCTTTCAACTTGTCGTTGAAGGAGGGTGAACTAACCAAGTCATCAGAAATGAAGCAAAATAGGCTACATTTATATCATGCTCAACATCGATAGTCGCATAAATCACGAACCCCACGAATGTGAATAAAAAGCCGAGTGCAATGAATGGGAATCGCCATCTCGTCCAGTCACTGCTGAACGCCAGGATGAGGAGGACTGCAGCGCCTGAGATGTTGGGGGCCACAGTGAATAGGTTGGTTTTCACGGTACTATACCCAAGGCGCTGTATTATCACAGGAAGGAATAGCTGAACTGCCTGCAAGGGAACACCTAGGCAAATTTGAATGCCTAAAATAACCCAACTAGTCCCGTGTTTAAACACTTGAAACGCATCCCGGATGTCGAGCTTTTCATTAACCACAGAAGAACTATCAATTTGCAAACGAAGGTATGCGAGTTCTTTCTCTTCAGGTGTCAGAAAACTTGCCTCTGAGGCCGACCGAGGTAGATACCACAGTGCGAATAGTGCAAAGAGAACAGTTCCTGCACCTTCGATCAAAAAGAGATACCTCCAAGGCGCCAATGGACCCGTGTTGATGCGGAAAATCCCAAATGCCAGCAAGCCCGAGAAGGCAGAGGCAATGGTTTGAGCCGCATAAAAAATGGCGAGCCGGCGAGCTAGCTCACCCCGGCGATAGAAACTGGCGTTGGATTAGAGATGATGCAAGTCCAAAGGCTTGAAGGGGCGGACCTACGTTGTTTGGTAATAGATCACCAACGGAAAGAATGCGCTCTCTGCCATACCCAAAAACCACCTAATGGCGAAGAGACCGCTAAAGTTGAAAACTGTGACCACAAGAATCGTACAAATACCGAAGGCAAGCATCATGCAGGGTAGAACAATGTTCGGTCCATATTTCTTCCCCAAAAGACCGAGGAAGGGTGCAGTTAGGACGTACGGGACGAAAAAGATGCTAAGCAGAAGATTGTACTGATTTCCCTTCAGGGAGAGTGTCTCTATCATTGTAATTTATGTTAGTGCGGCACTCTTCAATCATGAAGGCTAGTGACGGCGTACCTTCAAGGCCAGCTGTCTTAGCATTGCCCAAATTAGACTTGTCCAGGCTGTTGAACAGATACATGATGGCCAACACAGGAAGTAGTCGAAGGTCAAATTTCCATACTAATGCGCGCTCTGCTCGAGGGTCGATGTCAACACTCGCAATAGTGACTGGTACATCTTGTTTTGACGGTAGTTGACTTGATTCGAAGTCGGGAGACATGGTTTCAAGCACAAATGAATGCAACCAAGTAATGATGCAACGATTCTAATTTCAGGATATCTAGTATATCTAAGAGGATTGCCCCGGTATATAACGTCCATAGTTCTATATCCATCTGACACTGAAAGATAACAATTCCTACCAATCTAAGCTTAACTGGGAAGTCTTGGCAGTCTTGGCAGCTCTGGAGATAACCCTGAAGGACACGGCACATTCCCTATCTTAACCGTGACACATGGAAAATACATATAATTGAAGGATAATTAGTGACATTACGTCAATTGAAGTTTCCAGATTTGCTATTGAATATTAAACATATACATATGTAGAATATATGGCCATTTATTCAGACAACCGGCAGTAATGCGCCTGCACCCTTCACTCCCAACTCCGACAGAAAGAGAAAAAAAGGAGTTGCGGAAAATTAAAATGTATAATTTTTTATAGAGCAAACTAGAAGTTAACAGTGATGGCAAGGTACATTTTCAGTTTGCGACCGGCTGGTTTCGCGCAATCTTTCTACGATCACTGTGCTCCGTACATACGCATCCATGGATGTAGTTATGGAGTACAGAGTATTCAAGACCAATCATGACACGACCCTTATCAGAGCCTTGAAGATCAATTGTATCTGGAGTATGCGGTACAAAGTACTTTTAGTCAAGGCAATGACCGTATTTCCCCGGAGAAGGCCCATAGGGGAAAGGGTAAATGTCGATCAACCATTTGGATTATTTTCAACAAGATAGGCTGATTTCAGGGGTCAAAGTACTACATTACGTTGTACATTGTACATTGTACACAGGTAAATTCTAGCTCTCGTTTCCTTTTATCCTAATTCTCCAAAAATGACCTGAGACGCCATCAAATATCGAAATCCATCTTTTTTACCCACATGTGGAACTACTTCCGACGGCCCGAAGCTTCCCTCTTGTGGTTGCTGGAGAGGAACTTGTGGGCTATCTAGTACAGTGCATGTCATTCCTGCGATTAATTTCATCATTGCAGTTACTTCACTTAGACAGGAATTCAAGAATGGAACAAGCCCCGTTCCCCGTGGGGACCGAGGCAGAGTCCGGGGTATGAGGGGTTTCATGTGGATTTATGATGATCCTCCTGGATTTTTATCATGATACCTCCCACAATCCTCCGCCTTTCAGTCTTTTAGAATGTTTATTAAGACCAAGCCATACCCCGCAATCTAAAGCCTTCATTGAATCAATCTCAGATTCGACCCATTCATTACAGCTCACGCTTGAGTCTCCTAAGAAAAATGACTGCCGATGGTCCGAAACTCGGCTTCTTGGGCAACATCAACAAGGATCAGGAGGCGAGATTACAAGATCTTTGGTCCATTTTACTCAAGGCAGTTGAAATATCCCTAAGCAATGAACCTATCGATGGCTTTGTGGAGGAGCCTTTCAGTCCCACTCAATCCCAGAGACGGCTGTCGCTCCTTAGCCGCACACAGAGCAAAGTCTCTGAAAAGCCTACCCCGACCCCGAATACACCATATCACCAAAACAGTATGACATACCTTGGAGAAATAGGGGCTGGTATGGCTGAATCCCATGCAATCAAGAAGGCCCTCTCGGAAATCTCACCTACTGAGCTTCGTACCGGAGTACTCGACACTCTCAAACACGACCACCCCGATGCCGTGCTTTTACGCTTCCTCCGCGCACGCAAATGGGATGTTCCCAAATCCTTTGCAATGATGGTGGAAGCAGTTGTTTGGCGGCTCAAGGAAATGCACGTAGACGAAGATGTGATGGCAAAGGGAGAGTTACATGCCCTCAAGCAGACGCAGAGCGAATCCAGCATGAGCGAACGAAAAGCCGGAAATGACTTCTTGTCGCAAATACGCATGGGAAAGAGTTACGTGCATGGTGTTGATAGGGCTGGCCGCCCAATCGTGGTGGTGAGAGTCCGATTGCACAAGCCTGGGGCTCAGAGTGAAGAATCATTGGAGCGACATATTATTCATTTGATGGAATCGGTGCGGCTCACAATGGCTGCTCCGATTGAGACCGCAGTACGTGTCTCATTTAACGGCGGCGACGTGAAACAGTTCGCACTGACTCGGAGTTAGGCTGTTTTATTTGATATGACGGGCTTTAGTCTGTCCAATATGGTATGTCAATTTTTCCGGTCCATGCAGTATGACTGTCATTCCTCTACATCGCTGACCCTTTTCTTTGGCGTAGGAATATCCACCTGTGAAATTTATTCTTAGGTGTTTCGAAGTTAACTATCCCGAAAGCTTGGGAATTATGCTGATTCATAATGCCCCGTGGGCTTTTTCAGGTCAGTCAATCATGTTGGTTGTGGCTAGGGATACCCTGTCTGGCCTGTCCTGCTACTTCTTGGATCCCTTGCAACTCACCACTTCAACATTCTAGGGATTTGGCGACTCATTCGAGGTTTGATGGATCCAGAAATTGCAGCCAAGGTCGAGTTCACGAACAGTGTCGCCGAGCTCGAGAAGTTCATCCCCCGTGATCAGATCGCGGAAGAGATGGGCGGTGACGAGAAGTGGTCATATAAATACATTGAGCCCAACTCCACTGAAAACTCAAGGATGGATAATACTACGATACGAGACGCCTTGAAACGCGAGCGACAAGCTATTTGTGAAGAGTTCCTTGCTGCTACATCTGGGTGGATTGAGGCGACTAAATCAAAGGACGTGATGAATCTTTACTCCAGCGAAAGCGAAAGGGCCTATTTAGCTGAGCGACTGCGCGTCAACTACTGGAAACTTGACCCCTATTCTCGGGCTCGTCTTCTCCTGGACCGAACAAATATCATTCAGGATGGTGGCAAGATTGAATTTTATCCTAAGAAGGCTCCTATGGAAAGTGACGTTAGAACAACCAAGGCACTGGACATGAAACATTTAGAGCGGGTTGAGGATGTTGTTCTAGCCATGCTGTCGTAGATATTCATGAATGCTGAAAGTTTTACGTTTTTCGATTGAGATATTTCCAAGGACAATCGGCCACTTATGCGGCCTTGTCATGTCGGTTTCAATGCTTGTCTCTTAGACATCTGCTCCACCGATCAGGATTTCTAGGTGGATGGCAAATTACTGCTACTCGCCCGTATTCTCATGATTTTAAGGTATTTCTATTACGTTTGAGTGCAAAGGGAATTCAATGAAACTAACTATTGCTGTGTTTGTTTAAACATATTTTCCTTTTTTATTGACGAAGAAATAGAAAAGAAAAACAGACACGTAAACCGCGCGTAGCAAGGGCAACAGGCGAAAAGATCAAAGCGCCGCCAGGAACAACCAGCCTAGTGATTGTGGAGCTCAAGAAATAATAAAGACGGTGCTAGAGGCCCAAGACACACCAGGAAACAAGAAAGAAGCCAAAGAAAATGAACGCAGCGCAGTTGGGAACGCGAGGATACTAGTCGACTGAAAACTGAGCATGCCCAACCGAACCAATGGCAGACGGCATGTTCGGAGTGCCCACCAAGAAACTCAACGACCACACAGAACGGGAATATGCCCGTCTTGTACAAGCAATTGTTGCATTCCAGTTCTACACGTCTTCCCACCGTGAACATGTAGGTCTGGGATAGGTCTAGTTGAAGGCGGTGCAGAGTTGAGGATTGTCCTGCGGTATTGTAGCATGGCTCAGGTTGCCAGGCCCAGGAACCTTGGGCAGAATAGCAAGAGGTGACTCGTCGTGCAGCCGCGGGAAGGCAGCTAGGAGCCGGTTCGCGGCTGGGTTCGCGGAGTAAGTGGGACTTGATGAAACGGCCTTCCTTCGCGTAGGGGCAGGCAAGTCGAGTGAAGTGGGCTGCCTAATCGGTTGAAGGCTGCTCACGGGCTCGACTGATTAGTCCTGGGAGGTTACTATCATCGCCTAGGCGATGGTATACAGGGCCAAGGGGCCCGGCTGTAAATGTTAATGTAGCTCTGTCGATCATAACCAAGAAGAGGGCTCTTACAAGGAACTCTCCATTGTTAATGATGTTTGAGGATTGACAGTTCACTAAGTGAGACGAGGGTGACATAAAGGAAGAGGATAAAGAGGAGAGGAAAGAGGCTGGGTTAAGTACCCAGGCGTGAAGGAAACATCCGTACGAAAGAGCGCCTGACTTTTCCTTGTCGAGAATTGGGACAAAGACTACTTGCCCATTGTTCCGGGCAACTTCGAGCCTTTGATGGAGGGAAAGCGCTGAATGGCCAATTACTATCAACTTCATTAATTCTGCGCAGTGAGAGAAAAACGATCAAGTACCATGTCAATGATCAGAGATAGCTGTATATCTGCGTAGGCTATAGAGCCTTTGATTAAGGTCAACTGCCAGAAAATTGTAACTGATAGAAAAGATGTCAAAGATGGTGGCTATAGGTCTTCGTCCCGCCTTTTACCACTAATGGTAGCTGACACATATTTCGGTCTCCTTATAGTTTCGGTCGCCGAAACGGCATGGGTATATTGGCCTATAGAATATCAAATGAATGAATAGCCCATCTATAATATCTTTGAATCAGCCAACCTTCCATTCAGTACCAAGCGAAATGTATACCCGGGAAGAGACATGGAAACAGCAGGCTGCACGTCTTTTCAAGGAAGTACCTCTAATTGGTGAGTGGCGAGCTTCGTTGGTGACCTTTGACAAATAGCCTCATATATAAGTTAGATGGTCATAATGACTTCCCGTATATCATCAGAGGCTGGTTGCAAAACCAGATCAATGGACAAGAATCTACCATCCATGATATGCCGATAGGACAAACGGATATCCTTCGCCTTCGAGCCGGGTCAGTCGGGGCTCAGTTCTGGAGTGCATTTGTTCCCTGGTAAGACCCATCTCTCTTGCAACGCTCTTATATATTTGTATCAACTTAACAAGATATTAGTCCAACACCTGAGGAGCAAGAACAAGGTTGCGTGGCTCAATTGCACAAAACTCTTCAACAAATTGATCTAATCCATCGGCTTATCGAGATGAACCCAGATACCCTCGTACTGGCCGAGTCAGCAGCCAGCATCTTAGATGGTTTTCACTCGGGACGCATTGCAAGTTTGATTGGAGTAGAAGGTTTGCATCAGATCGGCAATAGTATGAGCGTGCTTCGGATGTTTCACCAGCTTGGAGTCCGATATGTGACTCTCACGCATAATTGCCATAATTTATTTGCCGACGCAGCGGTCTGTGTTTGAGCACTGAAATATCATTTGAAGGTTGAAAAGCTGATCTCTGCTGACCATATAGACAGTATCCACGCCACTACATTCAGGCTTGTCCCAAAGAGGGAGAAGGCTTCTGGGTGAAATGAATCGTATCGGCATGCAAGTCTCACTTCGTTTTCGTCTATCCACTCTTCAGTCTGGCCGTGTTGACCCGTTCTTTTCTCTATATCGCTAGGATGATCGATCTCTCCCATACATCTCACGCGGTCCAAGAGGAATCATTGAAGATATCAGAAGCACCAGTCATTTATTCCCATTCATCCAGGTAAAGCTTCGCGTTGAAATACCCCATCTTGTAAAAGAGAAGTCTGGACCTTTTACGCTAACATATTTGAATAGCTATACAGTTTGTCCGCACCCCCGCAATGTCACAGATGGAAATCTCCAGCTGCTTCACCGTAACGGTGGAATAATCATGGTCTGCTTCTTGAGGGAACTCACCGATGCGAAACCTGCTTCTGGCGCCACTCTTTCCAGAGTTATTGACCATGTCATTTACATCGGTGAGAAGATTGGATACTCGCACGTGGGCATCGGATCTGATTTTGATGGAATGCTCCGGGGCCCTGACGGATTGGAGGATGTTGCACAATACCCATCTCTGGTGGAAGGAATGTTGAGTAGGGGGATTTCCGAGACTGATGTGAAGAATATAATGGGCAGAAATCTCATCCGGGTGATGGAGGAAGTAGAAATATTCTCTCATCTAGCGAAGGCTGCATCGCGAGAGTTCCTTGCTGATGATATTGGTGGGATATGGGGTGCGGATATCAAGGAACAACTGCTGGATGAACGAAAGAGATGCAAGTCATTAGCCAGCTAGCTCAAGATGTCTGCCAAAGAAATAAATGAGCATGTTGCCTTTGATTCGCTTTATGGGGAGGAGAGGAATGGGGCGTGGTGTTCAGTTCACCTCTTGGTTGGACATTGCGGAATATCGATGATCTCCAGATTTAGAATATGAAGAGAACGACCGCGACTATATTGAAAACTTGGTTCAAATAGTATAGCTACTAGATAGAAAATATGGCGTTCAAAAAAAAACAATTATATTTCATCTTTCACCAACGCGATTGCCATTCTTATCCAAGCCAACCCACCCGTTTACAAAGGTGCCAAGCTAAGGCCTGGGCAGCGGGTAGCTCAAAAACTGTCGAAATTGGCATATCCACGCCAACCCGCTTCAGCTGACGCTGCAATCGCCATACATCGATAGAGTTACCCCCGGCCTCAAAGAAGGACACCGAGCAGGGAAAATCAGCAAGATCAATCCCTAGACAGGCCGCCATCTCCCGGCGAAGGATACCCACAAGTCGGTCACAAAGGGCATTTGTATCATCGTCCCCCTCGCCCTCACTGTTACTATCTTCTTTCGTCTCTGGGAAAGTATGTGCCAGGCGTTTTTCGATGGCTGAACGCGAGAGTTCTAACGAGAATCCTTCCAAGACACATCGTAAGGCCTGGTCGATGAGGTTGATGGTGGCAGGCGCAATCTGGTGATGGTCATATTCAGTGCGCAAAACCCAGTGATCCGCCTCCAGCTCCGTCCATTCGAACATGAGCAAAAACTTGGATCCTGGGGCATAACACATCTCACGCTGCACAACCAGCCCGTCGACATCGAGACAGTCCTCCATGGCTCCCTTCAAATGGAATGTAACCATAACTTCAAAAATTGGATGCTGCCGGATGGTGCGAGGCAGGTGAAGGATGTCGAGAATTTGTTCGAAGGGGATTGCATATGCCACTGCTTTTTGACTCGCTTCGCGCATTGATTCTAGGATGTCCACACAATTTGCATTTGGTGGAGTTTTGATGCGTAGTGGTAGTCTATCCAAGAATAATCCCACAGACCTTCGCTCAAGGTCGGACGTTCGATTTTCCCACGGACAACCTAAAACCACGTCATCGGTCGCGCAGAGCCACTGCAGCATCTGAGCAGTCGCCGCGCATACAATCTGGTGTTTTGTCACGCCGTATTTTCGCGTCAATGATGTGAGCCCGTGAATCATAGTACCATCAAAGTGACAGATACGAGACGTGCCCTCAAAGCTTGTCTGAGTGAGGTCACGGTTGATGGGGAGTCGTTGAGGAGCGCCGTCGAGGTATCGTATCCAGAAGTGGCGCTCCTCAGGCGTTGCCTTGCGAGACCAGGCAGATGCTTGTAGATAGTTTAATCGATCGACTTGGGCAGTGGAACCTCGGTAGACTTCTGCTGTTTCCCGGAAGAGATTCTGTACGCTGTTGAGATCGGCAATGGCATGGCTGGTGACAAGCAGGAGACTCTGCTGGTCCATAAAAACGCGAATAAGCTCATCACGAGCCAAGTCAAAACCCCTAGCAATCTCTCTCGCAACATAAATCAATTTACATTCCTGCACCCGCGGTGGGTTGTTGCGGAAGACCCGAATCGGTCCCTCCGAAGTTTCAATAAAATTACTGCGGAGTAGTTTGCGTGATGCTAGTACCGCATTCAATGATTGAATTAAAAGCTGGCGGTCGAATTTGCCATCGAAATGGAGTAGGACAGGAATGTTGAACGAGCGGACATCTGACGCCACGAGATACTGGAACCAGGTCTGACGTTCCAACTCAGACAGATGATGATCAGGAAGTGCCTTGTGGGTGGGCAGTTCCTTGGAAAGGGGGGCCTGGCGTTGACGGGACTTCACCAGGAGTGCCTGTTCCCCCAACTTGGGATGCTCAATTACGTCCCGCGTCGTCATGGAGATGCCATAGACGCTGGCAAGACGAGCAGCAAGCAGCATTTGTAGGATAGAGTGACCGCCGAGGCGCCTGAAGTCATCGTCAGGCCCGAGTTCTACATCGTCCACCAAAGGGAGCAATATCTTCCAAATTCCCGTGATGCCTTCGGCAATATGATCCAAGAAAGGCCTAGTGAGGGGGGTTGATAATTTAGTCACTGCAAGAGTGCCGATTTCCTTCAACCTCTGATAGTCCACCTTGCGGTTTGTCGTCCAGGGAAATTCATCCAGGGGCGTGATCATCTGCGGTACCCAGCTTGGCTGGAGGGTTTCTCGGAGTCTCTGTTCCAGGTGGGCCACATCAATTGAAGAAGGCATGACAAATGCAACCAGGTTGTCATTAACGACCATTGTAGCGGCCTGTATTAGTTGTGGCTCCTCTTCATACATTCGCATCTCGACTGAAGCAAGCTCGACGCGAAACCCCCGAACTTTCACTTGGCGGTCCAATCGACCAACGTAGCAGATTTGCTGGTCATTTGTCCAGTATCCGTAGTCGCCAGTGCGATACATTCGCTCGCCATCATGCCAGGGATCAGGCAATACACGATGTGCTGTTTGCTGGTCATCCCCAATGTACCCACGCATGACCTGCTCACCAGCAAGGAATATTTCCCCTGTGGTGCCATCACGCACAGGATGCAGCTCTGGAGTTAAAATATACATTCTTGCGGTCTGGACCGCTTTCCCAATTGTCACTTGCTGGCCGGGAACTAACCGTGTGAAGGATGTGCAGATAGAACACTACAGAAACCCATCAGCGCGTTATACTCGCGTCTTGTGGTGGCCGTACATACCTCGGCAGGTCCATAGGCATTGTAGAATACACGATTTGCAGCCCACCTATCTAATAAACCTGGGGTGACAGGCTCTCCTGTGGCATAAACCTGTTACGAATATTATTTAGTTCTCGGGTCAGGATAATAGTGCCTAGGGACGTATTGAAAGCACACAGGAATTTCTCACCATGCGTAGATTAGGGTATTCAGTCGGGTCCAAAGCACTCAGCACTGAGGGAGTTATAGTTGAGACGTCCACTTTTGCAAGATGAGCCAACGGATCGCTGGGATCACGAAGAACGAGAGTTGCCCCATGAAGTAGGGCCGAAAAGACCTCATTAGCGCAGTAATCAAAGGCCGGCGACATGAATTGAGCAATACGGCGACCTGGGCAGCTGAACATAGTGGCCTCGGGGTTTGACTGCAATGCCAGAAATCCTCGATGGCTGATGGGAACACCTTTTGGACGGCCCGTCGTACCAGAAGTAAATACAATGAGAGCATCATCGTTCGCCTTTGCAGATAGGGGAGGCCGGTGCGATATCGCATCGAACGCGCTGCAGCTCAGAAGATCTGCTACAACCAGAATATGGATATCCGGCAACTTCAGCATAGCGGTGGGACATGCATTCGGTATCAACAGCGCATCCGCCCCACTGCGTGTGTATACTGCAAGCCGTCGATCCATCGAGTAGGCGGGGTCAAGGGGACAGTAAGCCGATCCTGATTTGAGGATGCCCATGATTCCAACGACCCAGTTGATAGAGCCATCGGCGTGGATAGCAACCGTCTGTGCGTTGGGAACATCTTGACGAAGCCGATTGCACACTACATTGGAGAGCCGGTCTAGTTCCGCATAGGACAGAGTGCACTCCGGCCCTTCCAGTGCGACAAGATGAGCATGTCGATCTGCAGATACTTCAAAGGCCTTTGCGATATGCGTCTCAAGGTTGAAATGAGACTGGGTCGCACCACATTCCATTTTGAGCGTCGAGTCATGATGGAGATTCTCAAAAGCGCTACCTGCATAATCCAGCCAGCTGCCGATCGTCGTGGCATCGGGCAATGTGTTTAAAGCGCTTTTCATAGCTTGTGATAGGGTTTGCATATGTTGGTCACTGTGGACGGCTGGGTCATACACGAGACGGAATCCAGCATCCTTTTCAGCCAGGAGACTAATAGGAAATGTGGTGTTTTCAAAGAATCGTTCCTCCTTCGGGACAAGGGCAGATTCAATGGGCGGGAAGTCGTACTGTGTTGCCATCAAGTTGTCCAACCTATAGCCAATCTGATCTGATGAGGACCATGCATACGCACTGATGGTCGCCAGTCCCTCCATGACGGCCTCAAGCTGCTGCGGAATGGATGCATCTCTTCTCAGCTGGCAGAGTAGCGGCAATGTAGCCACCAGCGGCCCGACCGTGTTGATGTACTCCAGCTGGGTTTCGCGACCAGAGAAGACTGCTCCCACGACCACCAGGTGCCGCCCTGTATATTGTGCCAGTGCCATTGCCCATGCAGTATAATAGACGGTGGCCAAGGTGACTTTGCACTCCTCGGCGAGTTTCTGTATTTGCGGCAGACGGTCAGCACACGAAAAGCGTATTTCCTGGGCGCGGTATGGGATGTTGTTGGTCTCCTGCGATCGACGCTGGTCGTTCAGAATTGGGAGCGACCGCACTGATTCTAAATAACCGGCCCAGAATCGCCTTGCTTCGCCATCCCGTTGGCTCTGTATCGCTAACAACCCCCCTGAGGCATCCATAAATGATGGACTCATAGACAGGTGCTGCCCTTGCACTGCTCGCTGCACCTTTGTGAGGATAAGCCCTACTGAATAGCCGTCGAGCAGCGCGTGGTGAGCTGTCCAATTAATCGTGACTTCACCAGCATCTTTCGACCCGGGTTTGTCACCTGTATCATCAGGCATTAATTTCATGACGTCCAACCGCATACCGAGGCCGACAGATAAAAGAGCAGGATCAGTCAGAGCGGCGTCATAATCTTCGCGTCGCCTGAAGGTGGCCTCCACGGGATGACAGATGTAACTGCCAACCTTGGATACCTTCAAGTGGTGCGGGTGAAGAGCATGTTGTATCTGCACACCACAGGCGATATCAAGGGAGATCTGCGTGCGGAAGACAGGTTCGCACTCAATAACCCGCTTCCAAGCGTCGCAGATATGCTCCGCATCACTTAATGGGTACGTCAACTGGAGCTGGTTGGTGTTAGTCCCATTGCGCTCCAGAGTGGGCGCGGCCAGCTCCAGCTGCAAAGGAGTCAATCGGCCGATTTGAATGTCCAAAGGCAGGAGCTTCCCCAGATTCAACTGTGCTGCTACCTCTTCGCGTAGTGCTGACAATTGGGGCGTTGGATTTCCACAGTCTGACTCTATAGCTGAGGGAATTGGCTCCAAGGCATGGGCACAGCGAAGAACACCACGCAGTGTCGGATGCCGGTAGATGTCTGGGGTAGTGATGGAGATGCCACGTTCACGACAGAGTGAGGTGAATCGAAGAGCTGTCAGTGAATTCCCACCCAAGGCAAAGAAGTTGAAATCTATCTGAGAGGGCGGGATGTCTAAGCCAAGTGCGGTATACATGCATTCAGACACAACTGTTGCCATATCTCCTGACAGCTCAGACGTCATGGAAGAATCATCCAAAGTGGAGCCCTCGTACAGGATCGCACTAGAGGCTGCAAGAAGTTGATCTTGACTATGATCAAGCAACTTGAGAATAGCCCTGCTGTCAATTTTGCCATTAGGGGAGATTGGGAACTGCTCAGCGGCACAGTAATGATCGGGGGAATGGAAGGAGGAGAGTCGACTGTTTGCCTCACTGCGCAGCCTATCTAGTTCAGCAGAGGCTGGTGTTACCAAAACCACCAAGCGTGACTCTATCATGCTCGCATATACATCGCTGACACCACAGCCCATCATCCGCAACGGCTCTTCTACGTCAGCAGCGAGGTTTACCAAGAAGCCACGATTTTTCACCGTTCGATCAGAGCGACCGCGGAAGTCCATCACACGGGTCCCATCGTTGCGACGAATCCAGCGTCCCTGATCGCCCGTCCGATAAACTCGAATGCCACGCCAGGTAATGAACCGCTCGGCTGTAAGCGCAGGATCGCGATAGTATCCATCCGCCAAACCAATTCCGGAAATAACAATCTCGCCGTCCGTATCATAGTCATCCACTAAGGTGAGATCATTCCGAAGCAGGTACACCGGTCCTTGTGACATGGGACTGCCAATAATGCTGCTGCGAATCGTTCCCGTCTCCCTAGAAACCTCGACTTCTTGCATCAATGACGCACAAGTAGTCTCTGTCGGACCATACGCATTGAGAATTCGTACACCAAAATCCAGCCAATGTGACAGAATCTGTCCATTCGGTGTCTCGCCTCCGAGTAAGATGGTGTGGACCGACAGGTAGCTATCGGGGAGAGAAGAAGGCAGGGGGAGAGTGGCCAGGATCGACGGCGTGGAGGCTAGGATCGAGCATGTCTGTGCTTTGTCGTAGAGTGTATCCATGCTCGCTGGCACAACCGTGCCTGAATTCCCTAGAATGGAAAATAGCATGCCCGTCGACGCTGAAAACTTGAATTAGTTGGGCTTTCTCCGTCATAGAGTGGCCTTGTGTGCAGGTGACTAACCATCGAACGCGACCGACAATATATGGAGCACACGGTCACCAGCTTGGACATCCATATTGAAAGGACTGGTATGCCCGTAGTTGGCTATCGCGCGATGGGAAAGCATGACACCCTTTGGTTTGCCTGTGCTGCCACTAGTGAAGATGATGCACGCTAATGCTTCGGGGGCATTGATTGTGCTAACTTCAGCGGCATACTCACTGCTGCCAGTACTGCGTGGAATGTCGACCGTTTGGAGATGAATAATGGTGTACTTTATGTGTTCAAACGAGGTACCAGTGGTGTTGATGAGAAATTGGCTATCAACCGAGGATAGCACGTTCTCAATCCGTTCTCTGGACCAAGAGCTCCGGTCGAGGGGAACGTAGCAGGCTTTCGCCTTGAGCACAGCAAGCAGAGCAATGATGTTAAGGGTGCCGTGCTCGGTGAGAAGACACACGATGTCGCCTTCTTCTACGCCCCGCTGTTGCAACTTTTGTGCCAGGTATGTTGATGCCGCGTCCAGGTCGGTGTAGGTTAGTGAGCCACTTTCATGGTCAACTGCCAGTTCGTTGGGGCTGCGCCGCACCGAATGAGCAAAGAGCTCACACAGATCGGAGTCCTTGTGCTGCATCACTGCTTCGGCAGATGATCAAACGGGGGGAGCTTGTTGAAAGGGGAGAGTGGGTGGACCTAAGGTGAGTGAAACAACGGATTCAAACGTTCGATATATTATATCATCTCGATTTTCCAGCATAGTTATCTGCCGCGTAGTAGAGCCTCATCGACTTCCGGTAATTCCTATATGATCCCTGGGTGCCCGAGACCTCGGTCGCCCTTGTGCATATTTCCCCGACGGCGGCCGATAAAACGGAGTCCGTTTTGTTCCCAAGCCCGGGCGGATCTTTTGCTGTTAAGGACCTCCGGCACGCCCGGTAGTGATTCAAACTCGAACTCAATCACTCTGGTTTGATTATGGCACATCCGATTACTATCATAATCTGTCTCGTGCTAGCGTTCATCGCCTCTCGGCCAGCGCTTCATTGGCTGGTCTCCGCATTGATCGATGTAGGCCCTTGCACTCCTGTATCTCACCCCAAAGATTCTGATCAGCTGTAATGTTAGTTATTTTTGCGTTGGAGATATCCTCTTCTTGCACCAACTGGAATCAGGCCACTGCCCTGTGCTCGTTTTTCCTGGCCCAATGGCCAAGGTACGGAGAAATTCTTTCAAGGGCGTTCTGTCGCTCGGGAATGGCGTCAACGGTGGGGTCCCATTTACCAAATATGGTCAGGCTGGACACCCGAAATGTACGTGTTTTTGAATACCAAGTAGTAAAGCGCTAGGTAGAAAGCTGATGACTGACAGTGTCTTAACCACGCCTGCGCATGCGGCCCAGTTCTATCGCACGTCACACCGTCACGCAAAGGCGAGCAATAACAACTCCGGGTGGCTTTTTGGCGAGGTTCTCGGGGTCTGTGTCGGACTACTTAGTGGTTCCGACTGGCGACGAGTGCGGCAGCATCTCGAGGAGCCTTTCTCCCGCCCATCCGCCACGAGATACACCGCAAGATTTGTAGCCCAGGCTCGAGAATATATCCAGAATGACCTTAAAGCCGGGTCAGTTTGTCTGTCTAAAGTACCAGGTGCCATCAGTTTCGAGCCTGCCCGGGCGCTCCAGCTTTTCCCGTTCTTTACAATGGCCGAGGTTCTTTTTGGACCTCTGAGTCCATCACAACGTAAGGTCTTGGTCGGCCTGGCACCCCTTCGTGAGGAACTGTTCAAGGAGGTCATTCGTGGCGGCGTCAACCGTCTTTCGATCGCCCCATACCTACCCTGGTCGGGCGTGAGACTGTTGAAAACCTTCCAGAAACAGTGGCAAAGCTTCGTGGAAGATGCCTACACACATGCTCTGCAGGACAAGGGAGCACTATGTTCACCGGTCATTTCCCTCTGGGAGGCATGGAAAGCTGGAAAAATTACGGAACGAGAAGTACGTACCTACTGCTCCCCAGAAGGTGAAATTAACAAGGAATTTGACTAAAGATGATTGAGCCAGTGTCTTCAAACGCTCGATGAGTCACTTTACGCGAATCTTGATGTAACCACGCATGCTATCTCATGGAACATGCTGTTGCTAGCACAAAACCCCATGGCCCAGACGCGAGTGAGGGAAGAGGTCATTCAAGCTGTGGCTAAAACCGGAGCTGAGCCATATGAGTGCTTTATCGATCGTGAAGATACCTTCCTAGCGGCATGTGTAGTTGAATCTGCAAGACTGAGGCCAATCCTACGTGAGTTGATCCCTTTGTGGCCCTACAATGGACAGTCAAGTCGATACTTACCTCTGGGTTTTGTCTCCTCCAGCTTTCTCTAATCCCGAATCTGCCCCGGAAGATCAACTTGTGGACGGCTATCTCATTCCACAACATGTAAGTAGCCGTCATATTGGAAACAACCTACCCAAGATACTTGATCATCCTCACCACTCACTCACATCCACTTAGACCAATGTAATTGTCGATGCCCAGTCAATAAACATCGATAACCCTTTCTGGGTGAATGGCACTCAGTATGATCCGAGTCGCTACCAGAAATTGAAGAAGGAAGAGGTTAGATTTCCATGGCATCTGATTCATTTCTTAGAAGGTTGCTCTGCTGATATAACTCTAGGTCCGCTATAATCTGTGGCGTTTTGGTTTTGGACCCCGACAATGTCTTGGAAAGAATGCTGCAGAGCGTATGATGAGGGCCATCACAGCGGAGATGGTGCGCCAGTATGTGTTGTCCGTTCCGGAAAATGTAGCTAGCCAGCTCGATGCAGTACAGGAAGACAGCTGAGTTGGGTTGCCCTCAGTGCAAATGGAGTGTGTGCCGGTCACCCAAGATCAGTTGCCAGGTTAATCAATCACATAAGTTGGTGCCATAGACATGTTGATGGTTCAGAAAAGAGGTCGAATATGAAAGTGTCATTCCGTATACTTGCTTGGTGCTGTGTGCAACGTGGAGAAAGGGAGAGAGCGGGAGACACCGGCAGTATTATTGAGGCGTTGAGGCGCGTGGACACGTGATGAGCCAGTTTGTTTACATAAATTTCAGATGTCAGGTTAGCGCTTTACTTTGTCGTCTCATCTTCAAAGAGAATTTTTTATTGCGGTTCTTCTTTATATACGGAGTAGATATTTAATATCTCCGATAGTCTCAGACAGGTCGAAAGTCAATAGCGCACGGCCATGCCTGGCGGAGTTGGTGGACCTTCTCGACGCGCCAACCTCCTAGCTTCCCCAAACGGTCCCAATCTTCCATTGACCGTTCCTTGCCATTACAAGTAATCATCATGACCAGATCACCATAACGGGGTAATCTCCCTGAACGGCCAGGTGTCTTGATGGACTCGAAGACAACGAAGCGGCTCACTGGCGACGCCACAATGCTGCGCCGCACATTCTTCAGTATGGTAACCACGTCATCGTCCACCCAGTCATGCAAGCACCATTTCATGGTATACACAGCTGATGCAGGGATATGTTTTAGGAAGTCTCCAACTACCAGCTGCTGGACCCGTGGGCCGATATCGGCAAACTTCCCAGTATCCTCCCGAAACTCGGGGGTAACCAAATCGATGACAGACTCTAAATCCATGATCCCCCCAACTAAGTTGGGATGTTCGCGGAGGATCGACGCAAGGAATGACCCTGAGCCACCCCCGAGATCGAGAATGGGCTGCTCGGATCCAATATCCGCCCAGGGATAGTCGGCTACCAAGCCCTTGGCCTGCGCAACTGCCCCTGCACCGAGGGTTTTCTGGAACTGACTAATTTTACCTTGTTGTGAGAAATACTCAAACAGGTTCAAGTCTGTGCCGTATTCGATTTGCGCAGCCGTCCGACTTTCTCCCAGCTTCACGGCGTCCGGCATCGACCGGCTCACGTTAAAGAACTCGTTCGGATAGAGGTCGGCCCACAAGTGCCACTGAGTCCAATGCTCATGGCGGAGCAAATCAGACACGCGATTGTTCGTGTATGTGTGCTGGTTTTCATCATAAGCAAATATGCCATTGTTAACCAGTGTGTCAAGAAGCTGCGAGAGACGCTCTGGCTGAATTCCACAGCGCAAGCCCAGCGTGCTCACCGACTGGGGCCCATTCTTAGCTAGATGATCGGCGACACGGGCGTCTACCACGGTCCAAAGGACTTTACTATTGAGATATCCTGCCAGGGAGTGTAGATTAGCAGACGCCGTTCAATCCAAGGGCACTGGCATCGTACCGAAAAAGCCATCTGTGAGTAGTGACACCGACGGAACAAGTTGCAGTTGCACATGGTCCATTGCATCTACCACCCTCTGTGCCAGTTGCTCCAACCCCTGGTTGGGTAGTTGATCAGGGTCGTGGAGCTGATTTCCTAGCAACGAAGCTATTTCAGGGTATTGGATAGTCGCCAGCACCCGTTGTACATGACTTTCTAGCTCATTAAGCTCGTGAAGTACCTTCTTCAAGTTTGATGCATCTGACATGTTCTCGTTTGCTGGCGGAATGTCTTCTGTCCGTGCCGGTGCCATTGTTGTAAGGATATCTCCAAATCTCTTGGTCGCTCGTCTCGTTTTCTTCGGAAAATAGAACAAATTCTACCTGGAGGTAAAGGGGTTTTTTTGATCCAGACGGTCGATTTCTTTTAATGCGTAGACTTTCCGATCCACCTGCACATCTGTAAGGTTGAACTGAAATGTGATTTATTCCGAGTTTCGGTGACCGAGTCAAGTAAGATGTCACGAATAGAGCACGAGCTGCCATACACAACAAAGCCGACGCTTATGGCAGACACCGATGAAATTGCACACTGTCTTTGATACTCCCAGGTATAATCGAGGTCTGCTGATATTGTTTACGGCATTGCTTTCTAACTCTATGATATCCGGTGAAACAAATAGACATGTGCCTGTTTTCCTAGAAAGCCAACTACGTCTAGCTCTCTACATCTATCTGTACTCTATCAAATATACAATGGAAAGACTATAGCCTAGGCAATTCATGGGTCTACACAAGCAGAGAGAGCCCACATCCACTCCACAAAATGAACCTGGTGCTTAGACCATTACAGCCAGTTTTAAGCAAGAAAGAATAAACATCAAGGATGAAGGCTTGTATCCAGGCTGAGATTCTGCGGCCTACTTCGACCTTGTCATCCGATGAAGCATACCAGATAGGCACTCCATCCAATTTTCAGGGAAGAGATATTACATGAAATTATTGCATGCATACTTCCCTCTCTTCCGTTGCACAAGCTTGCCTTATCGGGGTGCGATCATATACTCTCGGCCTATGCTACATGCCCGTATTCCTTTTCACCGTGTCCGAAACTAGCACACCTTTGCCACGCACGTTTCACGGCCTCTCGCTGGCCCATTCGAATTGACCATTCTTGTAATTTTGGCCACTTCCCAAGCTCATGGCCAAAAAGATTCGCAGTAGACTCCATCGCGAATGGCAGGAAGGCAATATCGGCAATCGTCGGCCGATCTGGGAGAGCCAAGAACAACTGGCCTGGCTCATTCAAACGTCTCTCAAGAATGTCATATTGTACGGTAATATTCTGAGAGAGTTTTGCAATAGCCTTTGGGAGTTTTTCGGGGTGAAGCGCATGGAAATATAGCCAGTATTTAGCCGTCGGGCCCAACGCAGCCGTGTGGAGAGTCAGCCAATTGCCAATCTCTGTACGTTCACCCAGATTGCTACCGCCAAACTTTCCATCGAGATCGTAGGCATCGGTGATGTAAGTCAGGGTTGAGCTTGACTCCCATGCGCGCACGCAGCCCTTGCCGTCGGGTAATTGGTCCTCAACGGCGGGCACCATCTTATGCGGGTTGATATCGCGGAACCATGGTGCGGAAACCTTTTCAACCACATAGATATCATGTGGGATTCCCAGCTCTTCGAGCAGGATTAGTGGCTTCACGGTATTGTGGGTGGATGTCGCGGTTCCTAAGAGTTTCCCCGGTTAGCGCTCCATGTTTCTTGTAGATACTACTCGTGCCACATACCTTTCACAACAAAAAGCACCAGCTTGTTTGCTGGGATATCAGAAGGTCTAATGTCCATAGTGAGTTGTTTGAGAAAGTGTGATGTGACTGACTATCCATGTAGATTTTTGCAGCTCGTGCGGTAGACTATGAAGTTCGAGTGTACCCTAATCTGAACGCCGTCCGAATTTTCGGCCACCGTTAGCAATGTAACAGATTCGAACTGAACAGTTCTATAATGAGATATTTTTCTATTCCTACGTTCAGCTGGAACCTAGACCTAGCATAGCTCATCTCTTCGAAAATATGGCTGCCGACAAGAAGGGTATCTGGTACTTCGCCTATGGCTCCAACATGCGCTCTTCCGTTATGAAACGACGAGGAATAACCGCGCTGGATGCCAAAGTAGTAGTTGTTTCCTCGCACTACCTCACGTTTGACATTTTCGGAATCCCCTACGCAGAACCCTCTTTTGCTAGTATCGCCGCCTTCGTGTCAGAGAAGGTCACGATACTTCAAACGGCATCTCCCGCAGGTTGGACGGTGGTCCCCGCTGCCCATGGTGTAGCATATCTATTGACCCCTGCAGATTACCGCCAACTGGTGATTAGCGAGGGTGGTGGAGTTGCCTATGATGAAATTGAAGTCGATGCTGAGGTCCTCCATGTCGATGAAGGTGGGCATGAACCAACGAGGTTGGTGGCGCGGAGCCTACAGGCCAAATACCCCTGGGAGCCCAATGGGGCTCCTAGCGCACGATATCTTGTTCGTCCACATTCCTCGATCTATCTTCGGAATCGTCCAAGCAACGAATCTAATCCTCTCTGGTTATTTTGTCTTCTGATAGGGCCTCCTCTCTGAAGGATGTAAGGAATGGAACATGCCTGAACATTACTGTACCTACATCGAGTCGCTTCCCTCATATGATCCTCCTCGATCAATCATCACCCGTGTGGGAGGAATGATTTTTCTCGCTTTCTGGCGACCTCTTCTGCGTGCTTTAGTTCTACTCATCAAAGCAAAAACGGATACTCATGGACACTGTCCTAGCTGGTTGGGATGGGTGATTATGACTATGTATGGACTGATGTGGATGTGTCATGACAATATTCAATGCAAGGTTTGGGGAAGGGGAGATGGCACAAAGTTGAACTTCCGAGCAGTGTGATATATATCTATGGAGGATGTTATCATCGGCTCAATCAGACCATATTACATAACAAACATATCATCCAAGCTTCGGAAAACCGCGCAACTATGGTGTAGATCATGGCCCAGAAGGCCCCCATTATAGCCCATTAAGGGGGTTTAACCAGTATGTTATAATCGCTCTGTTCTAACCTTCTACTTATTATATACAGTTTAAATCTTTAGAATTTATGATAGTTATAGCTATATAAGTATATATTCCAATTTTAAACAAAATCCGAGCAGTAGAGGTCGAGATACCATAAAAAAGGTTAATAGTTACTACTTTCTAAGTGAACTTCTGCAATTTATAAACCACCTAAATAACAGGTTTTCTCGCGTTTTTAAATGCGATATATATATCAAACCAATACCTAACAGTAAATGATTTGAAATAATCAAACATTACCTTAAAGTAAAGGCTAAAAACGGGGACTAAATAGAAGGTAATTAAAGAAATATTGCTTCTAGGAATTTTTGTATTGTTTGGTGCTTAGTGGGCCGGCCAAGCCCAGTGGGTTTTCACCCCGGGCCTATAGCCAACCGGTGGGCCTAGGGATCGGGCCCAAAACTCAGCCTATTAGCGGGTTGGGGTGGGTTGGGCTTTGGGCTTTGTGGGCTATACGGAACTCTAAACATTACTTCGTGGGCTGTCTATGGAAATTTTTGTGACAGGTTGAAAGATCTCCATTAAGATTGTAGAGAACTACGACAATATAGGCTTCAAAATACATAACTAAATCAGAAAACATGCCCCGGATTCAAATGCGCATATGTACTAATTGATGGCGCGCTATCCGTAGGTTGCGATGCACAGAACTATTCCATGTCGCTCTCTATGCTAAATCTAAACTGTGGAGGCAGCCTGACTCAATTCATGCCTCCCCGTTCTTCTCATATGCAGCAAGGGCACGTGCACCCTCTTCGTTACAGAGCTGAAAGGAAACTCCCGAGCCTGCGCGGACACCTAAATCATAAAATCAGGTTAGCAAGAGAGTCACTTCTAATATCGAAAGTAAAGATCTCTGTTACACACCAGTACTCATAGCAACAGCTACTTGCTTCAACAGCTGACCACCATCGCCAGCCACAAAACAGCCTGGCAGACTTGATTCACAGAAGAGTGGGTTCACCATCACTTCGGCACTCTGCTCCATTGTTTCAAGCCCGAGTTGATCAATCAAATTCTGTGATCGGTTGATAGTCGGGGGCTTGTGCAATAGCATACCGAGAGTGACAGTCTGCGTATCATCAAATTCGATGCCGATAGTGTCCCCTTGGTTCATCAATCGTCGAATTGGTCTCTCATCAACCTTGACGCCACTGGCAGATGCCGTGCGAAGCGCCCTCTGAACACCTGCATCGGTTGATAACGGCCCATTGCTGTAGATAGTGACATCCTCCGAGAATTGTAAGCTCATGAGAGCAAGTCCCAGGTATGCTGGGGAGGAGAACTCCAAAATTCCCACAGGCTGGCCCTGCTTTTCATAGCCATCACAGAAGAGACACTGGTAGCTATATAGCCAAGTTAGTCAACTCTGGAGCAGCCAATTTTACTGCGACTTGAACTTACATGTGTGAAGGCCAGTTCTCCCGGTATCCATCGATGTTTGTGGGCAGCAGATCCTCTGACCCAGTAGCCAGAATCAACTTGCGCCCTTTGTAGATGGTCTCATCTGTATCAGTGATCTGATACCCCATATAGCCGTCCCCAATATCCGTTTGGGCAGCCTGCGAGACTTGGGCACTGGAGAACTGGATACGAGGATACTTGTCCTCGATCTGACTGCGAGCGATCTGGCGGAACTCGGTCGGTGGGGTGCCATCCCGAGACAGAACCGTATGCATGGCTGCCACACCCAGGTTTCGATAATGACCAGAATCAAATACTAGTGCCGTGCGTTGGACTCGTGCTAGAGCCAGGGCGGCCGATAGGCCTGCAGGTCCACCTCCGACGATCAATGCGTCAAAAACGAATTTGGTCATATTCATCTTTCTCTGATAGAAACGACAATTAGAAAAGATAATTCTCAATAGAAAGAAGTTGATGTGTCAAGACTAGGGCTTTGCTTTTTGAAGTCCTTCGCCTCGGACACTTTTCTGCGAAAGTCTCCGTCCTCCGCTGCAGATGACATGGGTCCAGAAGTCCATTTTCCGGAGACATCATCTCGGATACTTTTCATGCAAGAATATTAAACTAATTCAAATAAAAAGGAATTTACCGGGATATTCTAGTAAGCCGATAGTTTCCATGTTTTCCAAGGGTACTCAAATATTATTTTCGCATGATATATTCAATTTCTAGATGTACCACTTTTTACACTAATCTAATGGTTCTTGTGCTACTTTACCCCTATACCAGCAAGCAATTTTGTAATTTTATAGTACACAGCATATAGAAGGAATTGAGGACTCTAGAATCCTTACTGAAAAAAAGAAAAAAAGAAGCAAAAAAAGACCAGGTCTATACTACAGGGGTACCCATATGCAGGGAAACCAGTAGTACGAAGTATGAAAGAAAACAGCATCGGAAACATTTCGGACACTTTCTAGCTACACGCATTCAGTGTCTTTGCTTGATCTCTTGCTCCCTGGGTCAGCTCATCAATACATTCCCTGCCTAGGTGATTTCTAATTTCTGTTTATTAGGCCTGTCTAGATTACAAGATCGATGTCCTTAAATATGTTGATTTTTGCTCTGGCCAATGTGTCATTACCATTATTCAAAGCATATTATATATGTACCTGTTACAACATCATTAAGCTCTCAAGTACTATCCCCCAGTTCTTACCATAGTTTCTGGGTACTGTTCTCTTCTCGTTATGCCTCGCGTACTACCGCCATACGGCGACCGGACCAAGTCCTCAGTGGCTTGGGGAGTCGTCACTGTCGCCTGTATCGTTAATTTTCTCGACCTCTTCCAGAGTTCCATGGTCATGTTTGGCCTGGCTGATATCAAAGAAGCACTGAAATTCAGTGATGGTGATTTGAATTGGGTCTTGGTGGCATACACGCTCACATTTGCCACGACTCTCCCTGTCGGGGGCCAATTGGCTGACCGCGTGGGTTTACGTCTCACCTTTCTCATTAGTACTTTTATGTTATTCTGGACGAATATTCTGATCTCTTGGACCCCAAATCAAAATGGCATGCTTGCTGGTCGAGCTCTGGCAGGTGTTGGGGCTGCCTTGACAGTTTGTCCCTCCCTTTCTGACCATTTGGATCGAGTATCTTTTTAACCATCTTCTACAGTGCGCAACTGGGATCTCCGTCATTAGTCACACATTCCCTCCCGGCAAAGATCGAAATGCTGGACTCGCAGTCTACGTCTCCTGCGGACCAATTGGTACCGTGCTAGGCGTCATCCTTGGGGCGCTGCTTACAGCTTCCGCGGCTGGTTGGCGCTCGATGTTCTGGGTGAATTTCATTCTGGCTGGTGTTGCCTGCGTGCTGGGCTTCTTGATCATCCCAAACTTTGACCGGGATACGACTCGTGGATTTGATTATTATGGTGTGGTCACTTTCATGGCTGGCACCTGCTTATTGATCTTCGGATTGAATGATGCGGTAGACCTAGGCTGGAAAAGCCCTGCCGTGATAGTCACCATTATTATAGGTGGCCTGTTGCTCCTCGCATTTCCACTCGTGGAACGTAAGGTTCACGAACCGGCAGTGCCATTGTCAATTATGCGCAACCCCCATGTCCTCGTTCCCTTGACCGTCTTCATGTTTGTTGGTGGTGGTTGGTGAGTGATTCCATTCATCTCAGCATTGTTCAAGTTATGCCTCGCTCACGCGGCCTCGTTTCACAGGGTCACTTGGTTCTTCCTAGCCACAGAAATTTGTCTCAACTCACTCCATTACAAGACGGTGCTCGCGGCGTGTTACTTCTTAGTACGTATAACGAGATCAAGCTAGCATCAACATCCTGCTAACTGTTTCTTTTGCACAGCCTGCAACCGCGGTTTCCATGATTGGAGGTGGCATTGGCAACAAGTTAGTCGGCATGGGTCATACCAAGATTGTCATTGTAGCCGGATATGTCATCAGTGTGGGCGCGCTCGTCCCTTGGGGCTTTGTCGGGCCTCAATTCGGCATTTGGTATGTGATTATCTTCTCGATGCTCTACCTATTTGCAGCACCGGGAATCGCAGTGGCTGCGCAGGCCATCGTGTTGAATGAGATTCCTTTGGAAGATCACGGCACCGCGGCGGCCCTCATGAACGTCATGTATCAATTCGGAAGTTCTCTCTTCCTTGCGGTTGTCAATGTCGTGATGGGGAGTACTGGACGGAGCGGAGACCTGAGTCGCGATCTCCTCACCCAGTACCATAATGGTATGTGGACCTTGCTTGCTTTTACCGCCACGGGCTTGGTTCTATTTGTGGTGTTCTATCTTCCACGAGAGTCCCGTCACGGAGGCATGCTCGACAAGTCTCAGAACGAGCCAGTTGAGATTAAGGACGAGGAGGAAGCTGTAGGAGAGATCAAAAGCACTTGAAATGTTCTTTGAGGTGATCGAAGCTATGCGGTTCCATCGAGTCTGGCACAGTGTTACCCACACCATCAAACCCAAATGTGGACTACCTGTATTTTTATTTGACTTCATATTAGTCGGCTTTATCTAGTTTATTATACTCGGGCTTATTTGAAACAACAATCTATCCAGGATATATTTACCAATCTATTTGATAGGAGACGGAGTGTACATAGTTCAATGTTATTTTAATACCAAAACTAAGGCGTAAAGGTCGCAGGGTGAATGGAAATCCCACCTGCATAGTGTGGATACATGAAGCCTTTCTACATCACCTTTCAGGGTATTTGGGATGATACTACGGAGGACGTCTTCCGTAGTAACTCCTAGATAGAAATACTATCCCCCCCCCTCTCCAAAATACGAGGCAAAACAAGCGGGAATCACACACGCATTTTATGACTTTAGGCGAAATGATTCCTTCACGACCGCCATGTATTCCACAATGACAAAGGACTCGAAAATTATTGTAATAATAAGATAAGGGGCATAATTGTGAGCTTTATAGTCATAACACATCATGACGGTCGAGACTTTACGAAGAAACCCACTGATCTGGGAATGGAAGGCCAATCTACTCATAGCCTGTTTATAATAATTACGAAGTATGTTGTATGGCGCACGGAGTACGGAGTACTCCGTAGATAAAATGTAATTTAATCAAATCGTAAAGCACTGCGTACTCAATTCCCCTTCAACTTAGCGCCAGTTCTCCACACATACCGTTTCATGCAGGGGCATGGTACTTTAGAGTGATTGATATTTGCAGATCAGTTCCCTGTCGACGCGAAATATAACCTAACTCGGTAACTCTCTTCGCCTACAACGAACGTCGGCCAGTAACAACATTGATACGCACCGTAAGTGGGTACAGGTCCATTTCTCGCGCCAGTTCCCGAGGCAAAGCGTCCCACGCCGCCTCACTCAGTCCTAGGGTGTCTTCCTTGGCGCCTAGCAAAGCCGAAATCGTCAGAGACTGAAGATGCAATGTAACGCGGGAAAAGGTGACGTGAGACGATACGTACTTCGATAGTAACCCATAAAGGTCTCCAACACGTGCAGCATATTGGTACGGCCTAACACCCCTGCAACAAGGTCCGGATTCCCCATTCCGGCCGCGATGTCGTACGTCGACTCCGTTACATCCTCAAAATTGTACTGACGGACCCATCCAGCTATTTGATCTGCGGCTGTAGGATGGATCAGAAGACTGCTGGCCAGCCGGCGCAGCACCGTAAAAGCGGGAGCCTGCTGGCGTTCGCGTTCGCGTTCGCCTGAGGCCTCGGTCTTGGCCGAGGTCAACATGTCCACCTCAACAAATTGAACCCACCCCCCTGGCTTGACTGCGTCAAGCAGATTCCCAAGGGCTGGCTCATGTTCGGGTAAAGACGGAAATAGAAATCGTTGGTGGACAAAATCGAAGGTGCCAGTCCAGTCGCCGGGGAATGGCTCGGTTACGCTTGCCTTGACAAGTTGAATCTCAGCCGTGATTTGATCCGGTGCTGGAAAGAGATGATCCCTGGAAAACGGCAATTTATGATTAGTCTTAGGTTTGATTCTCGGGGCATATTCCTGCATTCTGGTAGAATACCCACCCGATATCGAAGGCCACAAAGCTCGACCCCACTGGGAGTTCTTTGGCCGCATCTAAGCACCAAAATCCTATGCCGCGTTAGAAATAATTTGCATATGATTTCTGCACGCTAGCATCCTTATTCGGAAAATGGTACAAACCATCGGCAGTCGCGGAATCCAACACATGCATAGGCTGGTCTGGTTCAATTGGGGCAAAGACTAGCTTGCCGCCCATGGAGGCCTTGATCCAGTCATGCTGATTGCGTAGTCGTTGTATCTCCGAGGTGGTATGTGGCATGACATATGTATAGTCGGCCGAGTGCTCAGAAGTCTTCGTCATCATGACTTGTAGAGAGATGAATGAAAAGATAAGTGTGGTAGATTTGGACCTTGAAGAGAAAATTCTGTAGCGTTCGTCTACAACGGTATAGTTTTAAGATTTAAATATACAGGATATGGGGTTTATTTTCATGACAGCGACGCAATATCCCATTCTTCACTTTCCACAATGGAACGGCCCCTGTTGTACCGCGCTTTCGGATGCCGAAATCTACGCTACTTGTCCGGTCGATCTCCCATGTGGCTAACGGGGTACGTCCTAGACTGGGACGGGTGGTAAAGTCAATCACGAAGGAAACAGCCAGTGGCTTGTCGCGGAGACTTATAAGCTGTTCGGAGACTTTTTGATCTGCAGGTATCTGACGAATGTCATGTAAATCAAATGAGGGGCTACGTCGTAAACTCCTGCCTCTGGTATTATTCACCAAAGTGGAGTCCCGAGGCCCATACCAAACAGTTGTAATCGGTCATCATGTCAATGCCACGATTTGTTTAGTACTAGTCCATAGTTATTAATATAATACCATCTTGGTTATTGTTGATCTGACATGCAGATCTTGTACATAAAGATTATATTATCTTTTTCTTTTTTTTGTACTTCGTACTTTTCGTTTACAGGTCGCGCAAGGTACTCATTGGAGCCTTCCTCCCATCAGCACTAGAGCACTAGGGGGCCTAAAATGATAGTAGTATCTTCAGAGGGGTATATCCTGCGGGGGGGTTAATACATTTAAAAGGTTGATAATATATGAGATTGCAAGTAGGGCCTGTATTTCTCATCAATTACGAAGATGTCGCCATCAGAGTCTGTATCCTCCAGGGTTGATCCCAAACCTCGAAAATTCCGCTCCGCGTGTGACAGCTTTCACCGCAGTAAAACCCGCTGCTCCGGTGGAAATCCCTGTAATCGCTGTCAAGAGTTCATGACCAGATGCACCTACAGTTATTCCGTACGTGCTGGGAAGCCCAAGGGATCCCGGTGCCGAAAGACACTGGAGCGTGAACGGCGGGCAGCCATGGCGGAAGAGTCCCACTCCACCCCGAGGGAGGAGCACGCCATCCCACCGGAGGATGACACCAACCAACATTCTGCGACCTCTGCATCTTCTTTGTCCTCTCCACTGCCATCATCAGAGTCATTTTGGTCGCCGTCCGATTTTCTCTTCAACCAGACGGCGTCCGACCTTGTGCCCTGCACGGACTGGCTAGAGTCTTCTGCATTAGATTGGTTACAGTCTGAGACAGTCCCCGATTCCACCCAATTGAATTCGTCGACCGCCTCATCAGAGCGAGAGCAGCCAGGTGAAGCGAACCGGTTTAACTTTGACTCGAGCACCGTTCATAGCTTGTGTATGGATTTTCCAGACCTACACTATAGGAATGACGACCACCCGACTGAATTGCAGCTGTTGATACCACTGAAGAAAGAGGAAGGGGAATGCCACTGTTTATCGACTTTGAGTGGTCTTGTATCCCGCCAAATTACCGCACGAGATGTGATGCGATATGATGCCTCGCTAGTCTTGATCCGCGACGCCGCGCGTGCGTGTATCACATTCCGTCATTGTCGCTTCTGTCCTAAGGATGCAGGAAGCATTAGCCTAGTCATCACTACGCTGCAACTCATGACTGGCACCGTAGACCGCTTGATTCAACATCTGAAACGACGCTCAAGCTCAGAAACGAGCAACGAGACTGATTTCAGCACTGCTCCTGTTCCTTTTTCTGGAGAGGATAGCACGACCTCTAAGATAGGGGCAGGGGGTGGACCCATCCAAGTCCAATTTGGGGCATACCACACCTCCAGGGAGGATTGCCAAGAACAGATTCAGGTGCTGTCAATGCTAGTCCGGTCAGGGGTCAGGAGGATGCTCGAGGTATGCTGGCCCTTGTGGGACTTGCTACGTTCGATGCCCTGTTCCTTGCCGCCTTCTTCGCATGGCGATCCATCTTCTTCCCAGGCCCACAAGATTCCGGATTTAGAATACAATGGAACCTCCCTAAATCCTTTAGAGGTTTCCCAGGTTCAAAATACATTGATGGTTCTGCAGAACCGCCTTTGTCATTTATTGGAGCAATGTATTGTGGAATATAGGTGAGATATGCAAACTTTGCAGATATCATTTGATTTCATTTGAAATGTTGGTCAGAAAGATGATTTCTTTGCCAAAATACAGGGGTACTCTGGTGTCTAATTCGTCTCTTTGATGCGAACATATATTATGATCTGCTTCAGCAACGAGAAAATTGTGTAGAGGAAACTTGATATCACTCTGACACGTCTCGTTTAAATTTTGATACCAAACTACTCAGAACAAGTATGCTGCATTCTTGGAGAATCTTTCGGTCCCCGAAAAGCGGGGGACCTGAACCTTGCTCGCCATTGTTTATTCTGATCTTGTTTATAAGGGCCGGCTCCCTCCCTATACCAACTAACCCTCATGGAGCCCACTACAGCATTTATTGAATACACCAAGTCCTAAGTCACTCTCAACCTTTCGAAATAGCAAAATGGCAACTACTACTGCTTTGGATGAAAAGGTGCAAAGCCTTCGGGAAAGATATATTCTACCCCACAATGTGGCAGAAATTGAGCGAATGCAGAATCAACACGAATGGGTCAAGGGATGTGCGGACGGTCTGATCAAAGCTCCACTGGATATGACCAGGAATGATCTTCGGGTTTTAGATGCCGCTACTGCTGATGGTATGTGCTGCCCTTAAATGAAGCACGGAAGGCTTTCCTTGGAAACCCCCACTAATTGAGAATATCTTCACACAAAGGCTACTGGATTCAAGACACAAAATCAATTATGCCAACAGGAACGGAATTTGTGGGGTTTGATATCGCGTACGTATGAGAATCTCTACTATATGAGGGACAAAGAGAACATACCCTAAGGTTTGATAATCTCTTTACCAACAGACCTAATCTATTTCCGCCAACTGAAATCCTCGGCCCAAACGTGACCCTCTCGGTCCAGAACTTAATCAAGCCCTTCCCCCCAGCTTGGAAGAACGCCTTCGACCTTGTCCATGAACGATTCGTGATCTCTCTCTTCAAGGAAGATGAAATCACCCAAGTTCTACACAACTTACTCTCATGCGTCAAGCCGGGAGGTTGGATCCAATTTGTCGAGCCCGACTTCGGGACCTGTGTCTCCCAACCCAAAGACAAAACCACTTCTTTTCAAATGATACATCGGCTCACTGGTCACGTCATGGCGGATAACATGGCTTCGACGAAGCTGGCTGGTCGGCTTGAAGATGCCGGTTGGGTCAATGTTGATATCTCAGTCAGAGACATGGTGGCTGGGAATTCGCATCTAAACCCTGCCCTTGGAGAGAGAGGGCGGCAAAATATGCTTGCCATTCTGAATTATTTTCAATCTGTCACGAGGTATGCAAAGAGATTCTCCCAGGTCAGCCATGGAAGCTAACCTAGATACCACTCTTCTGCTACTAGTCCCGAAACCTTTGGCCTCTCTCAAGAGGAATGGCTGACTTTGCCGGAACGGTTTTCAAAAGATATGGATCAACACGAAACTGCAATTCGCCACTACATTGTATGGGCACAGAAGCCGATTGCGTGAAGGAAGAGTATTTGCCAGGAGAGGACTATGTCGAAGTGCATGGTGAATGTGAGATGCTTGATTGAGTAGAGAGTTATTGAAGCTAAGCTACAGAGAGACTATGAAATCTGACAGTATTGTTTTTATATCTGATTACTATCGGGGCATTTTTGCGTTGCGGTTCTGCTTCAATGCTGCGGCTTGTAACCAGTCTGGAATTGCTGAAGATAGCTCTGGGCAGGTATGTTGGCATACGAGAATTATGGGGAATCTGAGACAGGCCGATATATAGAGAATAAAAGAGTTTGTTCGTCCCATTGACCGCACTCGCTATAAGTTTGTATACTTTTCGCTGTTCTCAGCCATCATTCTAAACGCTATTGCCAATTGATTTGATGGTGTCAGTCAATTACTCGGAGACAGTGAAACATTCAAACTTGGACGTTCCATTTGTGATTCTACTGTTTAGCAAGGGATCTGCTCTAGCTTTAGTAGAATATTTTTCAATCTCCCGTAGAGCTTGTATTTTAACTGGCTCTAAAAGGTATGTAAGTACGTTTTAATGAAAGACCACAACCGTACCAAAGGCAAAACAACCCATGATCTTGCAAAAGATATCTTCCCCTTTTGTATAAAATCTTGACCTTGCTTCAATGAATTCATTCTCCTCCTTTGCCACTTGTGTCCCGAGCCTATCACATCTTCAATTCTCCTCAGACCTTCCAGAAGTTCAGTTTCCGGAAGGGCGAAGGTAATCCGGAACCATCCTGGTTGCACTTCATTGTAGCCACGTCCTGCGCCAACCGAAACCCCTGCCGCCTCGATCTTGTCATTCAGGTCCGCTTCGCCAGCCCAGGTGTCTTCCAAGTACCCCAGACGAGCCCAGATGTACACGCCGGCGATAGGTGGGTAGAAGGGAATTTTATGGAATGACAGGAACTCCACCGCGATTCGCGAGGCCCTCCATAGCTGCAGGCGGCTATTTTCAAAAATTTGATCCAGTATTTCCTCCTCATCTCGCAACAGTGCTGTAGTTGCTACTGATGTTAGAGTTGACGTCTTGGAGTGGTTCGAAATGGCTAGAGAGAGGCGCAGATCAGGGTGAGATTATAGAATTGCAAATCCCTAGCGAAGAAGGAAAAGAAAACCAGTCAAAGATATGTCACTCAATAGAAAGAGAGGTTTGCCACACGTAACTCACCAGTCGTAAACCACTACTCCCCAAATCTTTGCTGATACTATACAGTACACATACCCTTGCTGGGAGCACTTCCAGTTGAGCCAGATCCATTTCTAGAACTGACACAAATCTCCTTACAGCAGTATTTGATGGGGAGGAGTTGATGACAGACAACGCATAAATCTCATCCGAAAGAAAGTAAAGATTTTTTCGTTCGGCAAACTTCAACAGAGCTTCTATCAAAGTCCTTGAATAGAGACTGCCTCGCGGGTTATGTGGGTTGCAGAACAGTATTGCCTTTATCGTGCACTTTGCATTAGCCATGGCTGTCTCATAGGCGGAGATATATGACGAGATATCCACATCTCGGACAGACTGGTCTGAAGGCACTTGAACATGGACGGCTTGGACTTTTGCACGAAGCACAAAAGTGGTTTCAAACCCACCTGATTATCCACAGTTAACTTGGTCACGATCATGTAGTCGTGTGAAGCAAATTGGAAGTACTGGTGGCTGGTGATCACTTACCCCAGAATGGCGTCTCAATCAACACCCCATCTCCAGGTTCACAGACATCATACAGAACAGCTTCCAATAGAGAGCTGCATCCCGCCCCCGTCACAATGTGTTGCGATTTGACGGGATTATGAGGATGAAAGTATCGATTGAAGAATTCTGCAGCTGCTTGGAGAAGCTCTACATCACCGCCCAATCCATCCGCATAGGAAAGGTGATAGGGAGAGAGATTATTCTCGATATGACGTTTGAAAGCATCGATAAGTTCAAACCGAGCCAACCAATTCTCGGCCGTCATCATGTTGATTCTTCTTTCTCCGGCACTTAGTCGAGCAACTTGACGCATATGCTTATCCATGAACCATTGGACATTTTCTCTCGAACGGTTAGATAACGATGTAATCGCCGTGTTTTTGCTAGCGCTTGGATCTATTTCCAAACCTCCTAAGCTCTCGGGCGATGAATCCGTTGGTTTGGTCATGACTGGCAAAGAGATTAAATCTTTCTGGGTATGGTGTGAGGTCTGAAGAGATATGAATGAGGGATTTCTTATCACTAGAAGATTGATAAGACTTGATAGAGCTATAAACAAATATTCCAGGAAAAAAGAGATTCGATCGGAAAATTAGGCCGGTTGTGCATTTTCGGTGGCCGATTTGGTGCTCACTGAAGCGGCGAGGATGATTGAAGCCTTCGGGAGAGAAAGGCAGCTACAGTAAAAAGCCATTTAACCGATATGATTCTCTCTCGGCCATTTATCTCCGAAAGAAAAAGCTGCACTTAAATGGAATAGGATGTCGCTAGTTAACTATGAATGTGATGTCAATTCTTGATTCTCAAGCCGACACGGCCTTCTCTGCGGCTATACAAATGATAAATAAGCCGGGGAGAAAAAGGTACAGCCTATGGATTAGTCAGATATATAAGACGATTCAAAAATGCAATCTTGAATTCTTATAAACAAAGTATGTACATACATACATATCTGTTGTATACATCAATGTGCGCCCACCCCCGGGCCGGGCCCGAGCCTTAGTCATCCAACTCCGAGTTCCGAGGGCCGAACCCCGACAACTACCTACATCCATGAATGCCCGTGGACCGTCAACTACCTCCAAGTTTGCCTTTTGACTGCCATTCCCTTATCATATCAGGTACTTATACAATGGCTACACCCCGCCGTAATGGTCAATTATCATCCTGTGAGCCATGCCGTACCTCAAAGTTGCGATGCGATCATGCAAGTCCCATGTGTGGACGCTGTGAGCGCCGCGGTCTTCATTGTACCTATCACCCAGCACCATTGACGCAGCCCCACACTGCAATACGGCCCAAAAAGAAACGGCGCGTTGTGTGCGAATCAGATCCTCCTAGTAACATCGGCCGACTGCCCAATGAAAACGATGTCTGGACTCGGAAAAAGGCATCCGTCTCAGCCCCGGGATTTCTAGGGCAAACTAGCTACTTTGATGCGTTCACAGATACCAGAAATGGACTTCTTGACGAAATCCCATACCTCGCAGGCCATGATAACTTTCCCGTTGACTTAAAGCGGATCAATCTCGGTGCTCGGGTCTTGACGCTTCTGGAGAACCTCCCGTTTTATAGAGATGTGATCACCGCTCGATACAAGATATGGACAGGATGGAGTCTTGGCTGGCCAGTCACGAACATGGTTTTCACTGCTGCTGAGAACATGTGGAACTCCCTGGAAACCAAGGACATGGACACAAACCAACGAGCGTTCTTCTTATCTAAGAGACTGTTTGAAACGCATAATCGGGCGCTTGAGGTACATTCTTCAATGACCTGGGAAGAATTCCAGACTGCTGCGGCCGGTAGATGGGAGTTGATTGGGCTGCTCTTTACTCTTACAGGCCTAGCCACGGATTGGGTCCCTCACAGCGATCGCATCTTCATGCGTCAGAATACGATGGATGCGAGCAGTCTCGCTATAACCGCAACCGCTGTGGGAGACATATGCCTTCAGTTTTGCGATAGCACTGGAATTGTGAATGATATTGTAGGCTGGCTGCTACTACATCAGACCACGCTGTTGGCAATAGTCTACGGTGAAAGTGGTTTGTTATCCCGTTTTTTGCCTGCCAATATTCTCTAACGGGGTTCCTAGACTTTCGACCGTGGAGAAAGTTGGGAGAGTTATCGACAACGCTGTTTGCACTTGGGCTTCATCAAGATTCTAGCGGAAAGGCTCCATTCTTTCTTTCTGAGATGCGAAAAAGAACTATGGTCGCGGCGTACTCAATGGACAAAGTGCTTGCCACTTTCCTAGGTCGCCCACCCCTCATTAGCTGGCGCTACTGTGATATTCAAATGCCACTTGACTTAAGCGTTGAGGAAATATTCGCCGATTCAGTGATTCGTGATGCGGCAATCGCTCGACTGGATGAGAACAATGGATGGAATCTGGAGTCAAGCTTGGTGAAGGGCACTTGGCCTCGAATTGCCTTGATCACTAACATTCTCCGTGAGAAGGTATTGGAGCTTTCTCTGAGTTGGCAACTCGAGAATCTCAGCCAAAGGGTCGAGTACGCCGAGAGTTCATTTTCCTACCAAATATAGGACATGGCTAACTTTCTCAGGGAGCTTTCACGCGAATCCCGTGAATTAAGAAAGGCAATGCCTGACTTCCTCCGTTGGAAACCCGATATTGACATGGCAGCTGTTCCCAGAGTAGAATATGACCTCCTTTTCGAGGTCCATATAGAGTTTCTCTACAACGAGTTCCTGCTCTACCGGACCCTTGGGAAGCGCACCCAGACACAGCCCGAGGCAATTATTGACATCGCTCGAGAGATACTCAAAGCATTGGTCACCATGATTTCTGAAAAGACTCGCTCTGGGCAGCCCATCAAATCTATGGGGTTCAGTGTATGCCTACCTGGTTTGCCATCGGCGGGCGTTCTCTGTGCGGAATTACTGCGTCGATCCCGACCAACAGTGATAAGCTCTTTACTAGAGTTTCCTCGTTCAGAGATTATTCAAAATTTGACCCTTTTTGCGGCATATCTGGATGGCATCATTAAGCCCCATAATCCTAACTACCGTGTCGCACAGCAGGGTCAGAAGGCAATCCGCCATGTCTTGGACCAAGTCCTCTCCATCGATGGCCCCTCCTCTATCGTAGAAGACAGTGGAACGAACGACAAATTTATTGACGATGCCAGCTTACGTGACGGTGTGAATTTCGACGATCATGATCTATTTCTTGGTTGGCTTGATGGCAATATGCAACACATGTCCGACTCTTGGCTATCATGGGTGAATTTTACCTGAAGATGTCAAGCCTGTGCTATTAGGCATCAATACTATTCACATGAACTGCATTGACAATTCAACAACAATAGTCGGTCGCTTATGCGGCCTNTTTTTTTTTTTTTTTTTTCTTTCTTCTTTTCTCGGATTTATGTGGAGATGGTAAACAGAGTATAATTTGTACAGCAGACCTTTTTATGTATGACCTTTGATTAGAGACAAGTAATGGCGTTGATGGGATAGCTGTACAATTTCGAACATCGTAGATAAAGCTGCTGGGCGGCACCACCTGGGCAGCCCCCGGGGCCTAGGTGACGTGTTAGGTAAGCACCCACTAAGACGTGTTTAGTTATCGCGTGATATTATGCACTTCGGGTCGCACTGGTCTCCTGTACTTGCTGTCTCGGATAGAATCCCGAATTTCTATGTTCTTTCCCGAGGTCAATTCCAAACGTCCTCTTGGGATTGCCACTATGGACCACTCAGCACCAAAGTCCCACCCCAGAACAAAACGCCGGAAGATTGCTGTTGCCTGTGATGATTGTCGAGCAAGGAAAGTTCGATGCGACGGGATACAACCAGGTATGGCCTTGTTCACACGGAATGCAACCCGTGCTAACTCAATAAAGTGTGTGGGCCCTGCCGCAAGAGGACCGACCAGGGACTCCAATGTGTCTATACAGGGGAGTTAGAGAAAAAGCGAGCAAGGCAAACGTAAGCGCTATCAGTCCCACGGCTAAATTAGCCTCCGTTTACTAATCTCTGTTCCGGTAGTTATATATCCAAGCTAGAAAGTCGGATCCAACAACTTGAAAGCCCACAACACTCGGAGAAGGGTCATGGATCAGAATGTACGCCGGTCAGTGTATCATAACGCTTTGGTACCACTATCTAACAGGTCTATTTATAGCAGACAAATCTGCTATCGCCGACATCTGGTAATATCCGGTCCGAAACGCCTGGAAACTATACACGAAGCACCCACAGTCAGGCTGAGATGTCGACACCCTCGTGTCAGCGAGATGGGGTGAACGCGATGATGGGTGCTGTAGAGGAAGAGCTCCCTAGTCAAGGTTTTTTTGGAAGCTCTAGCGCAGCAGGATTCATGCGTCAAATTAGAACCGCAGTCGACAGGAGAGTCGCATCACCTCACCGAAGATCCTCAGTTCCCCATCTGGCTGTTCCTTCAAGCCTGATGCCAACGCGGAGCGAAAGATATCAGTCTTCAGTCGCTAACTATGTTCTCCCCCCTCGAAAAATGGCCGATAGTCTCATGGAGGTGTACTGGGAATATGTCTTCCCGTTATATCCATTTTTTATCCCCGGTGAGATGAAAACTGAGTATATGAAAATATGGACTGGTGATTCTCTGGAATATGATGAAAGCATGCTAATGTGTACGTTGAATGTCATCTTCGCCTTGGCAAGCCAGTTGGCCGATTTTGTCCCGCCAAAGGAGCGAGAAGCATCAGCAGATGCTTTTTTCTCTCGGGCGAAAGGCCTGTTCCAATTCAACCTCTGGGATACTGGATCTGCAGGCTTGATTCAATGCTTACTTCTCATGGCTCAGTATCTGCAAAGTACCGATTCTGCACATCAATGTTGGATTGTGACCGGACTCGCGATCCGTAATGCTCAAAGTTTGGGGCTCCATCTTCCCCAGAACATTGCCCGCCTTCGGAGTTTCCAAGAGCAACAACTGGCCCGCAAAATATGGCACGGTTGTATTCTAATGGATCGGTATGTTCAACACTATGCCCTGGCCTAATCTCTGACACGATTCTTATTTCAATGTTCTCAAAGGGTCATATCTATGACATTTGGTCGCCCGGCGATGATCTCAAAGGCTTCCAGTGGGGCAGTTCCCCTGCCGGCCGCCGTTGACGATGAATATATCCCATCTGGGTCTAGCAAAGAGGTCTCCCAGCCTCCTGATCGGCCCTCAATGATGGCGTTTTACGCTAAGTCATTAGAACTTTACGAGATCATGAACGATGTGCTTCTTAGCCTTTACAAACCCATTTCCGACGATAATGCCGAAGATATGCATGACTTTTATTTCGATAATGTTGCAAGCGAGGGAGAACGGACTATCTTCGAGCTCGACCGCTCCCTCAGTCGATGGACACGAAGCCTTCTCCCACACCTGCGTTGGGATTCCTCAACGGTATCCACAAGTGCTATATTTTACCGGCAAAGCATTGTCTTGCGTGCGAGGTTCGTGCTATACTGATATTTTCAAGGTATTCTGCGATAACTGATCGATGTGTTTCTATAGATTTCTACATGTGCGGATGCTTTTGTTTCGGCCAACTCTCTCTAAATACTGTGCTATTCGAGATAATGCCGCAACAGACCCCTTGGTCTCGACGAATGAATCATTCCCCCATCGTGTCGCGCTACAGTGCTCTATCATATGCGTCAAAGCTGCCCAAGAGTCTATTGAACTAATCAAGAATAATGTCCCTGCTGATGGGACCGGTGGGCCCCTGCCGGCTTGGTGGTATAACATTCTTTGTTCGTATAGACTTTCCCCATTGTTCTACTGCGAGATTCTGACTTATCCAGATGTTTATACCTCTGCAACTGTCTTAGTCGCTAGCCGTTTATGCTCTACGATCCTTGCCGAGGTCACAGAAAGCTCCATCGCGGAGTCTTGGAACTATGCACTAGAAGTTCTTCGAAAATACCAAAATTATAGCACATCCGCTCGTCGCTGTGTAGCAGCCCTTGAAATTCTTTATGGACAAGTTGCCTCTGAAGGTCTGGTGCCAACCAACCACATACCGAGTCATGAGATAAGGGCTAGTGCAAGTGCACTGAATGACATGTCCTTCGGCGAAGGAATAAATTCTGCTATCATGGATAGCTTTGAATTTCCTGATTTTCAAGATATGTCATGGTTGAACAGTGTTCCGAGCAACCTTTTCTAGATACCCGAAGCCTTCTGGTTACAAAGTTTAAATTCAATTAGAATAAGACTAGGGAATACGCTCGATTGCGTCTATTCAGCGAAGTCAATGTCCATTCCGATTCCTACTCGTGCTTTCATGGCCCAGGACACGGAACAGTCAATTATCATAGAGAGAATTATTGTGAAGCAGTAGATTAAAAAACAGGAGCAAGTGCTCTTAACGCTTCTCCGCACGCGTAGAAACAAATTGGACTGCAATGATTGGAAGTAAAGCACATCCACCGATGATCGCAACCATCACACCCGCAGCTCCACCAAAGCCCAAGGCAGTGAACATATCTGGGAAATAAAAAGGCCCAAGCTATAGGTAGCACATTAATGATTGAACATGAAACATCAAAACGGGTATGATCTTACAAATCCGTATAATTGTCGGCAAACATTGACAAAGACACCAACCTGACTGGCCCTATCTCGTCTGCTCTCCACAGCAAATGTTGTGAGAATCGTCGTCTGCATCTGATTACCGAAACTCGCAATGGCTGCACCAACACAGGGTGTGACGTTCCAAATAGTCGCATGCTGTAGCTGGAACCCCCAAGTCAAAAGACCAGCGAAAATTGTCACAAAGGCAATGTAGGACAACCACAGACGATCGGCTGGGCACGACCTACCCCTGGATTTGCGAACTCGCGCTAAGAACCAATCGCACATAGGTCCACTGACTTGTTCGCCTAACACGCAACCGATGACAATAGCAATGAACTGTAGTCCAATCTGCTGAGCATCGAAGTGAAATCTCTCCCCAAACGCGATAGGCATTTCAACAATCAAGGCAATATTGCTATAGCAGAAGGTAATTGCATGAGCGCATGCTATAATCAAAATCCGCGGATACCGCGCTAGAGAAAACGGTGCAACAAAATCCAGAGGCTTGAGAGAATGAGAGCTAATCTTCCGTAGGATCAGTTTACCCCAGAATCCAGTTACTTTGCGCTCGTTGTCGGGATTGTAGATGGTCTCATCGCCAATCGCAAGATAAACCAAAAACTGGCAAAAGTTGAGGATGGCAAAGATCCAAAAGATCCACTGAACACCAATATGTTTGATCACGAATCCCATAAAGAATGGGCCTGCTGGAGTCCCAATGGTGGTCATCAGAGTCCACCAGCCTAATTTCTTCCCTCGATGTTCAGGTTCAGATAGCTCTGTTACTACACCACTTCCATTGCCAATAGGGGGGGAGATCAGAAAGGCCGTGAGGACTCTGGTAGCCATTTGTCCACCGTAGGAAGTACACCTCGCACCCCCAATGTTACATACCATGCTTCCCAATACCGAGAGGAGCGTGATATGGTATCGGCCATAGACAGCGGTGACGGGGTTCCATATCAGGGGGGATAGGCCAAGAAGTAGGATCTAGATGGATTTTATCGTCCGATGAGCAAGTTGCCAAAGCAATATCACGAGTCAAACAGACAGCATACATACCTGGCATGAGGTTAAATAACTGGCATCCGGTACCGTGACATTGTATTGCTCTGCGAAGGCATCATAAGCGGGGATGATACCAGCTGCCATGAACGTCCCCATCATTGAATGAATTGCGACCATCAGAATCTGCGCATTCTTTTTCCAATGGGGCCAGTTGCGAGGATTTTGGGGTGATTCGTTTTCCCAGATTCCGTTGTCCGAGACCTTGCAATCTTGGGGAGTTGATCCCATATTTTCCAAGTGAACTGAAGTCTCGGAGCTAGTACTTTTCATGTCATGACTCGATCTGGTTCTACCAGGGGCAGTATCTTCCGTAATGTCAATTGTCATCTGGGGAGAAATGAGTGAGTATCAGAGCCAAATGAACAAGATATTGTACTTTTAGTAGGTTTCGCAACGATTTAGCACCTTGTAGTCGAGATCCGTACCAAATAAAAAGAGAAGAATTCCAATAAAACAAGAACGATCGAAGAGGCCGATCAAGGGGTAATCCTAAATATGAAGTATCCTCTTCGTTGATCCTGAGACCCCATGGCGGCTGTCGACGGGGTGCGGATGGGGTGTGGGGGATATTCGGTAACGGATTGACGCCGCACTTATTCTGGCCATTTGGATTATGACGAAGTTTCATTGGAGTAACAGTCGACTAAAAGGCCATAATTGGTGCATATAAACTTAATTCCGCGCTGATATTGCCGATCCATACCTGGCTAACAACCCGAGGTTAGAGGTATACCATCGGAATTTGACCCGGAAGGGCTTCGGGATGTGACCCGAACCCAGTCGGCGATGGTTTGACGATGGTTTGGTGAAAAAAATGAAGCATATTAGCGTGAATACATTATTATCCAAGACTCCAAGTCTACATACTTCTGTAGATTCCAAGTTTATTAATGCAGCTACGTAACTAAAACAAGCTGAATGTGTGTGTTGCCTAAAATATCAGGCAACAAAGTTGTCTCCTGGCTGCTTTCATTTCATTTCTTATTCCTTTCTCAAATCTCCCGTTTCTCCCATTTTTCCTGCTTTCTTGACGACCAAATACTTTGAAAGATAGAAAATATCTCCTTTAAGAACCACCTCGGGCGAGCAATGACCGAGCAATTTCTCCGTTCTCCGCCAGTCCCCGCATCCCCAGATTTCCCCACGTAATCTTCTCCCGGTGGGGTTGATGTGGAGTGCGTTTTCACCAAATTAAACTAGAAGACTTTTTGGATGGCGCATTCCCAATCCATTGGCGGATTTCAAAATCCGTATGCAAATCGAGACGGTACTGAAATGGAACTATTCTTTGCTTCCATCAACAGTCGGCGGATTCGGGGTAATGATTTCCCGACATGTTGTGAGCCTTTATAAAGATCAGGGGGCAATTGACGATGACTTTGTCAAAAAATAGAAAACCACCAATCCGTAACGTCTCACATGTGGGCTACCTTTTTGACGGCCTTCACGGCGGGGGCTGCTGTTGCTACGGCGCTACAAGTCGCAGAAAATCAGACTTATATCACTCTTGCCAATGATCGCCTCACAGCTGTTCTTCAAAAGAGTGTTGGCCAGATCGTCGATCTCACTCTGGATGGCCAGGACTTATTGGGTGCTCAGTCGGGATCTACTGGAATAGGGCCCTATCTTGACTGTTACTGTATCCCTACGGGGTTTTACACAGCTGGCGCCACATCCCCGAGCATGGAGGTAGTCCAGGGCACAGATTCAACTGGAACCAAATATGCAGGCATGATTTTGAGTGATACATACACTCCGACGGGCCAGCAATTTCAACAGTACTGGTTCCTACGCGACGGCGAGACTGGTTTGCACATGTTCAGCCGATTGGCCTATCACAATAAGACTACACCTTACCTTCGCAACTTGCAGGAGTTTCGAACCTTGTTTCGTCCAAATACCAATCTCTGGACGCATCTGACGTCGAGCGAGATCCAAACCGCCCCCTTACCAAGCAAGGACGCCATTTCGAAGCAGATTGTTGTTCAAGATGCAACCTGGACATTCAACAACACGCCAAACGACGCTTACTACTCCCAGTTCTCTGATTACTTTACTAAATATTCATTCTCAAACCGTATGCTGGATCTCTTGTCGTTCTTCAGTTACTGATTAAATTGGCTAAATCGTGGTTCTTTAGAATGGAGAAATAATAGCGTGCACGGTCTCTATGCTGACGGCAGCACCTCAAATGGAGCAACATATGGAGCATGGCTGGTGATGAATACTAAGGTTCGTCAGATTATCCAGTCTTCGCCAAGATTGAATTTTATCTAACAAGTATATTCTAGGATACATATTATGGTGTAAGCGATATCAAGCACGGCGAAATGCAGTAGCTGACATCTCTTAGGGTCCACTCCATTCTGACTTGACAGTAGACGGTATCGTCTATAATTATATCGTATCAAACCATCATGGAGAGGGCACGCCAAACATCACAAATGGATTTGATCGAACCTTTGGTCCACAATTTTACCTTTTCAATGGCGGCAGGGGCTCGGTATCTCTCCAAGAACTGAGATCTGAGGCAGAAGAATTAGCCAATCCTCACTGGAACGCTGCATTCTATGATTCCATTGCAAAGCATGTTGTTGGATATGCTCCCTCGAGCCAGCGAGGCAGTATCAAGGGAACCGTAAAGCTTCCCAAGGGTGCCGTTCGCCCAATTGCCGTTCTCACCGTCGAAGGTCAATACTTCCAGGATAATAGCGCCGTCCCAAGCGCCTATCAGTACTGGACTGATATCAATCCGGACGGAAGCTTCAGCATTGATCGTGTGAAAGAAGGGAAATACCGACTTACTGTCTACGCAGAGGGCATTTTTGGGGACTTTGTGCGCGACGGAATTGTCATTCGTGCAGCAAGGCAGACTGCACTGCATGATATTTGGAAGCAAGAGTCGGCAGGAACGGAAGTCTGGCGAATTGGGATTCCCGACAAGTCGTCTGGGGAGTTCCGGCGTGGCAATGCGAGAGATTCCACCCATCCGCTACATCCTCCAGAGTATCTTATCTATTGGGGAGCTTATGACTGGCGCGCGGATTTCCCTGATGGTATCAACTACACTGTCGGTACTAGCGACCCTGCAACTGATCTTAACTCTGTCCATTGGTCGGTCTTCGGGCCGACGGCAAAGGATTCCCACGTCGAGTATGACACAACGCACGACTGGAATATCCATTTCAAGCTCAACGCGAAGCAACTGAACAAGCGGAAAACAGCCACATTGACCTTACAATTAGCTGCCGCAAAGACTGCAGCAGGCAACACGGATGTGTGGAATCCCGTTGAGCCATACAACAATTTGTCACTAGAAAGTTACATCAACAGTCAGGCAGATCCCCTCACTCTCATAGTTGGGTTCAACCAATCAAGCAGCTGTATTGTGCGGTCTGCTGTAAGCTGCTACCAGGTTCGGTCAAGAATGGAGTTCCCTGCAGATTGGTTATATGCCGGAGACAATGTATTGCGATTGCATTTACCTTTCAATGCAACGGATACAGAGACTGCCATCCTCCCGGCCACTGTTTATGTGCAATACGATGCTATCCGGCTAGAGCTAAAGTAATAACGCTCTGTTATTACGTGTTGGGCTTTCTAAATCAGCTAAATCAACCTCATATTCTATTCTTCTACATTTACCATGATATTTGGGGTTTATTCAGGTTCTTCTCGCAAATTTTCAGCAGATAAATCTACCCCTGTTGACTTAGATGCATACTCACAGTTAGTCTAATAAATCAAACGAATGACGCCCGAGTGACTCTTTTCGACCCAGAGACCCAAGTGAATTGGATCAAGTCCTCTCCCTCATAAACAATTCAGGATGAAGGCTCTTTGCCCGGAATATGCTAAAGCAAGGATCTTATATTCTCAATAGAAATAAATACATATGATTAAAATCCCCAGAGACTGGTGACAAACGAAAGACAAATGAATGGTAAGATCCGCTCTTGCGAACAGCGGCCTCACCAATTTGAGAACGCTAGCCCAACAAGATCGGATAGCACAGGCCCTTGATAAGTGCTGCAAGTGTACATTTATGTACTCCGTACTGGTATCCAGTTTTGACCCTTCCCGCAGAGACCGCCGCAATTGACAAGTTTAATGGTTCTCGTTGATATTTGCATAGCGGAAAAGGCTGCACTCAATGAAATGCAATTTACAGGAGGCCGCCGAAGCTGACACAAGGGGCGGCGACACCGACGAGGTTGCCGTTCTATTAAAATTAGTCATAATGTTCTTCTTCCATCATTTTGGGGGAGCACATACAGCCTGGGAGTTGGAGTTCTGGCAGCAGGCAATGTTCTGCTGGCAGTTCTTCTTGAGGAAGTCGGTCAGGCCAGCAGCACCAAGGACTATAATAATGTCAATTTCGCGCTTCAGTTCATGGAGTAGATATATCACTTACCAGAGATGGGGATGTCAAGCTGAGTGCAGCCCTGGCCAAGACCGAGACCCTCACTACCAATGGCACCGAGGACGTTGGAAAGGACACCAATGTTGTTCTGGCTGATGCCCTCATTCTTGTTGATCTTGTTGCAGCAAGACATGTGGGCACCATCACCACACTTGTTCACTGCATCCTCGACCTCGTTGTTGGAATGGGGAGCAACGCCAGCAGCAGAGCCCGAGCCAGGCAGGGCCATGGCAGTAGCAGCGAAAAGGAAGGCGGGGACGAAGAACTTCATTTTGATAGAGGCTTTAGAGAAGGCGGAAAGCGATTGAAGAAGGTTGGTATATTGAGAGAGTGTGGAAGACTTTGAAGATGAGAGAGTTGAATGATGAATAAAGAATACCCACTGGAAAGATCGTGCCTTTTATAACTTTTCTGCTCCTCAATCTATACTCCTGTGTTTTCTCCATTCATGCTTCTGGGCAAAAAAACCCCGATTGTTTCTCAGCATCTCGGTTCCTAACACTGCAGGGAAGTGGATGCCCTCATGAATTATTGCTTTGACCAGCTGGGTAGGGGTTGGCCACCACATATTATCGATTTTCAGGTGATCCATACTCAGCCAGAGGTATGAAGATGCATGAATTTGTCCAAGGTTTCCTCTGCCGATCAACGGACCCTGTCGGTATGTTCCCCAGATGCCGACGGGAACGGATGCGTATAGGTGGATATGGAGGTCAGGGCAACCTAAAAGTTGAGGTTGCTAATTGTACTCTTCGGCATGGAGTAACACAACGGAGTACTCCGTATTTGCTTTTGTGTTTGGGCTCTTGACCCTGCGTGTGATGTCTCGGTTCTTGCGGGTACTGAATTGCTCAGTTGGTGAATCTGATCTATCACTTCCCAACACATCGATCTTCTTCCTTTTGTTGAGTGAATTATCTATTTCATGTTCCATTTTCCATGATTTTGGGTTTAAGCGTCCAATGGGTCGATTTAAGACCGTTGATTGCAGATTTGAAATCGATAGTCGCATGCTTGGCGCAGGAAGCTCCTGCGTCGTGCATGACGCACCCCTGTCAGCCACCAACAACCACATCTGCTTCCCCAGATCGGTACGGAATAGTCGAATCACAATTTGGTGGCCCTCTCGAGTCTGAAGAAAGCCATTGTGCGAACCCTAAATCCGTGAAACCCTTGTCCGAAGTCGCCACATGCAACTGTGTGAGCAAAGTATTCTATATGTGCCTATCTAACAAAAAGGAGGTCAAGTTCTGACCTTCAAAATATCTACAAAGTTCATCAGTATATGCATGGCGTCGAATATCCATCACAAAGTTCTCGTAAAGCCCCTTGCCTACCACGTAAAAGACTCCTCCACGAATTTAATAGAGCGGTAGCCTTGTCGCATCGCAAGATGTGTCGCGGCGCGTGCTTCATCCGCCATTCTGGGTGGGCCACATACGAGGATCGCAAGGCTAGTACCGGCTGAGCATGCATCGCTGGCCCGGCTCATGATCAGGGATTGAAGATGGGGTCGATCTGACTGGATATCGAATCCAGAATCGGTAGGATCTTCAGAGGATACGGTGGAATCACGCGTTGCATAGAAAGAGGCACTGAAGTCCTCCCGTTTAAGGGCTTCTTTCAGTTCTCGGCGAGAGACATCTCGAATGAATGCCGCCTGTTTAGTAGTCCAAACAAGCTCCATGTCTCGTACTCGTGTTTTCTCATTTTCAAGCCGTCCATTCCAGTCTTCAACAGACCGGCGGAGATGGTCTTGAATATAAGGCACAGCCGACGCTATTCCCGTCCCACCGACGATTATCAAGACCGATTCATACTTCCATAGTGGAAAGGTTTCTCCATAAGGACCTTCAAGAAGGATTGTTGCTTCGCTTGTCTTGGCTGGTGAGCCCAGACATTGCTGGCGCAACTGTTTGGTCCAACCATCATACGGGCGGACCCAGAAGGTCAATTTTAACTTCAACTTCAACGATTCTTCTCCCCTCGAAGAGCCACTTTCTGAGTTGCCTTGGTAATCTCGATCGGAGGCACCGCCTGCAAGAAGAGGCACATTCGAAACATCAAGCGATTTGATCAGATTTCCTTCGGATGGCGGTGCCAATGACGTCCGATCCCCTATTTCGTAAGACCAAGCTCCAATGGTAAACGGATGGCTCTCCCAGCCGGAAAACCGAAATGGCTGATATAAAAAGTAGTACTGTCCTGGTGAGGGTTGTAGTGAAGGCATTCCTGGTGTGACTTCTAACCGCACCACGTCGGCCGTTTCGTCGTAAACCATGCGGCTCGCAGAAATCTTCACAATTCTTCTGTTTGAAATACTCACATGAAGATTACAGTAACATAGCCGCACAATTCGAAGGAAGCGATCAATGACCCATATAGCTACCGAGGGCCACAGGTACTTCCAGTATTCGTTCCCTTCAAACACAACCGTGTGGCTGTCAATTGTTAGAGATTTTTGCAGAAATTCAGTCAGGCTGAAGTACTTACTAAAAGCACGCTATAAGAGTGAGAACCGAAAGCACGACATGAGCAATCAAGAAGAGCTCATATGTCGCAATGCGAATTCGATCCAATGAGGTGATCAACAGCAAAATCATCACGAATGTGCCCTAATATAACATGAGCATTAGAGATCACCTTGAGATCAGTCATATTGGCAGCTTACCAAAATGCCCCACAAAACATAGGTCTTGGACATACCCCTCCAAGCTTTGCCTGCTGCGATTCGCAATAACTATAAGTATTCTGTCCTACATTGGAATCAGGTGCCCCGTACCTACTTTGGATAAACATGACAAAGTAAAGGATAGAGTGTACGATTGCCTGTACAGTAGCCACCCGGGCCACATGACGATGGAATATATTGAACGATGCAAAGCTCCATCCGGTGGCCCACAGGAAGATATTATTTCGTCCCCCAAATAGCCATAAAAGGGGCAAATTCGCAAATGACATGATCCCAGTACGATCTGCTGAATAGCGCAGGATCTGGCTTGGGACATCGGGCCAGCTTGACTATCTGTCAGCATTTTCCACGTCTCACTCCGACGAGCTCGATACTTACTAAATATTTTCGGGGAAAGTGCGATATCCCACGACACTCAATACGATGCTGATCATCCAAAATCCCACGACTATAAGCGCCTCGACTCTGGTGGAGAATGTGAAGCCTAGCAGGTGCCGACCATGTGTTGTTGCTAAAGGCGCTGGGATCATCAGATGAGTCTGGATCCAGTGAAGACCCGTCCCCACGAACGGGATATTTTCTAACAACTTTACCAGAGGGTACACATTAGATTCGAGTGCACGCTCTGCACGACGTTGTTGGCGGTGGAATAACCAATCGCTCAAGCGATATACCATCCCCAGGGACAGTATGCCACCCCAATACGCGTACCCGACATAACTGATTGGTCAATATATGGATGTTTTGCTTTCCACCTTGAACAAACTTACCCAAATGCATGATGTGACCAAGTTTCAAATGCCCAAGAATCCTAGGGCGACAATAAGCTTTAGGACTGTTATATCCAAAGTAGGTCCAAAGGGTCTCACAAGCGTATTGAACATCAGACCAAAGTAAGATGCGGACAGCAGAACAGGCGTATTTGCTGGGTCGCCTCGGGGCAACTCTTGATAGTCGACCGTTTTCATATTTCTTATTGCATCCTCTGTCAAATTTTCGGCGACCGCTTCTCTCGGCAGCAGCTCTAGGTGCCCAAATTCTTGACACTGGTCGGCCAGCTGGGTTAGGCCTATCTCCCGTTCCCGCTCATTGCAATATATCTCGGATGCAGCGTATATCGATGCGACTTTGAGCGGATTACGGCAACTCGATTCCCATCTTCCTTTCCCTGTCGTAGGAAGGCCAGCAAAAGATATGTAGTTGTACGCCGTGTAGACAGCCGTCACACACCGCTCGTCCTCAATGTTGGCCCAGACACCCTGCGCGAGTGCGAGTACCAACCACCGGGACAACATAACGAGTACCCAAATCGCAGACCGGTCCGGGGTGGGCGAAGAAACGGTTGAAGAGGAAACGCGGAGCACTGGCAGTCAACCGATAATCGCAGTGATCAGGTGGGCCCGTGTGGATCAGCGAAGTCTCTGAGCCGTCGGACCGTTGGATCTCGTCGGATCAAAATTCCCGAGGAATAGGATTAGGAGAAGAGATGGCTTGGATCCTGACATGTAATTTTCCAACAGGTCCAAGAGGACTAGAAAAAAAAGAAAAGAAAAAAAGCAGGAACCGATTAAATTAGTGGAAAAACTCGGAATGAATCCCCCAGCATAGAGGTCTTATCTGATCTGATTGATTAGACAACAGCCACGTGACACCCTGATTGGCTTAGCTTATTTCGGTCTGAACTTCAAGTGAACAGCCGTATATTCACGTTGTCAGTACCTGGTTTTGTTTTTAGGGGTTTTATGTACATATTTGCACTTTACTTGTGAAATGTGGTCATTATCCTTTTCTATTGCCATATCAATTTTTAGACACCACGATAATGCTCGTGATATATATGAGGCTTGATATCAGTTGTCTTAGTCTGGACCCTCAATGCAACTCACCTTCGCCATGCACTCTGACGTAGTCCTCTATTTACACTGGATACGTATCTATGTACATGTACATATATACCGAATCTTGCTTTCCATTTCCGCTTTAGTGCTCACCAGGTAAGACTGACCTCGGGAGCATGCCACTTAGTATTATATGTCGAAAGCTATGTTACAATACATGACTGGGAACCCGAGTATTCAACACCTCGGAAAATACATGGACCGCTATGATAGTGGGCCCCATACAAATTGCATATTAAGCTTAGTCAGTTATGCCCCAGCAAATTGTCAAATAGGGGATTCTTGTCATTTTAGTTAGTTAGAGTCATACACATCTGTCATTTTGAACATACATTGCTCTACCGGTGATTTCCGACATTATATAATCATAAACATCCCGACCTCGCTCGCCAAGCCCGCCATCACTTGATTATTACATAAGCAAAATAAATGGCCCCGGGGCCCCGGGCGCGGGCGCTCGCGCGCGCTCATTGAGCGTGACCTGAGCGCTCTGATTTGCTCTCTGAGCAGCCTGACCCTAGTCACAGAGCGTGACCTGAGGTGACCATGAATATCGATCATGTGATTTGTCATATTAAGCTTTGACACCTAAGGCAGAAATTAATTCCTTGCCTGCTGCCGCCAAGAAGAACGCTTTTAATGTCCGATGTACACAATGATATATCCGACCACAATGAACTTGAATAATCACAGAATGGTTAAGATGTTGGAATTGATTACTCCTTCCAAAAAAAACTAACTCTAACATTATTTTTGAACAAACATAATGTACTTGGAGGCTACTCCGTACATCGAGGACATCCATCATTACACGGCAGAACAGCGGGCGGTGGAGAATGATGATGTCACGCGGGTTTTTTCCACCTGGGCACCTGGGCAAGGTTATCCGTAGAGATTCAACAGATGTACAGCGTACATCTGAGCAACTTCAACTACTCGCCTCAATGGGAGGAGGAAGCCAAATTCCAGCAATGAATGGTCAAAAGGTGCCATCCGATCCGGGGCAGAATGTATACCTTCATGCGGTGGTCGATTTGGGCAGGTAGGCAGACCAAATTCACCTCTTCGGTGCCCCTTCAAGGTGCCCGAGTGCGAATTGCTCACTGATTCAAAATATTGCAGTAATGGCATCCGTTGTTCGATCTCAGACCTCTCACCCCCAACCACCCGTATCATCCCTACTGTACACTTTCATCGGATTAACGTCTCGCTCTACGAGGCTCAAATGGATCCCGACTCAGGCAGCCGAATCCCCATTCCACAGCATGTCATCGACCGAATCGTCAGTGCGATAGTTCGTTTCCAGATTGTCTGCGTGGAGATTGGAGTTCCTGCTCAGAACATTCGGATCATCGCCACCGAAGCAACTCGAACTGCTATCAATGCTCCTGCGTTCATCGAGGCCATCCGCCACCAAACCGGGATCTCGGTGGAAGCATTACGAAAGGAGGAGGAGGGGATTATCGGAGCATGGGGGATTGCAAGCAGCTTTTCAGATGTGGAAGGACTCGCACTTGATTTGGGGGGTGGAAGCATGCAGATGACTTGGATCACATCGCATGCGGGCAATGTGCATATGAGTTCCCAAGGATCAGTCAGTTTTCCCTACGGAGCAGCTGCATTGACCCAGAAACTGTCCAACCTCAAAAGGGGCAAAAGCAAAGAGGAAGCGCACAAAGCTCTAGAGCAGTTCCGCGGGGAAATGGGAGACAATTTTCGCGCAGCTTTTAATACCCTCAATGTCCCTGAGCACCTCATTCAAAGGGCTCGAGAGCAAGGGGGCTTCCCTCTTTACCTTTCAGGGGGAGGATTTCGGGGGTGGGGCTATCTTTTGTTATATCTGCACCAGACAAAGGGCCAAAGTTACCCTATTTCGATTATCAATGGGTATTCCGCACCTAAGAAAGACTTCGAGGACACTGAAGCCCTCAAAGAGGTGGCTCGGACGGCACATGAAATCTTCCGTGTTTCCGACCGGCGACGCAAGCAAGTGCCCTCAGTGGCGTTCTTAGTCAATACCCTGGCTGAATCGTTACCACATGGAATCAAAGAGGCTCATTTCTGCCAAGGTGGAGTGCGGGAAGGAGTCCTGTTTCGTGAGATGCTCCCGGTTGTCCGCCAGCAAGATCCCTTGGAGGTTGCCACGGCTCGTTATGCGCCCTCGTCGGCCGAGGCACTGGCCGCCTTATTGCTGGCAGCCCTCCCTCGACCATCTGCCAGCCGATCGTTCCCGTCTTCCATCACTCTTCACCTTATCCAGGCATTTGCTAATGCCCTCTATTATCACGCCACAATGTCCAAAGAACTCTCCTCTAGTGCCGCACTATATAGCACCAGCACTGGGATCCTAGCCTCCACGCATGGTATTCCACACGCCCACCGTGCTCTTCTAGCACTGATGCTCCAGGAGCGTTACGGCGGAGAATTGCCCCCCAGAGACATGGATTTCAAGACCCACCTTCAGGGAATATTGACACCGGAGGAGGTTTGGTGGACCCGTTATCTTGGAAAACTCGGCCTCGTCCTAAGCCAGCTGTACCCAACCGGGTCTATCGACACCTCCAAACCTCGGATTGTTCCCTCGGCACAATGGAAGAATGGGTTAGGGAAGAGTGGCAAGAAGGAAGGCCTGGACTTGACAATTGCCATTCAAGAAGTTTCATATGACCCGTCTCACTTGAAAGAGGAGCTCGAAAATGACGTGCAAAAAATCCAAAAGGTCGGAAAACGGAAGAATTGGATTGGTGGGAGAAATGGCTGGGGCATCAAAGTACATGTCTCAGTGGTAGAAGAGGATTTATTGGCCCGGTGAGTGGAGAAGCATAGGGCCGTGGAATTGGCCTATTTTTTTCTACACCCCGATAGGATGTAGATTTACATCCCTACGATCATCAAGTTATACCAGTCCATATGACGCTAGATACATAAAGGAGAATATGCCTGTACATATGCCTATGAATACCCGTTGACAAGATCATGATTCCGCTGTTTCGACTTAGGATCCCCTACGGTCTAGATCTGTGTGCTTTCCTTGTGTCTGTGGGTTTCTCCACCTGGTCATACCGATAAGACATGGGTCTCTGCAAAGCTTGTTTATCAACATTCTATGGCGAAGCTGGAACCCTGGAAGGCAACTTTACTTGCCTGAATATAATTTCTACATATCATGGATTGATTATTGATTATCACTAACATCAACTTAGATAATGTAACTTGAACCAAAAAAAATTAGAACAAAAAACAACGCAAACAAGCAATTATGGAACTTCTAGGCAGACGAATAAAATAAATGAAGGATGCGGTGGATCCAGACGGGTCTCCCTGGGAGCCCTATAGGGCTGAGAACCATGAACCATGGTGGACATGTGCATTTCCATGTTTCCGCGGATTCCGTCCGATGTTGCATCCGAATTACACGTTCTTTCTATTTCTGCATCTTATCTGATGCCTATTTATCTGATCCTTTTATCTGATCCTCTTATTGATCCTTTTCTTCTACTCTTTTTTCCTCCCTTCCCCCCTCTTACCTCACATCATGGAACCTTACAAGACTAAAGACATTAATCTCATGGAGAAATCCGTTCGGGAAAAGGAAGTCCAGGATGAGAACAATACTGATTCCGGTAGGTCCATTGTTGCGTGTTCCTGTGCCTTTTACACCTGAAGTTCTGACATCACTACAGATGTAGATTCACAGACCGAAATCTTGCGGGCTGCTGGTATAGGCATAGCCAAAGATGATCCTACAGAGCCAGTCCTCACTCTACGAATGTGGGTGTTAGGAATTACATTTTGCATAGTCGTTAGCGGGTTGAACACACTTTATACGCTCCGTACACCTTCCTTGACAATTTCGGGATCGGTGGTACTCTTGTTGACCTATCCCCTGGGAAAGCTTTGGGAGAAAGTCATCCCGAACTGGACCCTCCCGTTCGGACGATTGGCATTTGATCTCAACCCGGGCCCTTTTAATACAAAGGCAAGTTATTCTCTGGCCAAAGTCACCGTGATCAGTCCAATAACAATTGCTACAGGAGCACGTTTTGATCTATATAATGTCCAACCTCAGTATTTACGTTCGTCTCGGCGCCGATGTTCTGACAGAGCAGCAAATGTTCTACGGCTACAAGGCAGGATGGGGGTTCCAAATTCTCATTACTTTCTCCACATTCCTCATCGGTTTCTGTCTTGCCGGGATATTCCGGTCGATTGTAGTCGTTCCTCAAGAGCTGATCTGGCCTGGGGTTCTGGGTGTTACTGCATTGACCACAACCCTGCACCATGTCCACCAGGAACAAGTGCAAGTGCGGTAAGTCCCCTGGATTTGTTTTCTCAGTACTGTGCAACTGATGGATGGTAGTTACGATACTTGGAAAATGTCTCGCTATGCCTTCTTCGCTATGGCATTTTGCATCTCATTCTGCTGGTATTGGTTCCCGGACTTCATCTTTCCTGCGCTTAGCTATTTTAGCTTTCCGTGTTGGATCAAACCTGAGAGCAAAGTAGTCAATCAGATCTTCGGAATGAGTTCCGGGATGGGACTCTTACCGATTACCTTTGATTGTAAGTGTCATAACTTTGCTAGTCAATTGCCATGCTGACGGTGTCCACTCCACAGGGAGCCAGGTATCTTACGTTGGGTCTCCCTTGCTCATTCCCTCGTGGGCAGTTCTCAACGTCTTCATTTCCCTGGTGTTCTGGATCTGGATTGTGGCTGTTGCTCTTTACTATACCAATGTGTGGAACACAGGCTACCTACCTTTTCAAAGCTCTCAGGGTACAACCCCACTGGTTCAAACTCTTGGGGTGACTAAATCTGACTTGTTCAAATAGTATTCGACAATACTGGAAAGACTTACAAAGTCAAACAGATCGTCAATGCGGCTTCAGGCTACAAGCTCGATGTAAAGAAGTACCTTGCTTACTCGCCGGTATTTTTCATATCCTAAACATAAAAATATTGACGTCCAGCTAATTTAAGGGAAAATTAGGTCTATATGCCAGTCACCTACGCGTTAAACATGTTTGGGCTATCATTTGCAACCCTAAGCGCTCTTCTTGTTTGGGTTATTCTTGAAAGGCGTCATGTCATGGCCGATGCAGCCAAAAGAGTGCCTCGACTGGTTTTTGAGTCTCTTCCTGGTCGCTCCAGAGCATACAGCGAGGACGAGAGGGGAGACCCGGATGTGCCCTTATGGTGGTATTTGGTTGCATGCGTCTTAGCCTTGTTTATGTCAATCTTTGCCGTCGAGTGGTGGAACGTTGAACTGAGATGGTACGGTGTTTTGCTAGCGTGTGCTGTGGCACTGGTGTTCTATCCTCCGGTGAGTCTACCCAATGTACCCGATTGGTATATTTGACACGTCTCTCTGACCAATTTCAGTTGGCTTTGGTCTATGCCACTTCCAACCTCAAGATCAATATCGATATTTTCTGTCGTATCGTAGCCGGTTTTGTCTTCGAGGGCAAGGTCCTGGCTAATATCTGGTTTTTTGACATCGGATACATCACGACCATCAAAGGTCTTTACTTTGCCCAGGATATGAAACTAGCTTATTATTGTCATGCAAGTCCTCTCCTTTCCTACTATAATTGAGCCATGCTGATACCCCGAAGATCCCTCAACGCAAATTGTTCTTGGTTCAGTGCGTTGGAATGCTTATTGGCACACTCTCCTCACTCGGTGTTCTCAACTGGGCCTTGAATCACATCACCGGCATCTGCACTACTACTGCTGTGAATGGTTTCAGTTGTCCTTACAGCAGAACCCACTTCAATACTTCTTTGATCTGGGGTGCAGTAGGCCCTCGTCGCTATTTCTCGAACCAAATTGGCTATTCCGCTTTGCTTTATTTCTTCATCATCGGTGCCATTTTACCCATCCCCGTCTATTATATGACCCGCCGATACCCCAACTCGCTGTGGAGAAGGATCCATGTTCCCCTCTTCCTCGGAGGGCTGAATTACCTGCCCCCTGCGACCGGGATGAATTACGGCAGTTGGGCAGCTGTCGGACTCACCTTTGGCTGGCTTGTTCGAAAGCGTCTGCATGGCTGGTGGAGTAAGTATAACTTTGTGCTGAGCTCTGCCATGGACTCATCCGTGGGAATTGCCGGTGCGCTGATTTTCTTGACAATTTATTTCACTGGAGCCAGCGAACATTTCAAGTGGTGGGGAACGGAGGTTCACAAGGTGTGTTTGGCTCTCTTGCGTCCAATCACTCATACTGACTATTAGCAGAACACCTGCGACTGGAAAGGCTGTGCAGACCTTTCCATACCAAAGGGCCAAAAGTTCGGCATGTAGAATCCCATTATACTAATGTGACATCTACCTAAGATGTGTCCATGTCTTATGATCGGTGCTTGGATTCAGAGAATGCTAAAGACGGGCATTTTGCACCTAGCTATATGTTTTAATCTGATTGTATGGGGAATCTTTGTTGTTTGGTTGACAAGCAATAATAAGACCAGTCCACTCTTAACAGCTGGACAGACAGCCCAATGAGAGAGTGAAGTTATAATATAATAATGCTAAGAAAGCAATCCTCGCATAGTCGGGGATCTAGACCTCTATTCCATCAATTAACATCAAGTTTGCAGAAATAAACGTAGTTAGAAGCTCAACTAGAACATGTATATCCCTTGCATTCAGCCCTAGTGGATTGAATCTTGACGTACAGCATATTCCACAATAGTCTTTTCATACCCAATGCACGTGTACATACTAGTAGTAGCCTTACAATTTCCTTCCGGCTATAACATTTATTGAATACTTCAAGTGGTATGTGTGGTATCTTTGGTATTTTGGTATTTCTGGTATTTCTAGGTGGGTCCAACACGAAGTCGCCGATGTCGGGAATGATTGATTAGATCAGCCCGATTGATTAGATTTGCAAGGTCGCCAGGGCCATACATTTGCACAATGGTAACTGGTAGATAGAATGCCTGAGTATTAGGTGAGCTGAAGGTTAACGAAGCTGAATATTGAATTATATATATCATGTACTGGGTCTTCGAGGGCTGTAGTACCTCATGGAGACGGTCTAGGCTGTATGTGGCCCACCTAAACATTATCCCTCGCCTTCCGAAAAGCGAACACCAGTTTCGGAATGACGAGACCTGCCAAGAGATTCGGTGCTTCCAATTATTCACAACAGCTCGGAAGTGTGTCCCGGGCTGCTAAAATATTGCCTACTTTGTGCATCCTAGACAATGGGCTCCACTCAGGCATCTTCCCAACTGATTGATAAACCCCTGTCATGAGATTCTGCAGACAAATTATCTGATCCTGAGTGGGGTCCAGTGCCACGAGGATGTGAAAAAAAAAAATTTCCTTCAGTGCAAGTTAGATTCTGACAACCAATCCCGAACTATTCCACCGTGACGGGAAACTTACAAAACGATCCCCGAGGAGATGAATAACCGAGAAAGGAATTCTATATCGAGACAGACATCTTGGTAAAAGATTCAGATATCTCATAATATTCTCGGGCACTTGCGATTTCCGGTATCAGTCCACCCCAAGCAACAAAATTGGCGTCATAGAAGGATTCTCACGAGTGTCGGGTCAGCGTTTTGCAACCTTTTTAAACGGCATCGGCGTATTATGTATATGCCATAGAAACATTTCTAAATGTGCTATTACACATGTAGTACCTTACATATGTTCTTATTATAAAATGCAAGAGCGACATGGTAATACGGAGTACTGCATATGCAGGGACCAACATCCATCGCTGTATACATTAACCTACAACATACAACATAGAAGATGGAACACCCTCGGAGCTTGCGTATCCTGCCAAGGTTCTAAGGTTCGCTTGAAGTTTTGAGTGGAGTCTTATAAGACGCCAAGATCCTGAACCAACCAAGCATAAAAGCCAAATTCGTGAAATTACCAATACAAAACTTCCGATGTGGAGCCCCGGCCTATCTGATGGAATTAATCAAAATAATCGAATTTATCGTGTGCGAAATTTGTCGCGGTATTGTCGGCTACATCTATAAGCCCGCTCGGTCCAAAGCTTTTTTCCCTGGTTTTCTTTTTCCCTCAACTTCCATCTACTTACCATGGCGGCCCCAAGAAGTGTACAGCGGTTACAGCAGACACTGTCGCACGTACAGCCTCCTGTTAGTCCACAGCTGTCTCTTGTCGCAGGCCCGACGGAGCCACAGCTGCTGGATATTACCTTGGGCGAGCTGTTGACACTTCAAGCACTGCAATATGGAAGAATTGAGTGCTTGGTCTTCCCCTGGACCGGTGCACGATGGACGTACGGCCAACTGAAAGATGAGGCCGATCGTCTATCTCGGGGAATGTTGGCTTCCGGTATTCAAAAAGGTGATCGCATCGGAATTATGGCAGGCAATTGTGAGCAATATATCTCGGTGTTCTTTGCGGCCGCACGAGTTGGGGCTATCTTGGTCGTTTTGAACAACACGTACACCCCCTCCGAGCTGTATTACGCTCTAAATCACAGTGGTGGGTGATATCCACTTCCCGTATTATTGACTCCATACTAATCTCACCTTTTTCTTCTATTTTCGTTCAGAATGCCGAATGCTTTTCATGACACCACGCATTGGACGTCATAATCTCGAGGAAGTCCTTGCCAAACTCGGCCCTAATCCTAAAAAAGCAGCAACCTCCGAATCATTGGAGGAAATCGTCATTCTCCGCGAAAGCTACAACGACTTCCCCACCTATCAGGATGTCATGGAACGCGGTCTGTCGCAGGCTGCACATGTGCTCCAGGACCGCGAGGCTGAGTTACGGCCAGATGATGTGTGCAATCTGCAATTCACAAGCGGTTCAACAGGCAGTCCCAAAGCTGCAATGCTGACACATCAGTATGTGGACCTTGTACGACAATTCGTTTTTAAATAAAGCTAATTCCCCCGCAGCAATTTGGTTAATAACTCGCGGTTCATTGGTGATCGCATGAACCTCACCTCTTTTGATGTTTTGTGCTGCCCGCCGCCCTTGTTCCACTGCTTCGGGCTGGTCCTGGGTATGCTTGCTGTGGTCACCCATGGCTCCAAGATTGTCTTCCCCAGCGAAACCTTCGATCCCAAGGCGGTTCTACATGCCATCTCCGACGAGAAGTGCACTGCTCTACACGGTGTTCCAACCATGTTTGAGGCGATTCTTGCTGTCCCCAAGCCCTCGGATTTTGATACCTCAAACCTCCGCACAGGCATCATTGCTGGGGCCCCAGTTCCACGGCCACTTATGAAGCGGCTCTTTGCAGAGTTGAATATGACTGAATATACTAGTAGCTATGGTACTGTCTCTTCCATTAGTCTACTGCTTAAGTGCTAACCCAAACTCTAGGTCTCACGGAGGCCTCGCCGACTTGCTTTAATGCTTTCACCACGGACAGCATCCACACAAGATTGACCACCGTCGGAAAGGTTTTGCCCCACGCTCGCGCGAAAATTATCGATGCAGAGGGAAACATCGTTCCCGTTGGTCAGCGTGGTGAGCTTTGCATGGCCGGCTACCAGCTTACCAAGGGATACTGGCATAATCCGGAGAAGACGGCAGAGACATTTATAACCGATGCCGAGGGTGTCAAATGGCTGAAGACTGGTGACGAAGCTTCCTTTAACGCCGAAGGGTACTGCACTATCACCGGTCGCTTCAAGGACATCATTATTCGTGGTAAGCTTCAAACCCCCACATGGAAATTGATCGCAATCTCTAAATCTGGCATCTGATAGGCGGCGAAAACATATACCCTCTCGAAATTGAGGAACGACTGACTGCACATCCCTCGATTGAGTTGGCATCTGTGATTGGTATTGCCGACCCCAAATATGGCGAGGTTGTCGGAGCATTTATCGCAATCGCTTCGGGCGCCGGTCGTCCGACCGACGATGAACTGCGCGCATGGACACGTGAGACATTGGGTCGACACAAAGCCCCGCAGCATGTGTTTGTATTTGGAGAAGAGGGGGCTTCAAGCACGGTTCCTGTGACGGGGAGCGGCAAAGTCCGCAAAGTGGAGCTCCGGCAAATGGCGATGGCGGTGCTGACCGAACGCCAGAAGGCATGAACAAAAGAAAAAAGGAAGGAGCACAGATTGTACAGTCCTCGTGTTTGGCTAGTAAAGAAAATCTAGAGTTTGCAATAATACCCCAATCCCATTGAGCAAACTAAACTTGGGCACAAAAATTGTCAACCAAAAATCTGGATTTGAAACAAATTATGCAGGTAATTAAATGAGGGGCGTATCTTATCAGATTCTATTGTGATTCGCCTAGCCCGACGCCTGTAACGTAACAATGACGAAAAGCGGATCCTGCAGCGAAATGCGGCATTTTCTTTTTCTTTTTCTTTTTCTTTTTTTGTTACGTCGGCTTTAGTACTCCGTAGTCCGCCTGCCCAGGTGGGCACTTCCCAGAATCAGATTAGATGCTCATCTTGTCTGATCGATGATCATTGCCATCTTTGGTTGAGTGGCTGTATTGAACCATAGAATTAGATGTGTATTGTACTTACACGGATTACGGTGATCGAGTCCAACCGTGAATGAATTCTAGTTGAAATATTCAAAGTTGTGCATGTAATCCTGTCATTTCTTGGTTATCTTCTAGTTGCACATTATGTCCAGTAATAAATTGACAAAAGGGGACTTAATGGATGCACAGACGACAAAATGTTTTTGTGTGTGTACCTAGGTATCAGCCACCATGTCGGTTCTGCCGAAAGAAAACGACTTGGCAGCCTAAGGCGTACTATCCTGGAAAGACCCTGAGTAATCGGAATTGATGGAAAGTCAATACAACCGAGGGATGTTTCACCTACCTAGGTACGTATTAGGTACCTAGGCTCCATCGGATCTGATAATCCGAGCCAAGGACTATAGAAGGAGAAGCCAAGAAGCAACCATGGGTACGCTATATCCGATGTCGCTTTCAATCTGATAAGATCCGGACCCGCATAATCCGATGATGTGACGATATGTTTTCTCTATTTTCATTCGGGTACATAGCTCAGTTCCTTGGCNTTTTTTTTTTTTTTTTTTTTTCCTTTGCGCTTTCCTTTTGGTCTCTTTCTTCCGTTATTGCTCGTGTCGCACTTCTCCTTCTCGACTCATCATGCCCTCCAACGACTTTGTCCGAACCGTATCTCGCAGCTTCCGAGTACTTGTGATCGGTGGCTCTTATGGCGGTCTATCTGCTGCATTGGCCCTCATTGATCTTTCACAGGGTCGCCTTACCCGTTTCAACTACAATACTGAAGCCGAAGCTCCTACACATCGTATCCCAATACAGATAACTGTAGTTGACAAACGAGATGGCTATTGTAAGCTCCCCAGAATATCAACAATTCGCGCACCATGAAACCTTCGCTCATGCGTATAGTTCATTTGATTGGATCGCCAAAGGCTCTGGCCTGTGAAAAGTTCGCGTCCGAGGCATGGACTCGTTTCCAAGATGTTCCTGGGCTCAAGTCTCCAGATCTCAGCTTTATTCAGGGAAGCGTCAGTTCCGTTGATTTCGACTCCAAAGTCGCCCATATTGTCGATGCAGAGACCAAGAGCAACCGCACAGAGTCCTATGACTACTTGATTGCAGGCTCGGGGTTGCGTCGGTCTTTCCCCACCGTTCCCCAATCCTTGCGGCGAGATGAGTTCCTTCAAGAAGCCAGAGAACATATGACCAATGTGAAGCAAGCCCAAGATGGTATCGTCGTTGTCGGCGGAGGTATGTGTTAGCCCTCATCCTCTGTTACTTTCACTCCCGACTAACGTCCCTTTTTCGTGGATAGGCGCTGTCGGCGTGGAGATGGCTGCCGAATTGAAGATCCTTAATCCAGAACAGAAGGTCACGCTGATCCACTCTCGAAAGCGCTTGTTGTCTTCGGAGCCGTTGCCGGATGACTTTGCCGAGCGCGTAGATTCTATACTGCGCGATACAGGCGTCGAGGTCATCCTAGGACAACGCGTTGTCGACACGACCCCTGTTGACACGAAAAGTGGGACACGGGTCTGGAACCTCACGCTCAGCGATGGCCAACAACTCAAAGCTGGCCATGTTCTCAGGGCCGTCTCCCAAACCATTCCAACATCGACATATCTGCCGAAGGAGGCATTGAATGAAGAAGGATACATTAAAGTTCACCGCTCGTAAGGCTGCTTCCTTGACCAAGCTACTGGCAAAATATCTCTAATATGTTTGCAGACTACAATTTTCCGGTGATGTCCCGAACGCAGAGCATCATTGGGCAGTAGGAGACCTCACTGCGTGGGAAGGTATCAAGCGCTGCGGCGGTGCAATGCACATGGGCCATTATGCGGCGCTTAATATCCATCTGCACATGATGGCAGAGTGCACTGGTGGAAAGCCAGACTATCAGACCTTGCAACCATTCCCAGCTGTGATGGGCTTAGCTCTCGGCAAAACGGCCGTCAGTTATACGCCGGGCGAGGGCACACGAGAAGGTGAAGACCTGATGAAGACCTTGTTTGGCAAAGACATGGGACATACAAGTGCGTTTTTATCATCCGAAATTTGTATGCATTGAAAATCTGACTCAAATTGCAGTTTGCTGGAATTATATGCGTCTCGGTGAGGCATGCTAGGCGTGAGCTAGTAGATCTGGGATATGTTGAGGTTCATGGACAAATCCGCCATATGCTCGTCATGGGCTGGGGAGGTGAAAGTACAGCGAGGATGGAGCTGGCACAACGGCTTCGCCGCGAGATTCACAAAAATCAAACAAGTAACTCAAAGCTCTCCAAGTAATACATGAGTTCCTCAGGCGAGACAATTTCAGACTGTCGTGTACTACCATACAATGAATAGGCAAGGAATAGAAAGGGACAAACGGCGACGTGAAACAATTCCCGTAGAAAGCCCCTAGAGCAACCAAGCAATCATTCCACCCACTCGCACTCGTATGCTCGAGTATACTCATCCGGGTCCCAAGCAAGAGGTCTCGTGTTCATCTGTTCAAACCTCAGCTTTACACAAATATTTATGTACTCCTTTTCTTTGAGTGTCAAGAGATGAAGCCTTTCCTTCCAGACATTGTCAAGTTCAAAGCTTTGAGTCGGCCCAAAGAATCGCCGATCAATCTTCCGCCAATAAATGGAGTCGAATGCAAAATTATTCCGTGCGGCATACATTACCCAGAAGTTCCCGCTCTTCCAACTGTCTCGCATTAGGCCAGAGAGACGCTGAGTCTCCATGAGTTGACCGGCGCGGATTGACTCATCCTCGCAATCATTCATGGCCTGAAGAAATGTTTCAAGTCGTTTATCATATTGTGAGCACCAGTCGCCGAGGCCTTTAGACCAATATTCCGGCTTTTCGAGAAGAAGCCACCAAGGTGGTGCATGGGAAAATTCGACAGGGGCGGTGTATGTAAACTCCCAGTCTACCACTCCGACAATATTCTTAGCTTCATTAACAAGGATATTCTCTGGTCGAAAGTCATCGCACCAGATTGGAAATGGGCCAGTCTTATGGCACAACCATTTCTCTCTCAATTTCTGGTCTCAAATAAGTCTTCGGAAGAGAAGTCGCGCCACAAATTTTCGCCGGCAGTCATCCTCTGAGTCAACAGAGTCGTTTCTTTGACTGATGAGGTGTGAAATCTGCAGCTCCACCAGGGCGTCAAAGTACGACGATGCTTCAGAGTACATGCTATTCGGTATTATCGACCGAGCTAGTGTTCCCAGTTGCACCACTTCATTCATGGAATATGATAAGGGCCGATTCAACACCTTCCACGTCATATTTTTAGGGTCACGCTCAACAGACCCTATCTTGCTGAGCGTAAGAGTAGACAGCGAAAGAACGATTTTGGCCAATTTTCTGTAGAGGTCCCCCAACCTGACCATGTTGAGGTTGAGATTAAGAATTGGACGGACGGATGGATCTGATTCCGGATTCTCAAGAAGCCTGCAGATACTCTGTTTGTGCTCGATATATTCCATGACGATAAAAGGCCCTAGGTTTGCGGGACCCTCTTTCTTCTGTCCCCAGCGAGAGATCGAAGGCACCGGAATCGGAATTTTGTGGGATTTTTGGGTTTGCTCCTAAATGAACTGCATGATCCTGACTTCATTGTGGACTTCCTCTTCAGGAAACATGATAATACCAGGGAATGGGAACCTGATAATAGCGGTGGTTATATCAGTAAATACTATCCGAAAGCAGACATTGAATCCACCCAACGCGAAGATATCAAACTCGCACCATTCCCGAGGATAAAAACGCGTTTCAAGAAAGCGACCATCTGCATTGAAGGGGTCGTCGTCTTCCTCGAGATACTTATACCAGCGTCTGTAGATGACCGTCCCTCTTTCCCAGGCTTGGTCGTCGTAAGCAAGACGTGGTTTCATTGTAGGTATAGAATCCAACGAAGTGAGAGATTTGTAAGAGAGGAAAATCAAGAGTTATTTACGGAGTACCGAGTAGATATTCTTTGAATGGATTAAAACATTCATGGGGGGGATGGATGACTGGTAGGGATACCTTCCACGAATGAGAGCATTACAAACATACAGGTTATATAAAACCTAGGGTTATGAAAGAAATGCATGTCTAGAGATGAAATTAATGTGTTAGAGTGTGCTACTAGTTGAAACACATTTAATCATCTCTATTCTTAAATCAGTTCATCTGCTTAATAATCGGGTTCCACTTGTTTCCGCTCCGTTCTTTGGCTTCAATTAAATACCCCTCCCTTTTGCTTGGTAAGTTGTATACGGAGTACTTCAACATCATTTATATCCACAATGGCACCATTTGGCACTATCTACTCCTATCAGCCCAGTCCTCGGGTCATGAAGGTAAGAAACCTCCTACCCTGGTCAGGGAAGGTCAAAGCCCTGAGCTAACACCCCTACTAGGCCCTGGCTGTGGCCAACCTGAATGGCCTGGAGGTGGTGGTTCCGGAATTCGCCATGGGCAAGACCAATCGCACTCCGGACTTCCTGTCCAAGTTCCCTTTGGGTAAGGTGCCCGCCTTTGAGGCCGCCGATGGAACAACCCTATTCGAATCCGACGCCATCACCCAATACATTGCCGAGAGCGGCCCGGCCGCCAATCAGCTCATTGGAGCTACTCCCGCAGAGCGCGCCACCATCCGGCAGTGGATCTGCTATGCACAGGGTGAGATTCTGGACCCTGTCACGCAGTTGGCGCTGTGGCGTCTTGGTATCCGGCCCTACGATGAGAAAGTCGAGGAAACCAACCTCGCGCGTCTAGAACGCTCGCTGGAATGTATGGAGACTCACCTCAAGGACCGCACCTGGTTCGTGAGCAACGAAAAGCTCAGCCTGGCTGATGTTACTATTGCCGCTGCCCTGGTCTGGGGTTTCGGCATGGCTATCGATGCTGAGATGCGCCAGAAGTTCCCCACTGTGGTCACCTGGTACGAGCGGACCCTTGAGGCCGAAGGCGTCAAGGAGGCATTTGGTGAGAAGAAATTTATTGAGAAGCGTCAGGGTCCCCAGGCTTGAAGCTCAACGTGATTAAAAAAGAATATAACATTAGCACCCAGTCGGAGAAAGAGTCAAAACGTCATATTCCGCCTCACAAAGCATCTAAATCATATAAAACGAAAGGGTAAAAACGAAACCTTTAGAATAGTGCCAGGGATTTCATCATATATAGACAACTAGCGGTCGGTCAGGCAGAACAGTACATATTGACAAGGAACCCCAGAGGAGATATTCCACGCGCCCGTCCCATCATAGACGAGCCATCACACTCGCCTCACCTCGTGCCGTTCCCATCGCTCGTGCAAGGTTTTGGCTGGCCCAATCGGCGATTGCCATGTTAGTGACCATTGGGTTCACACCGCTAGCACTAGGGAAGACGGACGCATCCACAACATACAAACCATCGGTGCCCCAGACTTGACAATCCGGATCCACCACACCTAATTTAGGTGACTTGCTCATGCGGCAGGTACCCATCTGGTGTGCACTAGCAAACAAACTACGCCCCGGGTTCAAAGGGGACTTCTGACGAAGCTCGGCAATCCAACTTTGCAGGGCTGTGTCGTTAGTGCCTTCGGGGCCCTCGGGGTCTGAAGCCTCTGGGCGAACAAACGGGGGAAGGTCGCGGTAAACGGTATGGAACTCTTTGGCGCCTGTGATATACGCAATCTTGGCGCTGGCAATAATAGCCTCCACAATATGTTTTCGGTCAAAGGCAGAGACTGTGTAACCAATCCGGCAGCGTCCATCAACGGGATCCGGGTACACACGACCAGAATCCCGGTCTCTAGTTAAGGTGATGAAGCTCGTGCTGCGACGCATCTTGGCCGCCCACAGCTTGTACTCCAATGAGTCTCGCCATGGGAACATGGGAATGAACAAGGGGGGCATCATTGAGAGAGACTCAATCTTCACACCATGCCCATCTCCATCAAGATCTTCAAGCTCGTTTACAACCGTAGTCAGTGCAGAGCCCTCCCAGGGGTGGGTATCCTGATCAAAGACAGCACTAGCTGCCATAACTTTATAACAAAGAGTAAGTGTCTGTGGTGCACACTGTGGAGGGAAGTGAAGAGTGCTTGCTTACCTGGGTGGAGATAAAGGTTCCGGCCAATCTGGGGATTCTTCAGACCACTCCGCAGCAGCAGAAGGGGACTCTGCAATGCGCCAGCTGATACGACTACTTTCTTGGCCTTGATAATCACCTTGCGCTCCACAGCCGCAATACCACCGAGGCCCAAGTATGAATCCCGCGACTTCCATGTTCCTTGCACACCAGAAGCAACCTTTTTGCCGTTGATCTTAGTGAATATGACTTTTTCAGCACAGAATCCTTCCATGAACCTCGCGCCGGCCTGAGCAGCGTCCACAAGGAACGACTTTATTGGCCCTTTCTTTCCACCTGAGGCGCATCCCAGGGTGCAATGCCCACAGTAGTGCTCGCCGTGACCTGTGTTTTGGGGTACTGTTTTGGAAGCATAGCCGAGTTTTCTTGCACCTTCAAGAATCACCCTATTCTGGCGGTTATGCTCAACGTGCTCCTCGTTAACACCCATGCGATCACAGACGCGGTCTAGACTTTTCTGGAAGTCGAGGGAGGTGAAGAAAGGTAGACCAGTATCCGCCCATTGCTGTCGGACATACCCCTGAGTCTGTAGAGATGCCGACCAGTTAATGGTACCCCCACCACCCCATGTTGATCCCGCTAAGATTGCCATCGAGCCATCATCGCTAGAGATAGCGCCCCCGTTCTCAAACAGGTTGAGGAATCCCTCATTCGGGCCCATGGGGAACGTATTGGATGGATATGAATAGGATTTTTCCACAACCAGCACTCGATGGCCCGCTTCGGCTAAGTTCTTTGCAGTCACGCTACCGCCGCAGCCACTCCCCACGATAACGACGTCGGTCTCAATCGTTTCTGGCTGGTCCCCAGGAGGGAATTGCAAAAACTCATACTGGAAACCGTCCGTGGGGTTGCCATGGACAGGGATCCGTGGGAATCCTAGAACTGGGCCTATGGTTGGACTGCTGATAACCCAACATTTCTTCACGATGGCAGTGAGTCCTCGGTAAATGGCGCGGAGAGGGGGCAATCGAGAGGTGTCCCATCCACGTAAAACCCGTTCCCGAAATTCCACCGGTTGGTCCTGGATCGGAGTGGTCGAGCCTGTCATAATCAGCGAGCCCGTACGGGTGTTGAGGGCGTTCATGATCAGCCCAAACCCATTCCTTCCCTCATCATGCACATGATCACCCATGAGTCGCTCCACTATGGCCCGGAATTGCGGGTTCGAAGAAACATTTTCTTGCAGATACTGCGTGGCAGTGGTTACGGCATCGGGTCCAGAAATGATCGTTGACAAGCTTGACACGGCAGAATTCCACTCTGCATCTGAAATCACCCGATCGTTTGATGACTTGGCAGTTGCCGCAGTGTGGATGGAGGGCACAACTGCGTCAGCCAGCGCATACAGTGTCTTCCACTGCAACTCCGAGAAGTAAGTGGCTGAAGGTGCTGGTGGAATAGGGACATCCTTTGGGGTATATGTGGACATAGTGTAGGTTGGCATGTTTGCAAGAACCAGGGCAAACAAAGCTCTCTGAGATCAAGCTCCAATGGTATAGGAGGAATGGTGAGAATAAGAATAAGAAATGAGATTTTGGAGCACAGAAAGAAGAAGTCCACTAGGCACACGGGTGACGGGTGATTATAATGATGTTAGCTCAACAAAGTCCCACTATGACACCAGGTACATATTCAGAGTTCGAATCGGTTCATCTTTAGCATAGACGATTGTGGAGAGAACAGACCGCTCTATTATGTGACTTTCATGCTATGTCAGCCCTTTCAGCGCTCGCAACCCAAGAACACGACCCCAAAATCCGGGGGTGAAGCCTCGGTTGAGTGGAGAAGTAGTTGAGCATGGTTTTTGATTCTTGTGGTGGTGGGGTCTTTGAATCTTCTATCGACCAGTTAAGACCGTGTAAATATCCATTGCCCAACAATTTCAAGGCCTAGGTTCCCACCTAAGTTCCCTAGAGAGGTAGATCTCCCCTCTTTCTCCGAAATAAGGGCGCTCACGGGCTCAATTGCGGGGGAAATTGCCGAGTTCCAGCGCCATGTGAGAGAATCAACTTAGCCTTAACCATGGGAAATATCAAGTCAAAATTCAAGTGAAGTTCAAGGCAAGTTCATGGTTACCCAGTGGTATAATAGTAATATGTAGTGTAGGTAGTTGTGTGTAGTGTTGTAATGAGAGTGTTGTCCTGAACAGGCAAAATGTAATCTCTCCGCCTCCAACATCGACCTCGACCTTTCTCACCACACAATGGAGAAGCGCACTCTCATTCGCCCTACTAAATGTAATCTGCCTACAGACAAAGTCTTCTCTATCCAAATTGGTTCCGAGATCTTTCGTCTCTCGGGTGCTTCGATTGCCTCCGATGGTAAACGAGCTTGTTCTCCCCCCCTCCTTTCAACTTGACCTGACCCCTTCTAATAGCTCCATCCTACTTTTCACGCTTCTTCGAGGATCAATTGCTTCAGAGTCAAGATGCTTCCAACGTCAGGACCCTCTATATCGATCGCGACCCCGCGACATTCCGCGAGATCGCTAGACATCTACAGGGTATGAGTGTCCGTGGATAAACACAACGTGAAGGAGGCTGATGGGTGCATCCAGGCTACCATGTCCGGCCCCAGGATGGCGGGCAATTCGTGAAGCTATTCGCAGATGCGCAATTTTATACATGTGAGCATCCCCTGTCCATGTACCCTAGAGGTAATTGCTGACCCAACAGTGCCTCGGTTAATGTCGCAGCTCTTCGAGTCCGAATGCTTTATTCAAATTGGCGACCGGCACTTCCAGATCCCTCGCGATATCTTCTCAGGTCCCGGTGACAGCCCGAACTTTTTTACCCTCGGATTCGCCGCCTTCTTTGCTTCTCCATCTGAAGTGTTCCCGGGCCTAGACCGCCAGGGTCTCTTGCGACCTCCTGCCATCATCCCTCCAAGCGTTCCGAACCGATCTGCGGATGTCTTCGATGAGCTCCTGCATATGCTGCGCGGGTATCCGCTACATATTAGAAACGAGGATCATCGGGCTGCGCTCCTACGCGACTGTCGTTATTTCCACTTGCGCGGCTTGGAACAAAAGTTGATACCGCATCAGATAACGACGAATCCCTTCAGTCATCGTTTGGAAATCGTCATCCGGCTCGAGGATGTGCGACCGTCTGGGATTCAGTTTGCCTTCGATACAGTTTCTGGGTCACCTGCAACAGGTGGGATGGTCACATACACGCGCCCCTTCGCAGATGAGAACGCCGCCGATCTCGTGGTTGAGATCGGCGACGAAACCTGTCTAATCCATCGGGGGAGCATGCGCGCTGACTTCCTAGGCCTTTCAAAACAAAGGATTACCAGTCTATTACAGACGGTATGGAAAAAGATGAACCTGCCTAATTCACATCCACCATTGGGCCAAGTTCCAATCAAGGCCCGTGTCGACCGTGAAACTGATCTCACGGTGGATGGAGAACACGACCCGCAGCATTTGATGATACTGAGAGCCAAGGCTGAAGCTGGGGCTGATGGTGGGCATCCAGCTAAACGGGCACGGGTTGATAACACGGACGATGGGCCCTGGGTTGTTCGGACAGGACAATGGCGATTGCAAGTGCAGACAGGGTCTACCGGGGCATACGAGGCTGTCTTGGTTGCTGTCAAACTGGACATCTATACCAGTTCGCAGGTCCGAAACCGGTCAAGAAAATTCCTATAGTCGCCTGTACGTCTGTTCAAGTCTTAAGCTGCATAATACGCCAGAGGACTTGGATGTATAATATCAAACAGATGCCCTCTGGAATTTTTGCAGGCTGGGCAAACTTCGTTAATATAATTTTGTCTAATCGGAGAATCCTCCCCATTCTTCATCGTCTTCATCTTTTCCATCTTCGTCACTCTCATCGTTCTCATCATGCTCACTGTGCTCATCATGCTCACGTTCCTTCGCCGCAACGACCGTGACAGCATGAGCAGGGTCACGAATGAACCCAGCAACGAAGAATCCTCCAAGACCTTCTGCATCACCTTGCCAGGATCGAATGCATGCTTCTAGTGCCTCGTCAGAGAGATCTACTGTGCCCGATGGCCCTGTCTCTCCCTCGGCTGGCTTCTCCTCTCGCACACCTCGTTTCTTCCATCGGCGCAGGCCCTCCGGCTGCTCATCGCGCCGCAGGAGGCGCCAGCCGCGCTCTTTAGCAACCTGGGAGCTCAGAATGCGAGCCACGACGCCCTCATTCTCAATCAGGTGAATAGAACAAGTACTGTACGTCACATGGGTAGCATTCGAGAAACGCAGAGCATGTTCAACGATCCGTGCTTGGATACTTGATAATTTGGTCAGTCGCTCTGGGTCGATCGTCTCATCTGCAATATCATTTTCATCTGTGGGCTCTGCTTGCGGAGTGCCCATGGTGGCTTTCGACTGCTCGCCATTTGCTTCGTCGTCGTTGTCTGGACGCTTCCTTTTCTTTCCATGTGACTTTGGTGCCTTGTATGCTGCCGCGACAGGGAGTGTGAACTGAGGGACATCGTCACGGCCGATGATTCCGCTACCAGAACAACTGGGATCCAATAACAACCCAGTAACCTTCTCAAACTGTTCATCTTCTGGGTCAAGGGCGAGGAAATCCTGGCCTTGCAGCACAGTGACCGAGTCAGCCCCGGCCAGACCAACCATTTTCTGTAGCGTTCTGGAACGCACAGTAGATGCATCCATAGAAAAGATCCTCTGTTTGCTGTTTTTGTTGCCCTTTTGTTGTTTGGCCAGAAGCGAAGCCAAGTGCGTAGTCTTATTTCCTGGGGCAGCACAACCATCAACCAAGTCGCCCTCCCATGGGTCGCTAGGCCCGCGGTCACCCAACAGGAGATACGCTGGGAAGCAGGACGCTTTGTCCTGGAGAATGATTTCTCCATTTTTGTAGGCAGATGAGGCAGTGAAGTCTGCACCGAAAGGCACCGCCACCAAATCTGGAATATTGGGATCGATGAACAATCGAGGCTCTGGCTTTCGGCTTTCCAGCTCGTCTTCTGGGGCCAATTCTGCAAGTGTGTCTACCCGACGGTAAGACTTGAACGTGGTGCTCAGCTGCTCTTCGAGGGTAGTGCGGATGTTATTGATCCGCACCCAGCGCGGGTAGACGAAATGGCTAGTTCCATCGGCCAGTCGTTTCTCACGGATGACAACAGCCTTGAATTGCTCGACGGAGGCGCACCCCCGACGTACACGAGCCTTGGTAAACTCGGCCTTTAGCCTGGCCTTGTGACGTTCCACGGTTTGGCGGAGTGTATGGGTTACCGGCGCAGCAATGCCTTTCTTCGCAAGTAGATGATCATGAACGAGGAGAAGAGCAAGGAGTGGAGAGAGCTAAATGGAAATCACTTAGTCAGTCAGTAGGTATCTCCAGTGGTTTCTCTTGGGTTATCTCACCTTGCGCTCCAGAGCAAGAATACCTGATTTGTCAATGACATCTGCCAGCACGGTGTCCCATTTCGCAGCCTCGGTGATCAAGGCATAGATCTGCGCTGGAGATGCGCGCAGGTTCCGAGCGCTGTAAATTCGGGACTTGAACGAGCCCCCTGATGAGGGTGCGGTCAAGATAGCGACCGCATCAAAGTAGAGGGACATTGGGAGTATGGAATGTTGGTCGGAGAAATTGAGGATTTTCGCGATCAAATTGATATTTTGACGTTGTTTGTTCTGTTTGCATTGTATCCATTGTATACCAGGTTGCATCATGAAATTATATATCGGGTATAGAGCTGCCAATGTTATTATATTGGCTCTTCGATGTGATGGTTTCACTACGATAAGACTATAATGTCTTCTCCTCTAATTATATATAGACCAACGATGGTAGCGCTCAATGTTTTGTGGCCGATCTTAATGGATCTAGTATATATATTTAGATCCGCTCCTCCGCTACGTATGACCTTCGACCTCCCTCCACTCCCCAAATCTTTATGACCATTGCCATTGAAAACCTTTAACGGTCAATATCCCATCATCAACCAGAATGGCACCAAAACCAACACTCAGCACTTCAATCCAGCCGCCTCCAGGGCCCAGCGCAAAGCTAATACTCCCATCCGAAGACACCAGCACCAACACCAACCCCACTATTTTCAACGATGCAATGATAATCCGAAAATCCGTCTTCGTCGACGAGCAGAACTGCACCGCAGACTCCGAGATCGACAGCGACGATGCCCGCAGCTGGCACTGGGTACTATACGATAACTCCACCGCGAGGTCCACGCCGGTGGGGGTGATCCGCCTGGTACCCCCGCCACAGGTGCCTCACGCGCATGTCTCGGAACTGCCATCGGTAGTTACACAGGGAGCGCCCGAGTACGACTGGACACACGAACCCAGTATCAAGCTGACTCGGGTGGCGATCATGCCATCGTTCCGCGGCCTCGGACTTGGGCGACGATTAGTGGAGACGGCGCTGGGGTGGGCGGCTGTGCATGCAGCAGAGATAGATGAGGCGGCGGCGCAGATCGCTGCGAGGGGCAAGTCACCTGTTACTCCGATTCCGTGGCGGGGGTTGGTCCTTGTGCACGCTCAGGTGGAAGTGGAGGGGATGTATGCTGGACTTGGATTTGCAACGGATCAGTCGCTGGGTCGGTGGGACGAGGAAGGGATTGAGCATGTGGGTATGTTCCGCCGGGTGGTTCTGGATAAAGAAGGATCTACAGGGAGATAAAAAAGAATAGGGGAAGCACAGTCTACGAGTAGAGGAAAAGTTTAAGGTTCAATATCAATGGATTCAACTAGATCGAACTAAATCGAACTAGATGTCAACGGAGGGAATTGCAGAACTGCCACGTTCCCTCGAGATGGACCAGGGACCAGTAAAGAAACATCAAATGAGATCGCCGCGCAATAAAAACCGACGGGGTATCCTGATCAACGCAAAGCAAAAAAACAAAAAAAACAAAAAAACAAAAACCGAAGCAGGAAACAAATCAACCGGGTCACGAAGGACCGATGAGTATCCGGATCAACGCAAAGCAAGAAACAAAAACGGAAGAAAAAAAAGACGCACTGCAACCGGGTCGCTAAGGACCGATGAAAACCCTCTAGACACGATGCAAAGTCATAAGATGACTGCAGAAAACAAAGAAACAAAGCCCAAGGCCTGTCAGAAACGCCAAAGCCATGGTCGCCAATAGAGAGAAAAACAGGTCATGCGTGAACATGACTAAAGTAAAAAGATTAAGTAAGATCGAGTGAAACGCCGAGCTGCAGCAGTCCTGCTGGTCACAGAAACCAAAGGAAACTGGGCAATGCGTTTAGAAAGTGCTCCAGTTCCAGTCACGAGGAACGGAAGCAGCGACCTCGCCGGTCTGGCCCACGGTGGACTCGGGATTCTCTGCATTCATGCCATCGGAGTCGGGAACAGACACGCCAATCTGTTGAGCATCGATGGTGTTCTGGATCTTGTTCAGACGGTCGGAGCGGTTCTCTTCCCAGCGTTGGTGGGCGCTCCAGCACAGATCGCAGGCACGGGAGGGGACACCATCGGGGTGGAAGCGGGCATCCTGGTCAAGGGGGACGAGGTGAGGTGTGTGAGAGGCGCAGAAGACATGACCGCAGTGACGACAGTGGTGGCGACGCAGAAAGATGCCGAATGAGGAGCGGCAAGTTGGAGAATCACAATTGTAAGAGGCAGAGTCAGCCTGAAGGATAAAGTTAGCTAGGGTTGTCCTGTAAAAGAGTGACCAATGCGATCAAAGGATCTGTGGCTTGGGATGCGACAGGGCTGAGGCGGTGGACTTGCAGCACGCCATTTCCGAGAAATGACGAGCTCACACGCCATTTGCGACATTTGCTTTAACAACTGCGCAATCCAATCCGAACCCAATCCCTATAAAGGCGCCGAAGGAAGGCAAAGAAGGGCACAATTTTTTTTTTGGGGGTTTCTCGAGATACTCACTTTCCAGTGTGTGCGGGTTGGAAGACCGGTGACGGCACCCAGGTGCTCATTCTTCAACCACTCATGCTGGGCGCTCTGGCTAATTTCGCTGGACTGGCTCTCCATGGTAGAGCGTCGGGTGATAGGTTCCGACGAGTCCTCATTCAGGCTGTCAAGAGAGCCATGCACGCTGCGGGGTGGGGTAATGGGAGACGATTTCTGGGGTCGCTCAGTGGGTCGAAGAGCTGCAGGAACATAGAGGGGACCCTTAAGAGGACGCAACTGGCGCGACTGCAGAGGCAGTTGGTGCAGGGTAGCGGTAGTCATGCGAGGGGAGGTGGGGGAATTGTTGGAAGGAGTGTTGGTGGCGGAGTTGGTTGGAGAGGGCTGACCATAGACCGAAATCTGGTTGGTAGCCGGGTTGGTCAAAACATGAGTCGCCATGATGATTGGGAAAAGATGTAGGTTGGAAAGGTGGAAAGATGGAAAGATGGAAATATGGAAAGATAGAAAGATGGAGATTGGGATAGTAAGATATTAAGATTGTTGGGTATGACGAAGTAGAAAAGGTGGGAGGCGGGATGTTAAGAGTAGAGTTTAAAGGGTAATCCCAAGCTCAGCGGCAAAAAAGTGTCCAGAGACCGAGGGGCAAAAAGGAGGAAGTAATTATCGAAGTATCCGTACACACAGAGCCGTTCAGCCGGGGAAGAGGCAAAGAACAAAAGGTCGACTGTAAGTGGTCGAAGCCAGTGGAGACAGGAACGTTGGAGTTAAGATTTGTTGTACTTCGTACGCAAAGAGTGGATTTTAAGTGGATATTTTAGAGATGAGAACGGGTGAACAGTGTTGAGAAGGGAAAAAGGAGCCCATGGGGAAGAGGAGATATATTAATAAAAGCAAAAGGAGGTGAAGGGAAAATAGGATACTTAATTCACTAGTAGTAGTACTAGGAGGACTAAGTACTACGATAACTAACTATACTACTAGTACTACTACTCTATATGAGTACATGGCTGTGATACTGTTACCTTTCCACGGAGGAGAGTACATGGTAACGTAGATGGTACTTTACTGTATCTCCGATGTATTGGAGTAGAAACTTGTCTGCCTTCTACTTTCGGGGTACTTCGTGGCGGATACTACATATGCGCAGGGGCCAAGTAGCCCGTGTGTCTTTTCCACCAGTATCATCGTTGGTTGTACGGAGTACGGAGTACAACGTACTTTTTTCTTTTTTCCCTTTTTTTCTATTTTACGCACATTCAAATCTACTTCCCCGAATATGAAATCATAATCTGGACTAGAGATCTGGATTGCCTCGACTTTCTTTTGACCGCTAGTTGTGATTATCCAGGATTCAGACCGGTTTCCATGAAGCCCCAGTGACGGGTTTCCTTTTGCGGTCTCTCCACTTAAATCCGCAATGGGTCAACTTTTGGAAGCATACAGTTCCGATCTACTTTTGAACATAATTATATTGTGTTTAAGACTCTACAATGAAATCTCCGTACTCTATACTCCGTAATTCGTACTCCGTACAGACAGGGGATGTAGAAAAGGGTCAATAACCAAATAATAACAATGTAACATACCGGCATTTGCAGTTCATCTAAGACACACTGGAAAAATAGGAAAAAAAAAGGGAAAACGAAGGGAAAATGTCGGGAATCCTTAGGTTCATTAGCGCGAAGTTAGTGACCAATCATATTGCTCGTGGCGTCTCTTCTTATCATCGACCGGTGATTGGTCTATTTCGATCTCGATCATCCTATTGGCTTTTCCAATGTTACCCTCCAGCGGCTGCCGGAGCCCCGCGGAAGTCTGAGGCCGATGTATCCAATCAACTCGCAGGGAATGGAAATAAAATCAAATATAAGATTATCTGCATGTCTGAAAAAAGTAATCATCCAGAAGACCACGGGAACTTGTGGGCATTTGGTTTTCAAGCTATTGCCGAGGTTAATGCTATTAATGTTATTAATGTTATACCTTCAACCTTCAACCTTAAGAAAATAAGGTAAAATAGAACCTTGGAAGAGAAGTTGCCTTTGGAACTAGTTTCAGTACGGAGTACGGAGTACTCCATAAAAAGTTACTATTTCGCCTACGGTTGATGCATGCTAGGAGCCAACTACTACCTAAATAGGTAGGAGTAGCAGGTTCTATAGGTCAAATCCCGTTTTTAAGATTGCTGGAGGGTGAAAGACCAATATAGGCTATGCACATACAACATACATAGGCTGCACTGGAATGCGGGAGGTTGTAGTCGGAAATCTGGGGAAGGTACCTCCTAGGTACACTGACCAAAATGACCGCTTGCAGGTGTCATACAAAACACCCATGTCGTCATGACTTTGCAATTATAGTTCCAGATGTCAATATCACAACCCCCAACATCACAACCGTACGCAATCATGAAGCTCGCGGTATTTAGCGCCAAATCCTACGACCGCACCTACCTGGACCAGGTGCGTGAGCAGCACTTTCCCGAGCTGTGCACCATCGAATACCATGCCTTCGCGCTGTCTGAGGAGACCGTGCCACTAGCCCAAAATTGCAACGCGGTGTGCGTCTTTGTCAACGACACCCTGGACGAGCGCGTGCTGAGAGCCCTCCACGCTTACGGGATCCGTGCCATCCTGCTCCGGTGCGCCGGCTTTAACCATGTCCATCTCGCAACTGCCGAAGAGCTAGGCCTCTTCGTGGCGAATGTCCCGGCATATTCTCCCGAAGCTGTGGCGGAGTTCGCCGTAGCCCTGGTCCAAACCTTGAATCGTAAGACTCACCGCGCATACAATCGTGTGCGCGAGGGCAACTTCAACATCGAAGGTCTCCTCGGGAATACTCTATATGGTAAGACCGTTGGGATCATCGGCGTGGGGCGCATCGGGCTTGCAGCCGCGCGCATCTTCAACGGCTTTGGGTGCCGACTACTCGCGCACGACCCTTTTGCCGGTGAAGAATTCCGCCAGTACGGGACGCTAGTTGACCTCGACACCCTACTAAAAGAGAGCCACATAATTAGTCTGCATTGTCCCCTCACGGAGAGCACAAAGCATCTGATCAATGAAGAGACATTGGCGCGTATTAGATCGGGGTGCCTATTGGTCAATACCTCGCGCGGTGGACTCATCGATACTACGGCGGTCATTCAGGCACTGAAGACGAAGCAGCTGGGCGGGCTGGCATTGGATGTCTACGAAGCAGAAGGCGAGATTTTCTACAACGATCACTCCGGTGAGATCATCGACGACGACGTGCTAATGCGCCTGATGACCTTCCACAATGTCTTGATTTGTGGTCATCAGGGATTCTTCACCCGCGAGGCCCTTGCGGAGATTGCTGAGGTCACACTCGGCAATTTGTCTGACTTGGTCGCAGCTCGCTCGTGCAAGAACTCCTTGGTTACGGGGGGAAATCCCGTTGACACCGAGCCGGTCAGGCTCTAAAACCTGAGAAGTATATCTAGATGTGAAGCATCTATGCATTGATATTTGAGCATTTACCAAATCAAACACTTTCAATCGACATATCATTCATCAATATCAAGTATGTGGGTAGGCGCTCGAGCATAGTTTGGTATGAATAGTTTGGTATGAATATACATTTCAATTGCGCAATGGACGAGTCCCCTGGAATTGGCCCTGAACGGCTTGCCTGGCTCTGGGAAGGAAACAGTTTCCATGAGCGACTAGTGGGACGACAGAGATCAGCCACATAAAATAAACAATCCCTACAGTAAGCAGTAGATGGAGCTGCTCAAAGACCCGTCCGATTACCCCAGGTCGGATAACTCGCCGTGCACCCTGAGATTCCTCGTCGGTAGATGACAATACCCCGGCCATTTGCCATGCTGCCCGACAGTTGATCTTCTCCCAGGTGGTATCATCCGCATACTGATGGGCTGCCGCCGCCAGTTTTGCTCGGCGTATTGGGTCGAGAGAAACCTCTTTGACCAAATGAACAAAACACTTTAAATCGCGCGACGGAACTAGATAACCAGTCTGTCCATGACGGATAATATCAGAGGGCCCGCCCTGATCCCGCGCGATGACGGGGACACCACTGGCCATAGCCTCCAGGACCACCAACCCAAAAGTTTCTGTGATAGAGCAATGAAGGAACAGATCAGCAGATGCGTACGCACGGGACAATGCAGACCCGGTGAGAAATCCAGCAAAGACAACGTGCTCTCGAACCCCGTCAAAGAGGCGCTGGACTTTGATCTCAATAGCCAGGTTGCGATTCCCGCCGACAGCCAGCAGCTTGAAGGGCAGCCTGTCTGCAGCTAGCCGTTGCACGACCTGCGCGAGAAACTCAAATCCTTTCTCTGGGGCGATGCGGCAAACGCATATCAAGATAATTTCGCCATGAGGTGCAATGTGGCGGCGGTATGATTCATCGCGCTGTGTCGGTGAAAAGAGAATCGTGTCTACACCGCGACCCAGCTGAACGAGTCGATCAACTGGCACACAAACATGCATCAAATATTTACGGATCGCAGAGCACGGGTAAAATATTGTATGTACAGCACGGGTGCGGAACAGAAACCCCTGGACTGTCGCCAGGAGCCATACGCCGAATTTGTCCAACGGTGTAGGCAACATGATTTCCGCATAGCCGGATAGATCTGTCTGAAAGTTGAGTAAGACCGGCGGAGGAGAGCGCAGTTGGCGGATTTGCAGCAGCATTTGAAACCCAAGCGAGGCTGGGCTGGCGAGGTAGATGACGTCTGGCTGGAAAGACTGGCTGAAGAGAGTATCTAGATGGAACGGATAGACGACTGTTAGATCTGGATTATAGGGAAGCGCACAGCCCGGAAGACGGCGCTCCCAGGTTTTCTGCTCAGACGATTGACCTTTGAAGCTGGGCGCGACGAGAATGAGGTCCACGCCGTTGTCGCGCAGATACTCGACTAGACTGCGTGTTGTGCGACTCACTCCGTTTACAGGGCCCCATGATTCTGTAGCAAGGAGGATCTTCTTGCCACGCAGGGCATTAGGGAAGTCGAGATGGAAATCCTCGTCCTTCGCGCCCCTCGAAGAGCGAAGAGAGGAGAGGCGTGTATTCGGCCATTCCGAGACATGAATCCAATATTCAAATATTCCGGGAAGGCAAAGGTGTTTTGCAGCTAATATTTTAAAGTCACAAAAGGTGAAAACCCCCTTTACTCATCCAAGTACATACACCCCGAGGTCTGATCTATACGCTGATATATGCACGTGCCCTAACCGCCCGCTGAGGATCGTTGCTTGGTGGCCAGTCGCAGTTCACGATGCGCCGCGTGCACCAACTCGACCTTCTGGTGCGAACGAGGAATTTGAATTTGGGGAACTCGAGCCAAAACTGATCATAGGGGGTCATGAGGCATTGAAATGAAGATAACGCTTCATCTGAAACTCCCCTTCTCCTGCGTTCAAGTATGCTCCCGTGATAAACCCACCTTTAGCCATGACCTCTGCCGCAAATCTGCAAGAGGGGTCTTGTCATAACTTTATTATAAGTTCGACTAATCATATCTCTATAGCTTAGAGTCCACCGCGGCCTGCGATTCACTACTTCTGACCACCATGGATCATTCTAAGGACTCTTCTCATGTAGATCGGATTTGGAACTGGCCTTGCGCTCCTCTAGAAAATAGTTCATCTCCTCCTGTCATATGATGGTAAATACGCGACTATAGGAGATTTGCAGCCTCGGGTCAATCAGGTCCTTCTCACATCAATGCCCCTTTATCTGCCGATGTAAATAGTCTATATATAGCCGGTGAAGCCTCGGTAGTGCGGGGAAGATCGACGTCAACATGTGTATACATCATAAGATGGGAATTGTGTTCGGAATAGTAAAATATAGATCTGTAGAGGAGATGGAAGTCTACCCTGTCCAGTCCCAGCCTATAATTTTGGGTCCTATATAAGGCATCCATGGAGGTACGGACTGCCCTCATCAAGGAACCAACCCCGGATAGCTCAACTCTATTCTTTGAGATACTGAATGGGTATTAACTTTAGAGTCATGATCCCAAGGTTATGGTTCTGGTCTTCAAGTTGATCGAGGAACCAAGTAAATATGTTTTCACACAATATCATCATCGTTGAATGATATTATGTTTGTTATAGGCCTAGACGCTTGCTTGTAATAATACTTGTCACGAACTTGAGATCTGCAGGCCTCGGGGCTTTATCCTTTCTGGGACATAAACTTGAAAGCCTCGGGCCATCTTGACATCATCCACGTGCGGGTACTTAAAAGTCTTGTTTTCCTCTTTGTGAACTTGGATTTGTCTATTTCATATATACATAATATTATAGCATACATAAGAACATTATGGCCAACAATCAAGGTTGCAAGATTACTCTTTATTGGTACGTTCCCCTCGCAGTCTCTTCAGAATCATATTAACCCACATTCCAGGCTCGAGCAATCTCGGAGCCATCGAATCCTTTGGCTTTTGGAAGAACTGCAGTTGGAATATGAGCTCAAGATTTTCAAGCGTCGCGCTGACAAGCTCGCCCCTGCTGAGCTGAAGGAGGTCCACCCACTGGGCAAGTCGCCTGTGATCACCATCCAGGCACCGGGTGCCGCAAAGCCGCTAGTATTGGCAGAGTCTGGCGCGATCGCGGAATATCTCTGTGACCACTTCAGTAGCGCGCGGCCGACGCTAGTACCACAACGGTACACGCCCGGCAACGAGGGCAAAGTGGGCGGAGAGACTGAGGAGTGGATGCGCTATCGCTACTTCATGCACTACGTGGAGGGCAGCCTGATGCCTTACTTAGTGATGACCCTCGTGAACGACTGTAAGTCACTTGTCATTTGGAGCGTCAACCTGTGAATTCTCGCATGGCGTTGATAACCCAACCTTGGGAGCACCGTTGACATTCTCAACAGCCATTCGGAACGCCCCTCCATTCTTTGTTCGGCCTATCACCAACATTGTCGCCTCGCAAGTTGAGAATCAGTTCCTGACCCGCAATGTTGAGGGTAACCTCTCCTTCCTTGAGGAACAGCTCCGCACATCTCCCGAGGGTGGCGAGTTCATTTGCGGCAAGGAGTTGACAGCTGCTGATATTCTGCTGAGTTTCCCAGTCATCGCTGTTACCATGCGATCGCTGAAGGAGGAGAAGAATAAAGGTAAATACCCTCTTCTTGTCGCGTATGCCAACCGCCTCGAGAGAAATGAGGGGTACCAGCGTGCCGTGAAGAAGATTGAGGAGGTTGAGGGGAAGTTCTCAGCCTCTATGTAATTTAGAGATCATGAAAAAGGGCGCAATGGATTTTATAAACTATGAAAGCTCTCAGGTCTCATCTATACCCCGTTGCGTTAGTGCTGAGATATGGAGGACATCTGGTTGGCGGATGACCTCGGATATCCTTGCACACTCTTACAACCACAGAAATCAGCAATGATCATATTCAGCAAGAATACAATCAATGAGTAAAGATAGAAGCACAATCATATGCATCTTTTGATCTTTGAAATGTTCAACTTTGTAGCTCATCTTGTTATAAACACTCCACGAGAACCAAAGCTGATTACGTCATTCGGCTGATTCATCATCATGTGACCTTCAACTTCAATCCCGGCGACGCTTGCAAGCGTTGTCGATTCTGTGTCCACGCTTCAACGCTTTCCGCAAAAATGGCTGGTCCTAGCAAGTGTGAGTCTTGAGAATTCCATGAGTGCAATGACCTGGATTGCTAACCCATTGTCCTAGCTCTGATCCTTGACCCGGCCCTCCAGAAATACTATGGTACATGCTCCTCCAACCCCATCTCCCAAGATCCAGGATTCCGAATGAACCTCGCGCATTACGTTAGCCCAAGCATACATACGAGATACTTGGAGCAAATATCTCGAATCCTACACCTGGCGACATGATAAATTCTCTACGATTAAAGATTGACTAACGGACCCACAGAACTCAATGCCAACCGCTACAAGTACTGGCGCTGGACCCCGCGCCATGCCATGATATCGTTCGTCTACATGGGTCTGATTCCCGGCGTCCTGGGCTACATTGCCTACAAGTACGAGGTATGGAATGAGACATTATGGTTGCATTGCGATTGTGGTGCAATCCCGCGGAGAAACACGCGCTAACAATATACAGGGCAAGTTCGAGCTCCGTGGCAAGCGCCGAGGAGATACGATCTCCGAGTGGTAGACATTTAGCGATGACTTCCAAATTTAATTCCCGTTTTGTTATCAAGCCCGTACCGAGCAGCGACTGTGACATGACGCGACATGGAGAACTACACACTGAGAGGTTGGAGATACTCGTGTGTTGAGGGAATTTTGCCCGACTCTTTTTTTTGTGCCGGTGCCCGTTGCGTGGGCCGTGTACTTTATTACAAGCATATACCGCATGGATTTCTTTATTTTGTTGACTTCGTTCACAATGGTGAAAATTAGGATTTACTTCCAAAGCTAGACGTATAGCCCCGGAGCATCTCGCCCAAAGGACGGCTATTATCTATCTTAGTGCCTGTTTCCTGCTTATGAGTATAGGGAACTTGATATAACTAGGCATTTACTCGCTAGTTTCCTAGGTTAAGATAATAATAGCTGGTAAGTATTTACTAGTATTTACTATATCCTTAGTATTTCTGACTTGATATGCTCCTGACTAGCAGAATCTCAGGATGTCGTATAGAGTTAAAGAACGAGTATGTATGACTACAGGATGAACGCCCACCACCCTTAGCTACCCACGGCGATTGAAGAGGCAAAATTATTTGAAAGTTCGATAAAGTAGATTTTCCTAGAATATGTCTTGTAATAATGCTTGAAGATAAACCTTGGAAGCTAGAATCATCTCTTTAGCAGGTAGACCACCGCGGCGGAAGGAACACCATTCTTATGTTTGATGGCACTGCATGTGGTAGACAGTACTGGTTTATTGGTCCTAAACTGGATAATCATACAATGTCTCAACATGGGTATTCATCGCCCTTTGGACAAACTTGATTTTGCACTGGATTTCTCTTCGCCCTTCTCAATATGGTGCCCATCCGCGACGGCCTCCACGTCCACCTTCAGGCAATCGTTCACCACGATGCCAATCACCGCGGGGCATATGGGGAGGTCCGCCACCACCACCACCACCACCTCCTCCACGAGGACCACCACGAGCAGGTCCACGAGGGTAGCTATTATCCCGGAACGCACGCATACCGCCTCCACCTCCACCTCCACCTCTAGGTCCCATAATCGGGCCTGATGCGCCATTGAGCGCCGGCGCAACGGATCCGTCCTCAAGCGGTGCGACAATCGCACATTCAATGTAATCTCCAACGATGAAACGGGCATCCTGTAGGGGCCTGTCGGCTTCGGAGCCCTGGAAACGGAGCGGGCCGGGGCGAGGTCGTGCATCCTGCTTATCTTCGTCATCGTCTGCGCGCAATGAACTATCTCTCGGTCCGACAATAGCACTGCCTAAATCCCTGCTCAAGTATCGGCCACGCGCATCGGGGCCGCCCATTGCCGCACCGCGCGCGTCGGGGTAAATCAGTCGGAAGCAGAGACGGGTGCCAACGGGCGGATCAGGGATTAATGATGGAAGAGCAGAAGTGAGAAGCTGTGAGAGCTCGCGAAGTGTGCATGATTGCCATGTGTAGATCTCCAGATGTGGTGGGAGTGGCGCTGGAGATGCGACAGGTGATGTTGGACGAATGGCATTTGGCCCGCTGACAGGTCCTCCGCGGCGAGATGGCGCGGGGATACTATAGTCGGATAGAGGGTTGTAATTGTTAACCCGATAGAAGAGCTTCAAATGAAAAGGTGCGGTGGTCTGGCGGTTGATTGAGGGTTTGGGGCCCTCTCGCGACGGAGCGGCCATGATGGATGGTAGGGTGAAAATCAGAGGTTGTAGTTTTGAGGATGTGGAGAAAACAGAAGAGAATGGAAGATGCGATGACTCGAATGTAAATTAAAGCTTGGACAAAGGTCCTTGAAGGTAAATGTTTGGGGTATTTTGGGTTGAGGGGAGTTGACTGGAAGAGACACATGCGGCGTCGAAAAGCTGCGGGTTCTCTGACGTGCAAAGCCGAACATTCTTTTCCTCCCATCTGCCATCTGCCATCTGCCTCCACATCCATCTTCATCCTTTGACCTCAACTTTACCTTATTTATTGTCCACATTCTTTTATTCTGAGCTACAGTCGCATTGTACAAGCAGCTCGCTGCATCACCCCCGCCATCATGGATTTCGCCGCGTTGATGTCCAAGGAGATCTCCAAGGTTAAGGGCGCTGATTCCTCCAAGCCATCCGCTAAAGATACCGGAAAAAGCTCTCCCGCAGTGCCAGCCAAGAAATACATGCGACGAGGCGATGTCGAAGCTGCCCGCATTGAAGCTTACAACCAAGAGCAAGAGCGACTTGCACGCGAACGTGAAGAGCGCATGGCGAATAAGCGCAAGCTCGAAGATGAAGAAGCGGAACGAAACCGAGAACGCGAGGAGAAGAAGCGAAGGCTAGCCGAGGAGTCCAAGACGAGGAGAGAGGAAGAAGAACTAGCCAAAGAACGTGAACGGCGGCAGAGGCTCGGTCTGCCTGAGCTACCTGCGAACACCCCAGGTGATGGCGACGCAGAGGAAGATATCGAGGAAGAGGAGCTTAAAGCGAAATTACGAGAGATGAATGCGCCAATACAATTGTTCGGAGAGGACTATCGAGCCCGTCTTCGACGATACCGTCGTCTGGTTCAACGAGCCGCTATTCCCAAGAAGAAGGTGACCGACGGACCTATCCCCACCACCTTGGAGCCCGTGTCTGGTGGACAGATGATCATTCCGGCCAAGATTCCGAAAGACCAAGAGAACCGTCTGTTCCTTTTCCGGCAGCTGGGATCTTACTTCAACATGGTTTTGTCGGAATGGGAACTGGCACTAGCAAAGCGTGATGTCTCGGTGCGGGAAAGTTTCCAGGGAAAACAAGCGTTCAATGCCATGACCCAATCTCGCGAAAATATGACACCATTGTTCCGCCTCTTCGAAAAGTCCGACCTGGAGGACGGACTGTTAGAACCGATCGTTGAGATCGTGCACAAGGCGCAGCAGCGGCGATACGTCGATGCAAATGATGCTTATCTACGAGTGAGCATCGGCAAAGCGTATGTCGACCCCATCCGTTTGGTAAATTTGGGAATGATGCTAACATGTCTATAGAGCGTGGCCCATCGGTGTGACCATGGTTGGTATTCACGAACGATCTGCACGAGAGAAGCTGCATCAGAGTGATCAGCAGGCACACATTCTGAGTGATGAGATTACTCGCAAGTATCTACAGAGTATCAAGCGCTGCTTGAGCTTTGCACAAGTTCGCTGGCCTCCGGAGGATCAATTGCAGATGATGGGTTAGCCTGTTGAAAATAGTGTCCGAATATACCCATAGCGTTTCAAGAAGAAAAACATGTAAATTTATAGTCCGCAATATCCTCCCTGCCATCAAATTGAACATCAATTTGCATTGGTCTCTTTCAATAACCCGGAGATCGTGACAACGCGGTACCCTCTGCGATTCAGCTCCGGCAACACCTTCTGTAACATAGGCACCGTCCACCCTCTCCGATCGTGGCAGACAATAATACTCCCTGGCTTGACCATACTCAAAATATGACTCGCGTTGAGTTTCCAAAATGGCACCTGTGGGTCATGCGGGTACACATCACCGAGCACCAGCCGATACTCCAGCTCCTTTACGAGAGTTCTCATCCGGGAGCTGAAAAATCCCGAACCAGGGCGAAAGAGCCAATTCTCAGGCTGTGATGTATTTCCAGCTGCGACATAAGCTTCCTGGATTCTGGCATGGACTGCATGAATCTGATCTGCCAAGATGTCGTCACTGAGTGCACGCGATGGCTCATCGTACATGGCATGGTTGGCGAGTTCGTTACCAGCTCGGGCGAGATCAGCCAAAACAGGTTCGTGTCCTGGGATCTGGGATCCTATCAAGAAGAAAGTTGCAGCTGCATTGTGCGATTGCAATAGACGAAGAATTGCAGGCGTGTGTATGGAGGGCGCGTCGTCAATCGTCAACGCAACCACTTTTTTGTTTGTGTCCACACGGAAGAGCACGTCGGGCCAGCGACGTTGACAGTAACGAATGAGTATAATTGGGGGTTTGTATATGCAATAAAATGGTATTAAGAGAAAAAAGGTGGTGAGGATGGCTTGCAGCATGTTTGGCTTCTTTGGAGGATCCATGAAGGTGTTTTGTTCGAGTTCGCGGGAGATATCTAGTTCGGACTTCCCCCCATTTCTACACCAACTGGACAATTCTGCTACTTTGAAGATGAAAATAAAGTAAAATGTTCTATTTCATTGTGCTTTTCGAGTTCTCTTGGTTGTTGATATTTATTGTCAGTGACTAGGAGCTCTACAAGCTCTATGCTTGGCACCAATCACACACATGCAACTATTCCTTCGGAACCCTCGAGATACCATCATTCATAGGGTGCCATTAGAGTATTTCCTAGCACCTTATTGCGGAATTCTTCCTCGCCAAGTGTTGTTGTGTGTGCCCAAGGCTTGAGCCGATTCTCTTCATGAATGGTACTAGCGAAGCACCCACTCCATTTCAGACGAGGGAAATGCTTAGAAACATCTTGGATAGTCGAAGGATGAATGAGATTGGCATAGGAACCAGTGTTGTCTGTTTTCCAACGAGTCAGTCCAGTAAATAGTAGTATGGTATTTGATCACATTTTAAGAAATCTTGCGTCAGAACAATGGACTCCAATAGAGGTCAACATACCGAAGATTGTTGCCAGCTGAAGCAGTTGACCGAGAGCTGTGATTTTACCCTTCTCACACAAGTCTTGATGCCGAATAACTGCTTCAGCCACGCTCTCTGCCTGATCTTTCGGGGCGACTGCGGCCGAGCCTCCTACAAAGGAAGGCTGTAGGTTCTGCAGAACTTCTAGTGTTTTCAAGCCCCCAAAGAACTCGAAGCTCATTCTAGTGGCCTCCAAGTTATGTTGGGTTGTTCCGATATCGTGAAGCAGACAGGCAAGGAAGTATGTTTCATCAGTAAAGGCCCACTCGGGGAACCTGTACCGCTTGATCGCAAGCCCAAAGTGATAAACGCGAAGGGAATGATTGTATGTCGGCTCCGAAAGACGAGCCTTTGCATACTCGTTGATCCGCTGGGCGAGGGGCGTTTCTGGAATTGGAACTCCGGCCACTGCAATGAATGGGGCAGGTGTTGCTGGAGGATCTGTTGCGAGAAGAGTAGCAGCTGACGATAAAACAGCTGTGAGGCCATAGGCTGAGATCGGGTCATTGGATGGCCACATCTTTTGATGTTGGATGGCTAAAGAGAGAGAAAGTTGAGTTAGGGAGGATAGCTATGGTCAATACCACCTGAGTATATTGGGGGTTTATATTCTCTTTCTACTTTCTCTTTAATATTAGGCAAATAAATAAATCTAAACTACTCATTATAATAATAAATTGATAAGCACATCACCCCGGACTATGTAGTCTAGGGCTGAAGATGTAACTATGACTCACTTGCCACCGAATTGCTGACCGGAAGGGGAACCCATTTCGTGTAGATCTGTTGGCTACAATTTGTGGAATTGAAGAAGAACATTAGTCAAATATTCAACTATTTTTAGATATAAGATGGATGCTTTTCATGTAGGGTATTTTTGTACATTGTTACGAGGTAGTTCCCGCTTGATATTCGCCTATACCGGTCGATATCAAGTATATTTATAATTATGGCCGGTATTCATATTATAAATCAATTTAATAATTCAAGTATAATTTCTTAATGCTAATATCTAATGCTATTTACAGATAAATATCCAAAAATAGAAGCGCAACACATTATCAAAACCCTCAAAGCTCAAACAACCTCCCCAGCAGCCCGCCGAATCGCCGCAGTGACTTCATCAGGCTTACTGAGGAATGGGCTGTGCGATGCGTCCACCGTCTCTGTTCTCATCCCAGTTCCATTTGCTGTTCCTTCGACCATTCCCTTTTGAACCACCAGGGGAATAGCAGCATCTTGAGTACAATATAGGTAGGTACTTGGTACATCTTTCCATGCGGCATAGGTGCAAGGACTGTGGAGGGTCTGATAACTGTGAGGCTTCAAGGCTGCAATAGAAGTATCAATCTGGGCGGCATCACAGTCGTGATAGAAGGTTTTCTCTGGATCGGCAGGGTTGATTTCCGACTTGTCGTCGCTGACAATGAACCATGGCAGGTCATTTCCACCAAAAGCGCCAATCAGCGAATCTCCTTCCTTGATGATGAAGGACGTGCAGAAGAATAGATGCGTGACACCGCCAGTCAGACCATTCTGCTGGCGTGTTTTGATGTCTAGACCTTTGATTGCCTCGTTTGCGGGCAGGCTACCGTAAGAGTGAACAATCACAACGACTTCTTGCCCGGCATCTGCTGCTCGTTCGATTTGACTGCGAATTTGCGCAACATCTGCATCAAAGCTCAAGTGATGCTCAGCTGGACCGACTGAGGGCAAATGGACTTTGTCAGTTTTGTAGTTTGCTGCTTCAAGGCGTTGTACCACTGGATCAAAGCAGTCAGGGCTATGCCATGCGCCTGGAACGAAGAGAATAGTGGTGGATTCAGTCATGTTTCTTGGAAGAGAATGAAGTGAAAGATTTTCGTGTTTCAAAATGAAACCTAGTACAAAGAGGAGCTACGCTATATTTAAGGAAATCCTCGGGGTGAACGTCCTCTACCCGATATCGGGAATCATCATGTCCTTCGGAATAAATTCGGAATAGATCTACACAGAGAAACGAGCTAAATTCCCAGGAAAGAGTGTAAAGGCACTTCTACCGGCAACTGAAGGGGGAAGACCGTTAGGACCAACCGGTTGCCGTTAGTATATATGGGGCAGTTTATATTAAGCGAGTAAGCCAAGAAACGGCGTGGAAAGAGGGGGGGGGGGGGGGGGGGNNNNGGGGGGGGGGCTGGCAGAGAAAACCGTTTTGTTTTCAATAATAAGATTAGAATATAGTAAACCATGGAATAGGGACGGAGTACTGGGTAGATCATAGTTAATTTTGAAGTATATGGAGTATATATAGTATGCATTACAGGGATAACCTACGGAGTACAGGGATATGGAATATGCAGACGAGCTGCTGACCGCATTGGGTTAGGTGGCGTAGTTCTCGTATTCGAGAGTCTTTGCATTTCTTTCAAGGCTTAACTTGCTAACATATTGCTATTGGAGGAGAATAATGAGATAAGCTCTTATATTTCTCCAGGCTTTCTCCAAAACGAGTTGCTTACTCAAAATCGATTCTCAAAATCGATTCTTCTCTTTCATTTCAATCTTAACGCAACGTATCGATTTCTTCTTCCAGCAGCCAAGATTGCAACATCACCACTAGATGGTTTATTGTGGAAAGCCAAGTCCTGCCTGTGGGCGCTGTCGTACACGTCGCTTGAAAGTATGAATGTTGAGACCAGAAAAGAAAGTCGTTCACTAAATTACCCCACCAGTGCGATCAAGGATCCCCATCGTGTACCCAATGTATGCGGGCTCAAGTGGATTGCCCGGGATATCGAGATCCATTGGACTGGAATTTTAGAGATCAAAGTGAGGATGTGATCCGCAAATCTCAGCAACCCGCACGCAAAAAGCGCACAGTCGCCACTAGCACCACTAGCACCACTAGCACCACTAGCACCTCCACTAGCAGCGTTCAGAATGTGCCTCCGCCAAGAAACAGTCTTGTTTACCCAATCCAGGAATTAGCAAAGACCCATCTCTTCGTGAACTACATGTCCGGTGGTCCCTGCGGGGGCCATATGTCCTATCTCCTGCCTTTGATGAAAGACACTCGGAATTCACCCGTCTTGTCTACCGCACTGGCCGCAGTAGGATTAGCGGCCTTGTCAAACATTCGTCTTTCTCCACGAATGATGCTCCAAGCTAGGAAAGAGTATACGACCGCACTATCTCAGACCAATCATGCGCTCAGAGATACTGTTTTATCCAAGAGAGATGATACACTAGCAGCTGTAGTATTACTGGGTATGTTTGAGGTAAGTGTTGAGTTCCTAGTTTCGTGTTTTTTTTTAATCTCGCTCTACTAATGGGGTTTCTTTAAAGGTAATGACATGCAGCGATGACTCTTTTATAGATCGATGGATCAAGCACATGGACGGAGCCAAAAAGATAATTGAACATCGAGGCTCAGAACAATTAACTAGACCGGAGGGGTTGGGTTTGTTCACGAACTTACGGGCACAGATTGTATGTTTCCTACTAGTTTGACTGGCTAATTAACAATACCCTGACATTACTACTCAGAGCATCAGCCAAATATACCAAGAGAAATACAGCTCTCCAACTATGACCCAGCTCACAGAAGACGCAAAGCAATACCGGAACCCAGATGACCGAATGATCGACGATGTTAGCCGGGTGGTCATCCAATTGACCAATTTTTGCGCAGCCCTTAAAGATGGCAGTATCACCCAGCCCAGCGAGATTATCCGCCGTACTCTGAACCTTGACGCGGACCTCATGTCAATACTCCTTACTGCGCCTCCCTCGTGGGGATATGAGACAGTCAAGGTTCCGCTGGTAGACGGAGAGCCCATCACCCGCACCGTTTGGGGCGATAGTTACCATGTGTATCGCAATCTTTCTGTAAGCGGCGTTTGGAACAATGCTCGATCTGCACGCCTCTTAATGCATGAAATGCTTCTCGAAGCTGTGAAATCACTTGAAAACTCATCACCGAGGAGCAGCGGCCTCCATCAGCAGCAAATTATTGCAAGTCAAAGCCGACAGATTGCGCATCAGCTTGTGGATGATATTTGCGCCAGTGTGCCTTTCCATCTGGGCATGGGTATCGAGGATACCTATGATTGGAGGTCTTCCAGCCAAAATGCTGGGGGTGAATCCTATCCTGTCGAGTCAGGATTGGGAAATTTGGAGGGCTCATTTCCCGCCACACCTTTGCCATGGATGGAAATGCCTGCATTCTCATCCGCCGAGGGGAACCCACCTTCGAGAAAAGATGCAGCACACCTTGGGTCCTTCATCCCCAACACAAACGTGATGAATTCGGAACCCCCTTATGCTGCACCTCTACCTCCTAGTTTTGAGGTATCAGGGGCAGGAGGTGTCACTCTGGTGTGGCCTCTGTTAATTGCTGCGAATTCTGGATTTGCGTCTCCTGAGCTGCGGAAATGGATTATCGGTTGTCTTGAGAAAATTGGACATTCCATGGGAATCAATCAAGCTTTGGCTATGGCACAATTATTGCGAGATGGGATGGACTCTCGGGCCTGGATATCGCCAGACAGCTCTCCCATTCATCACACTATGTGAGATATGTATTACTTACGCTATTGAGGATGTTGCTTGTTTTCTTATATTGTTAATCTCCGTCTTTCTTCCAGCCTTAGGTCTATATCATGATAATCAAATGTATAATTACAAGCGTAATCGGCCGCGTCTACGGCTTTGTGATGTCTTTTCAGCTGGTCTTTTCAAGCTGGTTGTTCTAGAGGTCTTTTCAGGTGTATGGAAATACGGTAAAAAGAAGCATACTTTGTGCAAGGGACTTTTCTATGGGAAAGAGAAATGAAGACCTCATCGCAACTTTGGCAGATTTAGTTATAAGAATATAATCCAGGGACGTGGGAGGATTGTAGTAGCATATACATTGCCTACAATCTACAGTAGTCTATCAAGGTTAGTAGTTTAACTACAACAACACTAAATAATAAAACTCCGCTCTTGGATGATAAATATGGTCTTTAAATATAAGCTCAAACCTCAAACGAATATGAATTTACCTACGACCTGTTACCCAGAGTACCCAGGAGGGAATTGAATAGTGGGATGCGAAATGAGATTGGATATTTGAAGAAGCTAAGATTTTTAAAACCAAGGAAAATCAAATTTCAAGCTAGTACTTTTTGCAAGAAACACAAAATGAATATTTTGACCGGGCCATACTCAAAATTGACAGTAAAAACACGAGATATCTATAGTCCAACGCCTCAATTGACAAAATCCCCCTTTCCAACTCAGTCACATCATCAAACATAACAACATCCTTTGACCGTCTACCTTCCAGAATTACCGCCGCACATGCTGTTGATTATAGGCCTCTTGAGCCGCCGCCTGGGCATACATGACCTCATCATAAGGAGAACGATCAGCATGTCTATGACGACGGCCATTTTCAGCATTCTCAGTCGTCTGGTATGTCTCTTGTTGGCGGGAATCGGCCATGCCACCATTTGAGACCGACTTGGGCGTGATCAAACCCAAGATTGTGTACATCAAAACAACGACAAATTCTTCAAGGGTGGCCATTACTAGTTGAATCCTGGCGTCACCGTCAACCACCGAAAATTGATGATTGCTCCCAAAGTCACCGATTAGACTGTAGAGAATTCGAACCGCGATGAAAGGCAGTGCGAGGAGAACACAGAAGAAGATTCGGTTTTGACTTGATAGCATCAGGCCAATATCCCGTACTGTGATGGCCCACAATGTGCAGGCTGCAATATAGATTGCTAAGAAGAGGATGATTGCAACACGGGTCTTGGTCTTGCCACTAGCATGGTCCGAGATATTTGAGGAGGCTTGGTCGGTTCCACCGCTGATAGCGAGGATCAGGGCAATAAGCGCAGGGAGATGTAAGAGTTGAGCAACCTTACTGCGTCTTGACGTAGCTGTGGCCCTCTTCGAATAAATGTTCATTCTGCAAGAGACAGAATGGGTTAGTATAAGAACCGGATTTGTACTAGTTTAGCAGTAGGACGACTTACAATTTACCAGTAATACCAAAAGATGCGAATCCTTCCAACAAGGTATTACTCTTGGAATCTGGGCCTGATGGCACATGCTGCGAAGTCTCGTCAAACCTATTAGATGGTCAGTTTAATAAGCTCTCTTGATAGGATAGTGGCTGGAATTTGAACGGACACTCGTTTTAACAGACCCAATGTTGACAGAAGAAGAGGAGAAAGTCCAACAGACTGCAAGATCACTGCCCATTCTTTGTCATTTGCATTGTTTGGGTTCTTTGTGCTCAAGATCTCCATAACAGCTCCGCCAACTCGGATTCCTGAAAAAATGCACAAGTAAATCCAGCCCAATTGCTTGTGAAAGCCATGGCGGAGAACTACCCATATGGTGAGCAAAGCCGTTGGGATATAGATGATCAGCTCTGCGATGGCAACGTGTTCGGCGGTGACAACAGCCATGATTTGGGTGATATGTTAGGACTTGTCAAATAACCAAGAGTGTGATTTAGAGTTGGGAGAGTAAAGAAAGATGGTTCTTATTGTCAATTTACACACAACGAAAAGAGGCTTTATATAGCAAGTTGTGACTATCGTAACGCTCGGGACCAGTTTTTTCTTAAAAAAAAGCGGGGATTCTAGGCTGACAACTCAGCCCTGTTGAACTCCATTCCAAAATTGGAGCCAAGCTGCAATCTCGCCCCCAATACGAGAAAGAAGCAAATAAGCAAATCTAAGCTTCGGAGTCTCCCGGGGTTCTTATGCGGGACACCACCCGCCTTTCTAGATTGGGACTAGCGTGATATGTGGGTCATCGAAAGCCCTACCCTTTTCGGAAAGCCGTGAGTAGCCCTGGAGGTAAACTGGCGGCTGGTACGGACGCCACCACCAGCCATGACTCAAAGAAATTCCCTTCCTTGATACCATTGCCTTAATTTGGAAGGCTTTGAGTCTTATAGATTTAAACTCGTTAAAAAAGACTTCAGGATACGTCATTTGTTCAGGCTTGGACGCTTCGAGGATGCTGTGAGGCTGATTGACGAACTAGTATGGTGGAACTACGGAATAGATATTCAACAAAATGAGCTGCCTAGTCTGAGGAAATCACTTATAAGTGTACTAAGAGCCAGTAGTTGTAATTCATTGAATGTCTAGCAACAACCTCGGCTTCTTTGATTGAGCTCTTGAATATGTTATCTCTGATTTATTTCATTCCAATTTGCTTGGCCTTGGGCGCCTCAGCTACCATTGACCCAGGTTATGATTGTCGCCCAGGTCAGAAGTGCTGGCCATCATCGAAAGAATGGCAGAAATTCAATGCGACCATCGATGGCCATTTGTATGAGACTGTTCCAATCGCGGCCCCTTGTTATAAGAACTCTCTTCATTATGACGAAGCTGCGTGTCAGGAGGTTGAGAATTACTACGGTGATAGTATCCCGAGAGGAACACACTACGGACAGACATACTGGTTGAATTGGGAGACTTGTCGCGATACGGGATGCGCTCTACTGGAAACCGAACCATCAGAGCTGCTCTATAGCACATGCACGCTTGGGAGACTGTCATCATATTATGTGGATGTTCGAGATGCCTCTCACATCTCTGCCGCCCTAAGATTTGCACATGCCCACAACATTCGCATCAGTGTGAAGAACACTGGCCACGACTTTTTCGGACGATCATCCGTTCCCAACACGCTCGCCATTTGGACTCACAATCTTGATTCTGTTGCATTCAGCTCCAACTTCACTGCACACAACTGCCCCCTGGCTAACGGTCAGAATGTTGGAGAGCTGGGAGCTGGAGTCATCGCAACCGACGCATACCATTTCTTCAGCTCGAAGGGAATGGATATCACAGGAGGGTACGAACAATCGGTCGGACTGGCCGGTGGTTTTGCCCAAGGTGGTGGTGTTGGGTCTTTCACAACCACGTATGGTTTGATGGCCGACAACGCCGTTGAATTTGAGGTGGTGACCGCAGATGGAGAAGTTCGCATCATCAATCAATGCAACGAACCCGAGCTGTTCTGGGCCATGCGTGGCGGAGGAGGCGGTACTTTTGCTGTACTCACCAAGTACCGAGTACAAGTGTACCCTTCTCTGCCCATCCACACATACACCTTCACAGCCAATTTTACGGGTGATACAAGTGATATAACTCAAAACGTTGCTCTGCGCGAGATCCTGACGGCACATGCACAGCATCAGCCCGAGTGGTCAGCTCAACTTGTTACTGGCCAACTTGAGTACTTCCCAGAAAGAATAGCGCTCTCAATGGTATTGCCCTATGGCGATAATGGCTCAAAGTTGAGATCAGCCAGCGCCTCATTTGCCGAATTCTTGAGCAACAGAACAGATCTTTCTGTCTCTGCTAATGAATATACATCTTACCCTAACTATGCCAACTACCTCACTGTCACTGCCGCCAATGCCAAGGTCACCGAACCGTCGGGAATCTTCTCTATATTGGCATCACGCTTGATTCCCCGCACAGTCTTTGAAGCCCCTGAGACTATTGATGAGCTCGTGGAGGGTGTCATACAAGGCATTGCAACAGCTCGAAGCCACCTGAATCTCACTGGAACTCAAATCGTGTCAGAAACACCACTCTCAAATCTTGATCAGAACCAGACATCATCTGCGCATCCGGCTTGGCGTAGTGCGCTCTGGCATGTCATCCAGGTTGGAGAATGGGTAGAGCCATTGGAGGCTGATGACCAGGCAACTGTTGCGGAGGCCTTTTTGCAGCTCCTTGAACCTTTGAAGAGATTGAGCCCTGGTGGCGGTGCGTACTTCAATGAAGCCCATTACCTTGAGCCAGATTGGGAGCAAACGTATTTTGGGTTAAACTATCCAAGGCTTTTGGAGGCTAAGAATAAATATGACCCGACTCATATGTTTGATTGTTGGAAGTGTGTTGGGTGGAGAGGTGAACACGAGTAAGTTCTGAGGTTAGTCTGATCGAGAGAAGCGAGAGAGGCTAACGCGAACGGGGAAGCCCATTCTACTCCTGCTATTAACGGGTTAGGTGCATGTTTCATTTTGAATTGGAGGAAAAGTTGGAGGGTTGATTGTGAACTGCAGCTGAAGATCTTGGGGAGATGGAGCAAGCAAGCAAAGAAATCCCTTAAAATGAGATAGATGAAACAATATATTTGCCTTTCATGGCATTTCTAGAATTTTACATTTAGGATCGTGATATACATGCAACATATTCTCTTTGAAAAACTCATCGTGTAAGACCATTCCACATGCGGGAGAATGTTTTCCACCAACCACGTGCAGCAGACTGGTGTGTGACTGTTGACATTTTGCTGAAGGTATCTTCACGAGTCAGGTCTAATGCATCGCTATTTGGGTAGACAAGGTGACCATCCATGCCGTTCATCACGGAAAGCGAAGAACCATGTAATTTAGCAGATGATGTGAAACTACTACAGACACTGCGGCTGTCCCGCTCGCCATCGATCAAATGCCCAGCAGTGTAGACGCACCCGCCATATGAGAACCTGACCAGAGAATCTCCAGTCAGGCTACCGATGATGTAGACCCCCGGTGCGACCTCGAGGTCCTCGATTGCTTTCGCACGGAGGGTCTGGCCGGTGACTGCTGGATCATCTTCATTGCCCTGCCCCAACACTTCACAGCGGAGCTCGGGATTAAGATAATCTAGCTTGCCTCGCCGGCCGGCAGCATATACGAGGCCGCACACGGTTCGCGAGAAAACAGTTCCATCTTTGCGGCGCAATGTGATGGTCGCTAGATCGCCGTGGACTTCCACAGCTGTTGCTTCAACATTAGGAAAACCTTCATAGAGGTCTTCCCAATTCCGGCTTTCAAGGAATGGCGTTGAAGCAGCGCGGCGGTACTTTGGTCGCTGGTATGTACTAGCGGCTTCGGCTACGAGAGCAGCCCGTTTCATAAGACGGTAGACCCCGGCATATTCTGGATATGCTTGCTGATGGCAGGCGCGGAGAGGCGATGGGCGGTCATTTGGGGACCATTTGTATAAGTGCAAAATCTTTTGGTTAGGGGAGGCGGAGATGATGGCATCCGCAGCGGAGAAGCCAGATCCAACGACGAGTAGCGGGACATCAGTCGAGGGCTTGGTCTCAAGTAATGGACGTAACACCGGGTCTGGCGAAAGAATTTCAGAAAAGATTCCACTTGCAAGGACTAGGCGCTTGCAGTGGAGATCATGAGAACGAACATAAAATCCAGTAGCGGTGCGGGAGATACCCTTCAATTCTTCCCCGCACCGAAACGCATCATCGATATGCGCAGCCTCCGGATAAGCAGCAAAATAATCGGCGATCTCGCGCCGCGTGGGCCTCGTGTATGACGGTAAGTCCTTGCCCGTGGTCTTTTTGTGATGGTCGGCAAAGGAGTATCCGGGCAAGGAAAGCATTGCCGCATAACTCAATGTCTGGATATCCCAATTTGCACCCCATGGATCCTCAGTCCATTGGCCTCCCGGCTTCAAGGACTTTCCAAAAACAAGATGTGAGACAGCCTTCTCAGGCTGTGGGCGCCAATCAATATTTGAGATGCAGCCGGGCTCATCCACATCAACACTGGGCCGAACAAGGGTGTCTAGTAAGACGTTCACGGGAAGGGCCTGAGTCGAGTATGATAGGCGTGAAGCGTCAAAATGCGCCGTAAGAGCATTCACATCAGCATTCAAAATCTCTGGCGCAGCTTTCAACTTGGCGTCTAATAAATGATCGGGATGTGGGGGGTTAGACGAGTAGAAAGGTATATGTCCATGGAGGATGTATGAAAGGATCATGGCCGATGGCCCATTGCCTGGTAAAATCGGTTTAATCAGTTGCCATTTCATAAGGACGTTTTAACAGCGCGGGGTGGGATGTGGGGCTCGAACAGAGCAAAAATTCCGAATAGCGTCAACATTGGACATCGACCATGATAGACATACCGACGATAATAGTGTCAATCTCCATTGACAGCGATGTATATCAAATAAGTGATGGAACGTGTGGCATACTGGTATAGACATGCGACAGGGTAAGGAAAAAGAGGTAGATCATCCAATCAAATCAGGATTAGATCCCTGTCACACTGCCTTCTCATGAGAGGTCGACAGCAAGGCCATAGGGGAATGTGACCATTTGTATGCCAGGGTATTCAGGAAAGTGAACGCCCCCAGGCAAGATTGGGGGGGCACTTCGTATCGGCAGGTCGATCAATAATCAAAAGCTGACAAACCCTGGGAAAGTGGAGTGTCTGCAAGTGGGGGAGAAGAGGAGACTCGGGAAAGTTGACAATTTTCCATTTGCCGCTTGAAATAACCTGGGAAACCGAACCCGAGAGGAAGTATTTGCCGGGGAAGAGTGGCGTCCATCACTATAGCGTCACTATACCTCTGAAGTTATAAGATTGAACATATTTGAACGTTGAATGTGTTGAATGCAGACAAATTAGAATGTATGCACATGG